CTCTATACCTTTGAGATGTATTTCTTTCTATCTCAATAAACATACTTGAACTTGAATTACAGTATTACAACTGTTTCTTATGTTACAAGCCAAGACGCTGAACGCGTTGCCTAGTCTTTCCTTCTAGAAGTATTTGATATACGATTATAATGCTATAATCAATAACATGGTAAGAGTTCTGCAGTATAGGCTATAGGCCTACGTAGATTATGTTATACTTCAGTTTACAGAAAATGCAGTCATATTTCTCAGTGAAAACACACACACACACACACACACACACACACACACACACACACACACACACACACACCTTTCCTTTTAAAGCTAAGGAAACAAAGGTGCTGAAAAAATATTGGAAAGTTTTCTTTTGCAAACAGAGTGATAGACGGTTGGAATACGCTAAGTGAGAAAGTGGTGGAGGCCAAAACCGTCAGTGGTTTCAAAGCGTTATATGACAGTGCTGGGTAGACGGGACACCACGAGCGTAGCTCATCCTGTAACTACACTTAGGTAATTACACACACATATAAGGATATTAGTGAACGCTGGACACAATTGAGCGGAAGAGGTGTAAGGAGGAACAAATCCACAAGGGCCGTGATGAGGATTCGAACCTACGTCCGAGAGCATCCCAGAGGTGTTAAGGTGTTAGCCGTTCCCAGTACGGGTGGTCGGCAAGTGGAGTGCAGTGACGGAAAGGGTTGTTGAAGCCAATTCCAACCACAAGGAAAAATTATGATGAAAACGTTAATGTTGAGAGATGTAATTATCGCGTCAGGTATAAACTGCTATAGGAGAGAAAGCATGAGTACAAGATCACACACACACACGCCTGTACTCACTGATGAGTACAACTTATGACCGCATACAAATATTCCTCTATAATCACAAAGAAACTAACGTGATCAATACTGTAATGTGAAACATATGACCATGAAGGTACATGAAATATGAAATACATGGGCGCTTTCCTCTATATTTCAATACGTCTAATGAGGTGATATTAAAGAGAGACGACTAAAGCTGAAAACAATTATGAAATACATTAAATGTTTCATTTCCCTTCGCTGTCAAAAGTTTTCACATTATTCCTCACATGTTAATTTCCTTTTGAGATTTATATATATACAGTAATTCACAAAAAACAAGCAATTGAGAATTAACTGTACAAGACACGTAATAACTACACAACTAATAACGTGTAAACTCATCTCCGCAATTATTAAACAACTTCCAGAAAAAAAATTAATACTATACACATCTCCGTGTATTAAAACATAAGAGAGAATACTACTCACAGTTCAAAACACTTATGCCCTTTAGCAGTATCAAAATGACTAAATAGCAAACTTAAATATAATAGCCCGAGGAGAGGAGAGGAGAGGAGTGCACATCCTCCCGCGGCGGCTTCCAGCGGGCGACTGACACAATAACCTGCACTCTGAGGCTTCCAGTTGTGCGAGCTTAACTTTCCAGGGACGGGCGCATGGGGGACACATTTCTGCCACCCCATTATTACTGGAAGCTGCGTCACGCTCAACACCCAATTATGTGCGTGGCGTTGTGTCATCTCTCAACGTGACACTCGCACGCCGGTTATCAGAGCGGTGATGACTGGTATGGGGTTACTGTTGCCGGTTATCAGAGCGGTGATGACTGGTATGGTGTTATTGTTGCCGGTTATCAGAGCGGTGATGACTGGTATGGTGTTATTGTTGCCGGTTATCTGAGCGGTGATGACTGGTATGAGGTTACTGTTGCCGGTTATTAGAGCGGTGATTACTGGTATGGGGTTATTGTTGCCGGTTATCTGAGCGGTGATGACTGGTATGAGGTTATTGTTGCCGGTTATTAGAGCGGTGATGACTGGTATGGGGTTATTGTTGCCGGTTATTAGAGCGGTGATGACTGGTATGGGGTTACTGTTGCCGGTTATCTGAGCGGTGATGACTGGTATGGGGTTATTGTTGCCGGTTATTAGAGCGGTGATGACTGGTATGAGGTTATTGTTGCCGGTTATCAGAGCGGTGATGACTGGTATGGGGTTATTGTTGCCGGTTATCAGAGCGGTGATGACTGGTATGAGGTTATTGTTGCCGGTTATTAGAGCGGTGATGACTGGTATGGGGTTATTGTTGCCGGGTATCAGAGCGGTGATGACTGGTATGAGGTTATTGTTGCCGGTTATTAGAGCGGTGATGACTGGTATGGGGTTACTGTTGCCGGTTATCAGAGCGGTGATGACTGGTATGAGGTTATTGTTGCCGGTTATTAGAGCGGTGATGACTGGTATGGGGTTACTGTTGCCGGTTATCAGAGCGGTGATGACTGGTATGAGGTTATTGTTGCCGGTTATTAGAGCGGTGATGACTGGTATGAGGTTATTGTTGCCGGGTATCTGAGCGGTGATGACTGGTATGAGGTTATTGTTGCCGGGTATCTGAGCGGTGATGACTGGTATGAGGTTATTGTTGCCGGTTATCTGAGCGGTGATGACTGGTATGGGGTTATTGTTGCCGGTTATTAGAGCGGTGATTACTGGTATGGGGTTATTGTTGCCGGTTATCAGAGCGGTGATGACTGGTATGGGGTTATTGTTGCCGGTTATTAGAGCGGCTACCGATAGTGAGTGTGATGATAATGGTAATATTTTTGTGTGATAGTGATGACGTTTTTGGTGAGTGTTGCTGTTGTTTTTTTTGGTGGATGCGTTTTTGGTAGTAATTAAATATTCGTGACATGATTTTGTTTGATGGGTTTTGATATGATGATTTTGGTAGCGATTGTGATTTTTGTTAATGGTTAGGATGCTTTAGGCAGTGATTGTAATATTTTGGCAGTTATTGGTATTTTGGTGGTGATTGTGGTGTTTAGTAGTGATCGTTATATTTTTTGGTAGTGATTGTGATGCTTTGGCAGTGATTGTGATGTTTTTGGTTGCGATTGTTATTTTTTTTGTAGTAACTGATATTTAGAAGCAGAGTAATATTTGGAGGCATTTTAAAGTGAAAAATGCATCCCATGGGCCACAAAATACAATAGTTGGCAAGTTGCAGTCCAAATGCTCTATTGTTTTCCAAACATTCCTACCTTCTTATAGGGAGAATTGTTCTTGAGAACTATATCTGAAGGAACGACGATCTCGGTAGTATAGTTGGGTTAGTTCTCGTCTCGCAGTCGGAAATCCCGAGCGGGACTGAAATGGCTGGCCAAGTTTCCTTTCACCTAATGCTCCTGTTCACCTAGCAGTAAATAGGTAGCCAGTAGTCAATTGTTGTGGGGTTACTTCCTGGGTAGGTTAAGTAGTTCAACCTTATGGGGACCTCGATACATACGTGTATGTGTGTATATCACGAAAATAAACACGTGATTAAGAATGTGACAATGTCAGACCACGGAGGAAAATGAAACAGGAATTTCCTTAAGTACTTTCGTATATTAAATACATCTTCAGAAGGAATCTGAAGTATATATATATATATGTGTACTCACCTAATTGTGCTTGCGGGGGTTGAGCTCTGGCTCTTTGGTCCCGCCTCTCAACTGTCAATCAACTGGTGTACAGATTCCTGAGCCTACTGGGCTCTATTATATCTACATTTGAAACTGTGTATGGAGTCAGCCTCCACCACATCACTTCCTAGTGCATTCCATTTACTAACTACTCTGACACTGAAAAAGTTCTTTCTAACGTCTCTGTGGCTCATTTGGGTACTCAGTTTCCACCTGTGTCCCCTTGTTCGTGTCCCACCAGTGTTTAGTTCATCCTTGTTTACCCGGTCGATTCCCCTGAGAATTTTGTAGGTTGTGATCATGTCCCCCCTTACTCTTCTGTCTTCCAGTGTCGTAAGGTGCATTTCCCGCAGCCTTTCCTCATAACTCATGCCTCTTAGTTCTGGGACTAGTCTAGTAGCATACCTTTGGACTTTTTCCAGTTTCGTCTTGTGCTTGACAAGGTACGGGCTCCATGCTGGGGCCGCATACTCCAGGATTGGTCTTACATATGTGGTGTACAAGATTCTGAATGATTCCTTACACAGGTTCCTGAACGCCGTTCTGATGTTAGCCAGCCTCGCATATGCCGCAGACGTTATTCTCTTTATGTGGGCTTCAGGAGACAGGTTTGGTGTGATATCACTCCTAGATCTTTCTCTGTCTGTTTCATTAAGTACTTCATCTCCTATTCTGTATCCTGTGTGTGGCCTCCTGTTTCCACTGCCTAGTCTCATTATTTTGCATTTACTCGGGTTGAACTTCAACAGCCATTTGTTGGAGCATTCACTCAGTCTATCTAGGTCATCTTGTAGCCTCCTACTATCATCCTCAGTTTCAATCCTCCTCATAATTTTTGCATCGTCGGCAAACATTGAGAGGAACGAATCTATACCCTCTGGGAGATCATTTACATATACCAGAAACAGTATAGGTCCAAGAACTGACCTCTGCGGGACTCCACTTGTAACGTCTCGCCAATCTGAGACCTCACCCCTCACACAGACTCGTTGTCTCCTGTTGCTTAGGTACTCCTCTATCCACCCGTAGTAAACAGGTATCCAGGAGGACAGGAGGGAGGCAACTGTTGTGGGGATACCTCCAGGGGAAAGCGTAAGTAGTTCACTGTGGAGGGCACAAGAGTCACGTCTTATGCTTAATAAGCAATGATAGGTAACCACTTACCTTTTTCAATCAGGGAAACCATACGTATATGGCTGGTTCGGGCCTGTTATATCTTTATTTGGTGGCTGATGATAAGATTCACAAAATAATAAAACTTCTTGCTTAATTATTCAGTTGGATGACAGAACAATGTTGATGTTGAATATGTCTGTAGACATAGCTGAAAAATTAAAAAGGGAGCACATTTTCTGTAATATACTCATGTACCTATCTTTTCCTATTGCATGCAACCATACAGTACTGTATACTATATAGTACTGTGAACAAAATTTTGACAAATTATTGCCACTTTCATACCAACGTTAAGTTAATAAAACCCATTTTATCATAGAAAACTTTTATTATAAATCAAAAATTATTTTTTACCAATACTGTACAGTATACAAGTACACCACTGACAGATCACCACCACAGAACAAAATCATTCAAACTCTACCTCAAGAGGGTTCAGCTACATCTTCTCCAGACTGTCCATGATGGGGAGCAGCACCTCCAGCTCTGATCTCAATAAGGCCAGCTGGAAATATAAAGCATAGGCGTTGTATAGACGCTTCAACTGCAATCACAAAAAAGTAGATTTGAGCATAATGAAAAGCTCTATTGTTTCAGCAAGCTATTTCAGTTGTTTCATATGGCCAAAACATGAGATGCTCAATCATGGCAGATCATCAATCTGGATCAGAAGCTGCAGCAATTTTGTCAATTTGTCCCTGCCAGGTCATACTAGTGTTAGGGAGACAATGGAGAAAACCCAATCAAGCCCTGAGGGAACTATAAGGGTAAAGCGCCAAGCGTATATAGTACTTGGAAGGGGGTAAGAAATCAAGCCCTGAATGATGGCGAGAAAACATTTCACCAAATCTCAAAGATCTTCCATTGGCATCCCAAAGATCACCAATTAGTGCTACTAACAGGCACAACAAACCTGATACGAGTTGGAAAAGGAGGGGGTAGGGGGGGGGAAGGGAGAAGGATGGACATGCGAAGCTTTCATCTCAAATTATTTAGCTCAAAAGAGGCAATAGTAAATAATCTTACCTTTGTGTTATGAGCATCCTGGATATGTGCTGGTGCCTTCTCAGCAAAGCCAGGAGATGATACAAGTTTGAAAATTTTACTCTCCTCTTTCTTCAGCTTGCTCATCTTTGCTCTTAAGCGCGTCAGCTCACTCTTTGGGTCAATCACACCCTGTGTGTATCATACAACATTCATGGAGGTTTTAATCTTTTTACAGAGAAAGGTAATATTTCTTGAAAATTCAATTGAATATTAGTGATATTACCAAGGCAAAAATATTCACCTATATATCAGCACAAAAATTAAATTGAAATGGGGACGATACACAATAAATACAACACACTGAATAAGACTACAGATGAATATACTGTACAGTGTAAATAGGGCTTTTATGTACTGTGTACTCTCACTTGAACAGAACCAGCTTCTTCAGAAGCCAGTTGTCCTGGATGCTTTTAATCTACTGAAAAATGCAAATGATATCGGGTGAACCAGACATTTTATGAAAGTGTCTGGCCAAATCTAGGAGGCTATATCAGTACATCAGAATTAATACAAACATTTATGGCAAGTCAACAAAGTGCCTGGCAAGGACCTAGTTGGAGCACAGAGTGGCAAACATCAATAACTAATAATTGGATCAGGGATAAGTGATGAGATATAAACAGTGGTACAGTAAATTGCTCTAGTAATGCAATTACTAGAGCGATTAAAAAACATGTATAGGCCGAGTGATGGAAACGCCCAATAAGATGACAAAGACAAGTAAAACAAGGCAGATTTGAGCTAGCCAGAGAATAATGGCAACGTGAGGCGGAGTAGTGTTACTGCAGGAGTGTATTGTTCTGAGCAGACTGTATGTGCATTATAGTAATCAGAGAAGTGAGAAAAACAATAAATGTGGGCTGGGAAAGTGAAATAGAAACAAAAATAGGCGAAGTAGAGAAATGGAAACAGGTGGCCGGTAACATCTGGTAACTGATGAGGAGTGGTTCAATGCATAGATGATGTTTAAAGGAAAGACCTGTCCATGTGTATGCTACTGGGGGGAGAGTGAGAGGAGGCACAGTGCCAATATTTACAAATTTAGCTCAGTACTAAATTGTAAATATTGGCTCCATGCCACACTATGTTATGCACAACATATGGTCAATGGAAGGGGTTATCGTTTCTTTTTTCTTTTAGTAGCTTCAGCTTTCTTCTGACACCACTCCATATTTTCTCTGCTGATTCCCCCCTAACTGATGAGGATGGGGACATTAGGGAATAATAAACAACAAATGCCAAAGTTGAACATGCCTGGAGATCAAGGTAAATAGTAGTAGAGTCACAGGGTGCTGCTACTGCCGAAGCTGCAGGGGGCAATGCATGCTTCTCTAAGGCAGTCAACGATTTTATGAACCCCAAAGTCTTCACAACATTCAAGTTTGCTTCCAAGACAGCATTCAGATGGTCATTTGAACACACAAAATAACCTGGAAAATATTGCAACATTACAGGACATGGCTCAGCCTCTGGATCACATGCTGCAAACACAACTATGTAAATAAGCTTTTTTTCCCCTTTAAGTGGAAACATACATCAATTAAAATAGTGAGAACCCTCACAAATCATTTGCTTTTCTCCATTAAAACTACCGGATATGGTTACTATAAGATTAATTATGCAAAATATACACACAGACCGTACTGTACAAAGAAATCTAGCTAAATAAAACATTAGAAAATCATTTATTTTATTACCATGTACTCTGTTGTGCTTGATGTTATAGTTTGCCTTTATAGAACGAAACGCTGAAGCCATCTGCAATAAATTCTGCACATGCTCTTCCTTCACGTGGTCTTTCCAGCAGATCCACTGAAATGTATACAGATTATCTGTATTTATCTGAGTGCATTAGATACTGGTAGAGGTTTCATGTAGTGGAGTGGCCAATGTTGAAATTGTCGCCACAGTGCTTTATATGCATTTCTCATCACCGTTATTTATCCAAAACCTTCAACAATTCCATGTAGCACAAACTTGATAATTACGCCATGCTTTACATGTGCGATCGACAATATGTTGCACATACCCAATGAAATCAGGAAAATGTTATGTATCTATGAGAAAATGCTGAGGTTGAAAGATAGGACTGAACTCGTCTCCCAATGTAATACCTCAATATTTCCTCGAGTAACATTTTTTGGGTAAAATATAGTCAATTAACTTGTTTAGGTAAAATTTGGCAGCTAACCTGTTCTGTCTGGGGATAATCAGACTCCATGATACTCTCAAATTTCTTTGTAATCCTCGGCAGTCTCTGGTAGAGTTCCTCTGTCAAGAAAGGCATGAAAGGGGAGAGGACGTGTAGCCCAACATCCACACACGTCCAGAGTGTTCTTAGTGCTGATGACTTTGCTTCATCTGATCCTTTATTTAAAACAAATTTAATGCTTTCCTAGAAAGATGGAGAAAATTTGTCCTCCATTATAAACTTCTTTGCCCTTATCTATATATAAACAAAATGGTGAATACTGTGTTTTAAGACATTTGCATCTCCATGGTTGTATTTATGCTTGCCTGCTGTAAGTTACATCTTGCATAAGAATAGGTATATGAAAAGGCAAGTATCCTAACCTGGCTGAACTATTAATGTTTTCTTAATTGATGGCAAGTTTAATACTAATGACCTGCCACAAACCACCGAACTCCATTCAATCACAGCAAGCAGTGGCAATTGGCATCAGATGTAAGAGTTAGATTTTTTTTTAATACCTATGTACAGTGTATTATTATTGAGAGAGATCATAAATATATATTTATATTTGAGGAAAGTTGGGGGTCTAAAATTTATCCGGGCATAAATTTTTCCATGTTGCTAAGATGAGCAGATTTAACCTGCAAACTGTTTTAAAGGAACACATCCATCATACAATTTGAGGGAATATGATGATGATGATGATGATGATGATGATGATGATAAGTTCACTTCTATTTTTTTAACACAGGTGGATACAGGAACAGATGACTTCTGTTTCCTGTCAGCAGGCTGAGAGCTTTCCCTTCCCATAACTCATGGTAAGCCTTACCCATCCGTTTTGCCTTGAACACGACCCGCCAATAGGTAACAATTGGGTGCCTAACTGCTGCTGGGTGAACAGAGGCAAATAGTTAAGGACTGGAGCCCTATGTCACTTACCAGATACGTACTACACAGGTCATTCTGCCAGAACGTAACAAAACTTGAGGTGACAAAATGCAGGTCATAGGATTCAAAATTCTGATTGGCATCATAAACTAGTTGCCCCAAATGACTCAAGATCCACTTGTCCATTATACTAAGCTCATCATTCCTGAAAATTGTACATTACAAAATAACCATATGTGCTTTTGTTATACAAAATACTACAGATTTTTATGCATCTTAAAAGTATAGCATGCATGCATGCATATTATATATATATATATATATATAATAAATATATATATATATATAAATATATATAAATATTATGTAGACTGACCAGTATAGACAAAAACTAAGATTTTTGAAAAGTAATTTACAATTTATATTACAAACCTCTCTGATATTTTCACACGAGTAGCACACTGCACTGCGTTGGGAACTTTTGCCATTGAATTTAGTAAAAATCGGAAGGCCTGCCAAATTTTGTTGCACAAAAATCTGTTTTGTTCCATGCGATTGACATCAACACTCATAAGCTGATCTGTAACAAGGTAATACACAAAAATCTTTTATGTAATGTTAATTACCTAATCACAATAAAGGGAGAGAGAAAACTGTATTCTGATATAAATCTATAGGGACATGTATAATAAGCATTCCCTTCTAAACCCATCACCTAACTTAAAAAATATGAATTTTCTAACTAACCTGCAGGTTAGTCAGGTTTTACTAACCTTTTCTATGCATCTATTTTTGTAGCAACAATAGTTTATACTTGCAGTGAAGAAAAAGTGTTGCAGGTTTCAATGAAGCAGATTAAAGGTTAACCTCAAGGCAAAATGGAATAAATTTAGAGTAAAATTTAGCTTCCAACTGTCTTTTTTCATTAAATAAATCACCATCTTTGCAGTACAGTAATCATTTGTGAGGTGCAATTAGTCCTGCATTATATGGCTAATTTTATTCAACAGGGAACCCTTCTTGCAAAAACTTTTCTGTCTACAGTACAGGCAAAATTAATCTAGTTTTTTTTTTTTATATATATCAAACATCTGTCACTATAATTCCACTTTTCTCCAAACTGATGCCTCCCTACTCTATGGCGAAGAGAAACGAGGTAATGAAAATAAATGAATGAACTAAATTATTATATGATGACCCAAATCTAAACTTACTTTTAATGTTGTACGAGCAGAGGGTAAACCTGAGAGCGTCGGTGCCACATTCTGGGATGCCGTTTGGGAAATTAGACCGCTGCCCTTGTAATGCTTCGCATGCTTCCTTGCTAGACAGTATCCCATTATTTTCACTTGATTTAATACGTTCCTTAAGCACCTAAATGATGAAATACAATATTAGTACTGTATAGTCTCTCTCAAATCAACTTCCTTCAATAAAAGTCTGTAATCAATAAACAGCTGAATGCTTTCCAGTTAGGTCTTGAGCATCTGATCAACTTGAACATGTAAATCAGTAGAGGGAGAGATACTAAACTAACATAATAGACATACCTGTAATGAAGCTCCTTCAATAACATCAATTGGGTCAACCACATTTCCTCGTGATTTTGACATCTTGTGGCCATGGGCATCACATAGCAACCCGTGAAGAAGCACATTCTGGAGGAAAAACATGAATGAACTATATTAGAAAAGTGAGACAAGAGGCCTGGTGGTGTCTCATGCCTGCACTACCATGCACCAAACGGTATACCACTTTCCTCACCAAGATGTTGGCCTTTGTAGTGAGGATCTAACAATTATGATAAAAACATTGTGTATTGAAATGTAAGAAACATAAATAAGGATGTAGACCATCGATGATCATACTGTACATGCAATTATCCAAGCGAAGTTACAAGACGAGAGCTACACTTGTGGCACCTTGTCTTCCCAGTACTCTGTCATATGACACTCTGAAACTACTGACAGTTTTGGCCTCCAACACCTTCTCACTTAACTGTTTCTACTGTCTACCACTCTGTTTGCAAACGTGAACTTTATTTTTGTTTTTGTTTCCTTGGCTTGATGTTATTTTGTTCTTGAAGTTGAAATAACACTCAAAAACCTGCAAACTCCACATTCTTCAGGCAGTGCCAACTAGCCAGTCATTTTCCTCAGGCACAGTGGAATCTTAAAATAGGGAGCAGCAAAAAAGGAATAACTGATATATTGTATTAACATCTATCACTGCCAGCATCTTACGTATCACATGCCGAAGTATCTCTACCAGCCTTCCCGTGAAGGAATGCCAGCGTAAGTAATGTGTGAACTATTTCCCTCCCCCCCCCACCCCAGTAAAGATTGAAATATTACCAAAGTGTGATTACCAACAAGTGAATTCAGGAATGAGCACTTAACAACATTACTAGATTAACCAATCATATGTTTACAATACCGTTTATATATATGATTATAACATGATTATATGTACACAGTACCAGTATATGATTACAAGACATTACAACAATAATAATCTTTTATATATATGTAAAACTATATTTGATTATAATATTACAAAAATATCTTTAGATACAATTTTCTAGCTGAAATGTAACAAAAAGGAAATTAGTTCCAATAAAGAGTAGAGAAGTTAAAAGTCAAATCAACACACCTTAAATGGCAGCTCTCCTGTGAGGTTCCAACCCAACATGACCATCCGTGCTACCCAAAAGAAGAGAATATCATGTCCAGTCTCCAGGAGAGTGGTTGGATAGTATTTCTTCAAGTCTTCTGAATTTTGTGGCCATCCAAAGGCAGCAAAAGGAAAGAGGGCCGAGGAGAACCACGTATCCAACACGTCTTCTTCTTGATGCACCGATGAGATACTCGACTCAGATATTCCTAAAAATAGCACAGTACTGCTAATGCAAACTTCTCTACAAGACATGTCAATACAGTATTAAACATCTCCAAGAAAAACACTGCTTTCTCTACACTCTACGTACAAATACAACCTCATTAACGTTCACCGCTAGAACAGTATAAACAAAATTATGCATTAATTCCACACCACACCATTTAATTTAGCCAATTCAAATTGAATTTCTACCCATAAAATTATGCAACTACAATGATAAACATTCAATTCATTCTACTAAAATAATACATTGTTTTTGGCATTCAGATCCTAGTACTGTAATTCTTTTAATTTTATAACACTGTCATTGTGCACAATTTCAATACATTCATAGTACCATCAACGTCATATAAACATCCTTTTCCATCTATGTTAAATATCCATTCTCCATCCACTGCATCTGTTGATCACAAGTACCTCTGAATATAAAGACACAAAACTAGTAATTTTGTTTACCAATGTCATGTATAGGGCATACATACACCTTTGTATAGGGCATACATACACCTTTGTATAGGGCATACATACACCTTTGTATAGGGCATACATACATATACATGAATTACTGTATTCAAGCTTGGCAGTCATACGTACGAACAAAATCAAGCACTGATGTAATGAAATATCCATTCATCTGTTCATTTAACATTACCAAACCATCTGGCTACTCATGCCTAAATCTTTCTTGTATACACATGAAAATGTGACCAACCTTCTTTTGCTGCAACTTTCCTCTTAGCATCTTCTATAGATCGTGCAGCAACCCAGAACTCCCCAGCATCAGAGCACACACAGTATGCAGGAATTCGGTGGCCCCACCAAAGCTGCCGTGAAACGCACCAATCATTGGTGTTCTCCAACCATTTGTCCCAAACTCTCTTGTAAGTCTCCGGGAGGATATGTAGATCACCTCTTCGAACAACATTGATAGCTTCAGCAGCCATGTCACTGCATCTAATGAACCTATTTGGAGATGGATCAGTACATTATTAGTTACCTAACAATGTGTGAGTAATTAAAAATTAAGTAGCATTACACTTAACTCACCATAGTTCAGTATCTAATGAAATCAACACCAGCTACATTTTTATTTAAAACCATATAATCTGAAAGCAGTATATATATAAACGAATTCTCTCCATTTAACAGCATGAAAATAGTTCATTAAACATCCGAGTTACTAACATTTACAGCGACCAACAGATAAACATTAAAGCCTCACCATTGAGGTTTCAACAGTGGTTCAATAACATCCTGGGTCCTGCTGCAGCGAGGCACCATCATGGGGTGGGCCCGAGAGCCACGATAGAGTTCCATAACGGTTAAAGCATCTATCACGGCTTGTCGTGCTGTGAATCTTGGAAGGTTCTGCAGAAAATACAAGTATTGTACATAAATATTTTAGTCAAACTGAATAAATGATTATGTTGTGTATAGGCCCTAATATGAGTAACTTAAGTACTTAATGACAAATTTAGGGAACGCAGGTGATACAGGATCTTTTAGCAGCAATAGATATTTGTGTAGACTAAATAAGATTTGTATTGATTGAGCCAAACAAGGTTGTGAATGTGATAAAAGTAAAATTGTTGGGGTCGAGTGAGAAGGAAATTACATGTAATATCAATGTAAACGGTGAAATGTCTAAAATGAATATCACTTTAAATACAGCACTTGGGAATGAGTTTCAGAAAAGAGGAAGTTGTTCCAACAAAGACGAGAGGAGACAGAATCAGGAAAAAAGAGCAATTGCACTCACAATCACCATTTATACGCTATTAATTTTGAATTTCACATACCAGCAAATTAAACTACAACATGAGAACATGAGAAGCAATTCATTGCCCCGGACATCCCATCATTCATTAACAGGCATACTCTTGCTTAACTTTCATTTTCTCCAACACTCACTCTTATACTGTACCAGTAATATTTACTTCATTTCACACATCATTTCATTAGGTAGCACTACTTAATGAAATTTTATGAGTTTGTCTCAGAAACTTTCACAAACCAACTTTCCTTCTTTAAAAACTTTTACCACTTCCAGCTTCTGTTCCTAATTTAGTCTCATAACATTCCACATAGCTGCACATGTCAGCCTTTGTGTTGCGAGGAGTGAGAAAGGTTAGGTCCCAATCCAAGGTCAATTTTACCTACAGTATTACGAGGAAAGATGGAGCCCATGCCCTGTGCCCCTTTATCACAGGAATGTCATCTTGGTCGCACTAAATAGTGGTGGGCAGTGCGTTGCCACACTCCCACTCACAGGGAATGTGAACAGGTTGTGACAACCACACCCTTTTCCTTACATAGTAGGCTTTTTATATAGATATAAAAAGCAGTATTTAATGCCTCATCACACTAAATGAACTATGAAATTAAATCCTGTTACATTAATGAACATTTACAAACTCGAACCTTAAACTTTGTGCGTGAGTTTACAAACTCACCTTAAATTCTGGTACAATGTCTGTTGTCTTTCCAAATTCATCAAAAACTGTAAGCTGAGGTAGTGAGTGTCTTTCTCCGACATCATAGTCATCTTGGCTGTGGCCAGGTGTTACTTTCACCACACCTGTTGGTGGAGTCAAACAGTCCTGAATAGCATTTTCTCAACATCTGCTTCATGGGAATAAATAATAAATTATTTTCACCATTCCTGTGTACTAAATAGGCAGGAGGGTGGATCGGAGAGCAGGATGGCTAGGGGATGGTGGATGGCCTTCCTACCTATCCCTTCCCTAGATGTATTGGTGGAAAGATATAGGTAGGTGGGTTAGCTAGTGGGCAGAAAGGCACGGGTGGGTGAATGTGTGGGTGAAAAGACATGGATAGATGGACTAGCTAGTGGGTAGGCTGGCTGGTGAGTGAATGCATGTGGGTTGAAAGATATGGGGCCTTCCTGAAGGCTACTTGGCCTTCAGCCAGCAGGTTAGCTGGCTGGTGGGTGAATGTATGGGTGGAAAGACATGGGTGGGTGGGCTGCATGGTGGGTGGGTATGTGGGTGGAGAGACTTCAGTGAGCGAGTTGGTTGGTGGCCATATTTGTGGGCATGTGCTACATATAACAGAACAAATCTCGTGTTACCAGGACTTACACACACAACACTAAAATGGTTCAGTTGTTATTTTTGAATAAAATATCCATATTTATGGAAACAAAAAGCCTTAAGTCAGTCACAGCAAGCTGGTAGAAAAGGGCAAAATGGAGAGTGGAGAAATAATGTTCAGTCCACTGAATACCATGCAATGAACGAGGAAACAATATGTTGCTGACAGTTACTGTCAACAAGGAAACTATTTCACACTGCTGGCAGTCACAGTGAACAAGGAAACAATATGCTGCCAACAGTCACAATGAACAAAGAAACAATATGCTGCCAACAGTCACAATGAACAAGGAAACAATATGCTGCCAACAGTCACAATGAACAAAGAAACAATATGCTGCCAACAGTCACAATGAACAAGGAAACAATATGCTGCCAACAGTCACAATGAACAAAGAAACAATATGCTGCCAACAGTCACAATGAACAAAGAAACAATATGCTGCCAACAGTCACAATGAACAAAGAAACAATATGCTGCCAACAGTCACAATGAACAAAGAAACAATATGCTGCCAACAGTCACAATGAACAAAGAAACAATATGCTGCCAACAGTCACAATGAACAAGGAAACAATATGCTGCCAACAGTCACAATGAACAAAGAAACAATATGCTGCCAACAGTCACAATGAACAAAGAAACAATATGCTGCCAACAGTCACAATGAACAAGGAAACAGTATGTTGCTGACAGTCATAATGAACAAGGCATCTCATTACATCAGTACCTGTGCCAAACTGGGGATCAACCTGGGAATCAGCAATCACAGGAATGATGACTTTTCGGAATGGGTGGAAGACGTGCTTGCCGTGAAGATGTATGTAGCGTTGGTCTTCGGGATGAACCATCACAGCTGTGTCCCCCAGCATAGTCTCGGGTCGTGTTGTGCTTACTACCAGCTCTCCTCCTAATACAATAAGCATACAGTATAAGTCAAATCTATTCAGTACTGTATATGGTTCACTGCTATGCCAGCATATCTCAGTATAAATAACACTGTACTGCATTGTGAAAAATCCTTTAATATGAAACAAATTAAATTATTGTATATTAATGATACAGTATTCAATATTTTGTACAGTTTATGTTACATATACTGTACTGTACAAATAAAAGCACTGAATAAAATACTAAAGATTTAATTTATTGTATCATAATTTGACATAGTACAGTATAAGCATATTATACTTATCTGAATTAAAATCCTAAAATGGGATAACAAATAAAATATTTTAACATGTTTCAAGATACAGGTAAATCTACCGGTATATAATTAAATCTGCTCAGGCCTCAGCATATAGTGTCTGAGCTATTCAACTTGAATATCTCCAAAGGCAAGATCACCGAAGATCCCACGATAGTCGGGCGTGATGTTCAATCCGGCCCTCAGTAACTACAGAAAGTATACTCCAAAACACTCAGCGCCTTATCATGGTCCATTCAGTAGAGCTCTTAAATCATCAGTTGCCCAATTGGACGACATCTCTGACCATCACCAGATGATGGCACCCTCACTAACCTCACTACATTGTCTCAAGCCCCCTTGCATGTTTCCCTGACCTGTTCTTGTGATGCTTAGGCAAGTTCAAGACCAGATTCTGCCGACTGATTTGTTTATATGCTCATAAATCTAGATTTCACTGTACACAGGGCTCGTGCTGTGTACTTGATAAGGCTTTGATTATATTTGGAATGCTTTCCTTATTTTGCTGCTCACACAGGTGCAGGCTAGAGTAGATGTAGAAGGTAGGTTCTCTGTTCCTCCTGTGTCCCATCATATAGAAAAAGTGTCCTCTTCCTTTCCAGTGGGAATCATGTGGCTTCTGTTGGCGGACTATCCTTTAGGTCAGTGGTTTTGCTCTTGTTGGGGGGCCCCTGGATGTCCACTGGCAGCAATTCAAGTCACTAAATACTGCTTGTCCACCAGCTTCAAGAGATCCACTTTACAGGAGTTTTTTTATCCCTCATTTATTTTTCAGTCTTGATGGTTGCTCATTGAATAACTCAGAAATCAGGCTTTGTGTGGATATAATTACCTGAATTTACCTGAGAGCCACTAACATTCTAGTGGCCTTGAGGACAGGAATCCAGTGGCTTGCCAAAGGTTCCCCCCCCCTCCATTTGTCCTGATATTTAACAACTTGTAACTACTTTTAAAAAATTGCACTCATATGGTCACTTTTCCTTCCAAGAGTCCCCGATTCATCTGTATGAAGATATTTATCTTTGTCAGTCATACTGGTAAACTGACTGACTGTGCCTGAAATGCTGCGCATACTACTGGCTTTAGGTATTGTATGTACTAGCTCTATCTTTAAATCCAACATTATGTTTGTAACTCATCTTCAATGTATGTACCTTTACCTGAATAAAAAATTTAATCTAATCTAATCTAATTTAACAATGTGCTGGAGCTTGAGGCTCACAACTGAGTATTGGTACAGGTGCTGCTATCTGTTGGCAAGTGGGCAGGATAACTAGCGTTTGATGCGATTACTGTACTACTTTTGTGTCCCTATGATACCAAGTAGTCACTTTGAGATGGAACGGTATGAACATTTGGTCAAAATCCACGTTCTACTGGTGGAGAACATCACCTTCCCGTATTATCATAATCTTGTTCAAACACTAAAAGAACATACCTGATGGAAAGTAGCATTTCATATTCACTTAAAACTTAATTTATGTTTTCTGCTTAAATTGGGAAGACATGGCAAATGAACTTACCAGAATCGTTGATTTTGTATGCAAAGTCATACATCTTCCCAAACGTAACAGGCTTTTCATACCCAGGAACAGTAAGCTCTGTTGGGCCTGTCAGATGCAAGTGATCAACTTCAATATCAGAGACGGCTGACTGTAGACTACAACACCAATTGATTAAAGATTCTTTTCTGTACACCAAGCCAGAGTCATAAAGCTGGATGAAGGCCTCTGTCACAGCTTTACTCAGATGCTGAAAGCCATGAATATTAATATTAAAAATAAATTAAAAATTACATAACTGCAAATACAGCAGACTACATTAAATCAAAAATACTAATTATATACTGTACCTAAAAAGGTATACAGCATCTTAGCTTATCGATGCAAAATTTATCAACACACAATCAAAATATATTGATGGCCAAAGTTTCGGCACCCTTTATAATAATAATAATAATAATAATAAATAAATAATAAATAATAATAATAAATAATAAATAATAATAATATATAATAAATAATAAATAATAATAATAAATAATAAATAATAATAATAATTTCATTGTGTTGGGGGACAGAAAGCTAGAGTGTATTCATACACGTTTTGACTTTTATCAAGGTCCACCCTTAAGGCTGAATTACTGACCCTCCCGAGGATGCAACCCCACAACAAGCTGACTAACTCCTGAGTATCTACTCACTACTCGGTGAACATAGGCATTATTTGAAAGGAAATGTGCCCAACTACTACTGTCCCGCCCGGGATTCGAACCCGGAAATCTCGATTGTGTGTCAAGAATGAACCCGACTGTACTACCGGGACCCTTAATGGTGGTTGTTTTCTATGTATAGGTAGCTACATCACCTTTTAAAATATATTTCACCTGTTTAAATGTGTATATACTATATATATATATATATATACATATATATCCTGAGGTTAACCTACGGCAGTATGATGCTAGAATTAGTTTAATTTCCTAAAGTACCTCAGAAACAGATTATACAATAATGACAGATCTTAATACAGTATTTAATATATATCCATCAGTTGGATGTGTGTCTGTATGGAAAGGTTGATGAGTTAGGGTATGAGGGGAAGGTTGTATTTACTATTTGTGCAGGCAGAATCGAGCTACAGTATTACCTTTTGGACCCCATCTTTTTAACTGATCTATTTTATTCTCTATTATGTCTACTACATATATTTCTCTAACACATGGACACACACACACACACACACACACATGTATATGTGTAAAATAAGTATATGGAGCACCACTTGGCAAATGGAATTTAATGTTAATAAATGTCATGTTATGGAATGTGGAATAGGAGAACATAGACCCCACACAACCTATATATTATGTGAGAAATCTTTAAAGAATTCTGATAAAGAAAGAGATCTAGGAGTGGTTCTAGATAGAAAACTTTCACCTGAGGACCACATAAAGAATATTGTGCAAGGAGCCTATGCTATGCTTTCTAACTTCAGAATTGCATTTAAATACATGGATGGCGATATACTAAAGAAATTGTTCATGACTTTTGTTAGGCCAAAGCTAGAATATGCAGCTGTTGTGCGGTGCCCATATCTTAAGAAGCACATCAACAAACTGGAAAAGGTGCAAAGACATGCTACTAAGTGGCTCCCAGAACTGAAGGGCAAGAGCTACGAGGAGAGGTTAGAAGCATTAAATATGCCAAAACTAGAAGACAGAAGAAAAAGAGGTGATATGATCACTACATACAAAATAGTAACAGGAATTGATAAAATCGACAGGGAAGACTTCCTGAGACCTGGAATTTCAAGAACAAGAGGTCATAGATTTAAACTAGCTAAACACAGATGCCGAAGAAATATAAGAAAATTCACCTTCGCAAATAGAGTGGTAGACGGTTGGAACAAGTTAAGTGAGAAGGTGGTGGAGGCCAAGACCGTCAGTAGTTTCAAAGCGTTATATGACCGAGTGCTGGGAAGACGGGACACCACGAGCGTAGCTCTCATCCTGTAACTACACTTAGGTAATTACACTTAGGTAATTACATCATCAGGAAACAGCCCGTGGCAGCTGTCTAATAACTAGGTACCTAGTTACTGCTAGATGAACAGAGGCATCAGGTGAAAGAAACAACTCTATCCATTTGTTTCTGTCACAGCCAAGAATCGAACTCAGGCCCTTATGACCATAACCCTCATATAGGCTGTAATTACTCAAGTGTAGTAACAGGATGAGAGTTACGCTCGTGGTGTCCCGTCTTCCCAGTACTCGGTCATATAATGCTTTTAAACTACTGACAGTTTAGTAGTTTTATCCCTTCCATTTTATTTTTCCATTTTATCCCTACACATTTCTACATACTGTACTTTAATGTTTTCTGAAATCTACATTTTGTGTGAAAACCTCATTTTGCATAAACACGCTTTGAAACTGTTCATTTAGGTGTTTCACACATTTCCTTTTTAGTTTCTATGACTCTGTTCCCCATTTTCAACCTCTGGATTTTATTCTTTACATGCAACTTGCTTGTAATAAATGTGTGTGATTGCAAGTGTATGTGTGCTTGAATGGATGAGGGAGTGTTTTTACTTCCTAGACACACCTTTGCTAGGTGTGTCTTACACCTAGCTATGTTTTAACCCCTTTCACTGTAATATTTAACTGGGAATGATTTATGAAAAGAAGCTCTCAATATTCAACATTTCTCCATATGCTTAAACAAAAATTTATATGTATATTAATGTGATGGTCAACCAGATCCTTGAACAAATTAGCACTTTTTTATTCCACAACCCAGCTACCACCATTGTTTATCCTTACATTTTCATCATTTATCTAATTACTCCCATAGTTTACAAACATAGGATGAACAGGAATTCATTTGGATTACCCGAAAATTCGGGTTACCAGGATTCGGATTACCGAGCTCTTACAATACTGGTAGTATTAAATTATAGTGATTTCTAATATGATTTACAATATATAATAATTTATGTGTAATACTATTTGCAAAAAGCATTAAACCAGACTGAATTGTATATAAAAATATAAATATACTCAGATACCATACAGTACACCTACAACAGCAAAATACGCTTCTGAGAAAGACCTTGTATTTGCACCAGGACAATCCTAGGGCATGGATAATTATTCGTTTAATTATTTAATAGCTGTCTATATACTATAAATACAATAACTTTATCAAATCATAAAAGGAAAATATTAAATTATATTTATATTTTGTCCACTCTGAGAAGTTGATGTACTGTAATTAGAAAATTCAACTGTAAGGTCTTGCTGCTCTAAGTGCAAGAGGTTAAAAACTCGCCAGTTAACTTTCAGGATCACACTTTATATAAAGTTGACTCACAGCATCCATAGTAAACACAGATTTACTCCAGTCAAGGGAAGCTCCAAGTCGCTTCAGCTGATCATATATGACCAAGCCCTTTTCCTCCTTCCACTTCCACACTTCGTTAACAAATCTGAAAAGGTTTACAAAATTGATCTCGAGGGGTCATAATACATCTGAAATTCAAGGAAAAGAAGCATGATAAGCAGACAATGCCCAGAGATACTTAAATTAAAATACTGTATATGTATTATAACATACACAATATTCTAACAGCTGAAGAATTCAAAAAAGAAAATTAATGCTGGTACAGGTACTCTACAGATATTTTTATACAAATGATAAAATATTGGGTAACGTGAAGCAACACATGCACACTACCCAGACATCCAAGGTCTTCATGTTGAGTTAAAAAGAATCAAATACTATGTTGATTCATGCTGCTACTACTGATAGCAGACAAGTAACCAAGGTGTTACGGTAATCGCCTGCTTAGGCAGAAGATCCTGCCTATTCACTTTACCACCTATTCACCAACATATATGCATGCTCCAACATAAGGAATCAACATCAACAACAATACGTGTTCAGAAGCCTCAGTGTCTAGACACGACACCCCCCTCCCCCTTCACCCTGTAATACCCAAGACATCTGGACACCTGCTATCTGGGCAGAGACCCAGTGCCACTCACTAACTGCTTGTTTAATTGCCGACCAATGGTTACCCACGACATCAACGCCATCTATGCTGACCTGGGCCGCATATATAAGGAGCTTGCTGATGTCCAGTCCTCGGAAGACCCTTCGTGCTCCAAGATGCAACATCTACTCTCGCTCCCCTGGGTGTCAGGTAGACTCGAGCAGCTCTTATATAGAGAATTAATTTGCACCTTTCTTTTGTTTAACGTAATAATTTACCTGTGTTTATATTTCTTTTATAATTTATGTTGTGTTATTGTCAAGTGGATAAGGGGCTTTATTTTGTTTGTTTTTAAAGTCATTTTTGTTATATTAAATGTTTTAAGTGTTTATTCTCTTTGTATTACCCGCAGCTCTCACACAGTAGAGGTCACAAGCGTCTTATTTACTTTTACTTTTTTTTTATTAATGTGATTGGCACAACATCAGCCAGAATAGCCACTGCTCTATTTTCAGATTAATGTCACAAAGGCTATCTATTCCCCTCAGTAACTCCTTTCACCTAAATGTCTTAATCATTCAGCATGGTGAAAAAAATTTTTTATAACGGATCGAAACGTTGTTGTTTCTCCATCTTCCGAGTTGTGGGTTGGTCATAACTAAGAGTTGGGCTATGAGAATGCCCATAATTTGAGCCATTGGACTTGTACAGTGATGCCATTGCCTACTTTCAAATTTGAAGCCTGCTGATACTTTAAACATTTCTTCAGCATTCTAAATGCTCATCTATTAATATGAACTTCCTCCATTCTCATAAATGTACATTAATTTATCTATAAAGTATTTTTGCTGTTTACCATATCTAATCTACACAGTGGACTTAAAAGTACAAAAAAATATACAGTATATTGAAGTACTGTACTGTATTTATAAATTTTAGTTAATTTATGCAAGTTTAGAGTACTGTAATTTATACAAATTGTTGATAGGGCAATCAAGAATGCCTAAGCTCAATACATTTTCATTTACCATTATAGGGATGCTACAGATAATGCATTGGATATTGTAATATACCATATTGCACATATATTTCTAGACCAGATTTTATCTTTTACTTTGATAATAATACTCCCTAAACCTTTAAGGGACATGATCATTTAGACAACAAGATTTCTTTCAAATAATGTAAGAACTACTTTAACTTTTATAAATTTTAAAAGAGACAATCATTGCCACCTCACCTTTCTCTACCCAGCTGGTGTTTTGTGACCCCTTCTGTGGCCCACAGGTGACGTTCAACAACAACCTGTGTGGCAATTCCTGCGTGATCGCATCCTGGCACCCAAACCACTTCATGTCCCTGCATCTGATGCCTTGCAAATAATTTAATGAGTTACAAAACACAGAAAACCTCCAGATTTATACATAAAGATTTAAATGCCCAAATTATAATGTTAGTATCATGGGTGATAAATAGTTCTCAATACTAAATATAACTTGTCAGCAAGAAGCTGCTGTTTTACTTGTACAAAATTTTTATACCCAATGGATGCACAAACTATTTTACCTTCATGTTACTCTTATCAGAAGGCAGATATCCTACAAAATACTGTAAATAGTATTTCAGTTAAATATACAACAAAATTCAACTGGGGTCATCATTATTAATTTTAAATAAAAAAGATGCAGACAGTAGATAGTTAATGATTACTCAATTCACCATATAACAATTATGGTGAAAGCAAAGCATTTAGCCAAATATTACAAGTGACCAGAACATATACAGTAACTTAAAACACACCATCTGACAATAGCATCTTGCACTGCACATGTTAGTGCGTGACCCAAGTGGAGATGCCCGGTAATATTTGGTGGCGGCAGAACCATGACAAATCTCTTCTGGGCTCCATGTTTGCGAAAGAATCCTCTGCTCTCCCACCATGGATACCAGTCACGCTCCACCTCACTTGGTATGTAGCCTGATGCAAGAGGCTGGGAGAGATCTACAAAGAAAAACACATTACAGCATTTGTCATATCCAAATTACACAAATGGACAGGTGCATATCAACTACAGTTTGGATATGTACTACCTGGATTTTACAAATAACAAGCACCAAAATCACATTATTAAAATCCCTGTGGAGCAATGTTTTGAATTACTGTACAGGTACTATGTTTAAGAAAAAAAGATAGAGTGTTGTAATACATCAGATTGTGAGCAGTTGTGTGTAACAGCCTGGTTGACCAGACCACCTATGAGGCCTGATCAAAGACTGGACCGCAGGGACAGTTATACATGAAATCACCACAAAGTTACAAGGTACTATAATTACTGCAGCAATAATTTAAGACAAGATGCTTCACTAACAAATGTGTTACCTAGGGAAGCAAAATAAAATCTTATTTTCTTTAGAAAATGAAAGTTATAGTGGCAAGTCAGTTGCATGCACTCCAGCAAACCTACACTACCATAATCTAATAGTACATGTTAAGACCTGTATAACATTTATTTTATACATGCACAGTAGATCAAGCAAGTTTTTATAAATCTAACTCGGTAGTCTTAAGTACACAAACTATTGCTGTGAAGGACTAGTCAAATCATACACAAAGTTTTGGTGTACATTCAGTCCACAAATAGTTATTTCACACACAGTAGAATTCATATATGCTAACCATTTTGTGCAAACAAAAGGGGTGGTTCTGGATAGAAAACGGTTACCTGAGGACCACAAAGAACATGTACAAAAAGTGTATGCTATGCTTTCCAACTTCAGATTCCCTTTTTAAATATACAGAGTGTGAAGTACCAGTACAGTAATTATTCGCGACCTCTGTGACACCAAAATTTGAATAAGCAGTTGTATGGTGCCCATATTTCAAGAAGTACATTAATAAACTGGAAAAAGTGCAAAGACGTGCAACTAAATGATTTTCAGAACTGAGAAATAAGAGCTATGAGGACAGGCTAGAGGTGTTAAACATACCAAAGTTCGAAGATAGAAGAAAAAACTTTATATGATCACCATGTACAAAATAACAACAGTAATGGACAAAACTGACAAAGAAGAATTCTTGAAACCAGCAACTTAGAGAACAAGAGATCACAGATAGGCTGACACTAAGAAAACAAAGCTGCCAAAAATAATTAGAGCTTTCACTTTTACAAACAAGACTGTAAATAGTTGGAACAAGTTAAGCGAGAAAGTAGTAGAGGCCATAGCCATCAATAGTTTCAAAGCATCACAAAAAAAAAAAAAAAAAAAAAAGGTAGATAGAACACCACGAGCGTAGCTCTCGTCCTGTAACACATAATTACACAGTATATGTGCATAAACTTGTGTTTGCTATTTTAGCCTTCATAGACTAAAGAACTACACTAATGAAACGTTATACTCATAACAAATTAATAATATGAATAAATAAAGTTTTACTTGGAAAGAAACTAACATTTCAATGACAAAGTCGATAATAAATGATCCAAGAACACGTAACTAGTGCATATAGCTGATCAATTTGTCTTTTAATTACCGTCTTTACCTTGCAATGTACACATCTTGAGATGTTTTGGGTGCTTTGCAACATTCTAAACTCACGTTGAAACAGTGTTCCCAATATGTATTTGAGGCCTCCAGAAAACATAAGCAATCTTAAAAGTGACATATTTGGGAGCATTTTTTCCTATTTTCAGAGAATGCATTTAATATAGGAAAGCAAAAAATTTGTATTTAATACTATTTTTTTTTTTTGTGCACATACAAATAATGCCTTGTGTAACCCGTGTGCAGTCCAGGGGTTAATCACTATATATAAACACTACTTTGGACCTTCTGAAGATGTATTTAATATACGAAAGTACTTAAGGAAATTTCCTGTTTCATTTTTCCTTCGTGGTCTGACATTGTCAAACACTACTTTACATATGGGTATTGTGTACAAGACATACACCAAACACCAAACAAGGAATAACCAAGAACAAGATTGAAAATGTGGTAAAGTAATTATAACAATACAGTACTTGAGTACAGCAGTATCCAAAAGGGGTCACTGGAGGGCAAGCCAAAATCATGAGTGATGTCACACAACACAAAGCACGAACAACAAATTCTTCCATCTTCACGAGGTTAACACAGGACAAGTCTGTTCAAAGAGCAAACACAGCACAAGTCTGTTCAAAGAGCAAACACAGGACAAGTCTGTTCAAAGAGCAAACACAGCACAAGTCTGTTCAAAGAGCAAACACAGCACAAGTCTGTTCAAAGAGCAAACACAGCACAAGTCTGTTCAAAGAGCAAACACAGGACAAGTCTGTTCAAAGAGCAAACACAGCACAAGTCTGTTCAAAGAGCAAACACAGCACAAGTCTGTTCAAAGAGCAAACACAGGACAAGTCTGTTCAAAGAGCAAACACAGCACAAGTCTGTTCAAAGAGCAAACACAGGACAAGTCTGTTCAAAGAGCAAACACAGCACAAGTCTGTTCAAAGAGCAAACACAGCACAAGTCTGTTCAAAGAGCAAACACAGCACAAGTCTGTTCAAAGAGCAAACACAGGACAAGTCTGTTCAAAGAGCAAACACAGCACAAGTCTGTTCAAAGAGCAAACACAGGACAAGTCTGTTCAAAGAGCAAACACAGGACAAGTCTGTTCAAAGAGCAAACACAGGACAAGTCTGTTCAAAGAGCAAACACAGGACAAGTCTGTTCAAAGAGCAAACACAGGACAAGTCTGTTCAAAGAGCAAACACAGGACAAGTCTGTTCAAAGAGCAAACACAGGACAAGTCTGTTCAAAGAGCAAACACAGGACAAGTCTGTTCAAAGAGCAAACACAGGACAAGTCTGTTCAAAGAGCTAACACAGGACAAGTCTGTTCAAAGAGCTAACACAGGACAAGTCTGTTCAAAGAGCTAACACAGGACAAGTCTGTTCAAAGAGCTAACACAGGACAAGTCTGTTCAAAGAGCTAACACAGGACAAGTCTGTTCAAAGAGCTAACACAGGACAAGTCTGTTCAAAGAGCTAACACAGGACAAGTCTGTTCAAAGAGCTAACACAGGACAAGTCTGTTCAAAGAGCTAACACAGGACAAGTCTGTTCAAAGAGCTAACTCAGGACAAGTCTGTTCAAAGAGCTAACACAGGACAAGTCTGTTCAAAGAGCTAACACAGGACAAGTCTGTTCAAAGAGCTAACTCAGGACAAGTCTGTTCAAAGAGCTAACTCAGGACAAGTCTGTTCAAAGAGCTAACTCAGGACAAGTCTGTTCAAAGAGCTAACTCAGGACAAGTCTGTTCAAAGAGCTAACTCAGGACAAGTCTGTTCAAAGAGCTAACTCAGGACAAGTCTGTTCAAAGAGCTAACTCAGGACAAGTCTGTTCAAAGAGCTAACTCAGGACAAGTCTGTTCAAAGAGCTAACTCAGGACAAGTCTGTTCAAAGAGCTAACTCAGGACAAGTCTGTTCAAAGAGCTAACTCAGGACAAGTCTGTTCAAAGAGCTAACTCAGGACAAGTCTGTTCAAAGAGCTAACTCAGGACAAGTCTGTTCAAAGAGCTAACTCAGGACAAGTCTGTTCAAAGAGCTAACTCAGGACAAGTCTGTTCAAAGAGCTAACTCAGGACAAGTCTGTTCAAAGAGCTAACTCAGGACAAGTCTGTTCAAAGAGCTAACTCAGGACAAGTCTGTTCAAAGAGCTAACTCAGGACAAGTCTGTTCAAAGAGCTAACTCAGGACAAGTCTGTTCAAAGAGCTAACTCAGGACAAGTCTGTTCAAAGAGCTAACTCAGGACAAGTCTGTTCAAAGAGCTAACTCAGGACAAGTCTGTTCAAAGAGCTAACTCAGGACAAGTCTGTTCAAAGAGCTAACTCAGGACAAGTCTGTTCAAAGAGCTAACTCAGGACAAGTCTGTTCAAAGAGCTAACTCAGGACAAGTCTGTTCAAAGAGCTAACTCAGGACAAGTCTGTTCAAAGAGCTAACTCAGGACAAGTCTGTTCAAAGAGCTAACTCAGGACAAGTCTGTTCAAAGAGCTAACTCAGGACAAGTCTGTTCAAAGAGCTAACTCAGGACAAGTCTGTTCAAAGAGCTAACTCAGGACAAGTCTGTTCAAAGAGCTAACTCAGGACAAGTCTGTTCAAAGAGCTAACTCAGGACAAGTCTGTTCAAAGAGCTAACTCAGGACAAGTCTGTTCAAAGAGCTAACTCAGGACAAGTCTGTTCAAAGAGCTAACTCAGGACAAGTCTGTTCAAAGAGCTAACTCAGGACAAGTCTGTTCAAAGAGCTAACTCAGGACAAGTCTGTTCAAAGAGCTAACTCAGGACAAGTCTGTTCAAAGAGCTAACTCAGGACAAGTCTGTTCAAAGAGCTAACTCAGGACAAGTCTGTTCAAAGAGCTAACTCAGGACAAGTCTGTTCAAAGAGCTAACTCAGGACAAGTCTGTTCAAAGAGCTAACTCAGGACAAGTCTGTTCAAAGAGCTAACTCAGGACAAGTCTGTTCAAAGAGCTAACTCAGGACAAGTCTGTTCAAAGAGCTAACTCAGGACAAGTCTGTTCAAAGAGCTAACTCAGGACAAGTCTGTTCAAAGAGCTAACTCAGGACAAGTCTGTTCAAAGAGCTAACTCAGGACAAGTCTGTTCAAAGAGCTAACTCAGGACAAGTCTGTTCAAAGAGCTAACTCAGGACAAGTCTGTTCAAAGAGCTAACTCAGGACAAGTCTGTTCAAAGAGCTAACTCAGGACAAGTCTGTTCAAAGAGCTAACTCAGGACAAGTCTGTTCAAAGAGCTAACTCAGGACAAGTCTGTTCAAAGAGCTAACTCAGGACAAGTCTGTTCAAAGAGCTAACTCAGGACAAGTCTGTTCAAAGAGCTAACTCAGGACAAGTCTGTTCAAAGAGCTAACTCAGGACAAGTCTGTTCAAAGAGCTAACTCAGGACAAGTCTGTTCAAAGAGCTAACTCAGGACAAGTCTGTTCAAAGAGCTAACTCAGGACAAGTCTGTTCAAAGAGCTAACTCAGGACAAGTCTGTTCAAAGAGCTAACTCAGGACAAGTCTGTTCAAAGAGCTAACTCAGGACAAGTCTGTTCAAAGAGCTAACTCAGGACAAGTCTGTTCAAAGAGCTAACTCAGGACAAGTCTGTTCAAAGAGCTAACTCAGGACAAGTCTGTTCAAAGAGCTAACTCAGGACAAGTCTGTTCAAAGAGCTAACTCAGGACAAGTCTGTTCAAAGAGCTAACTCAGGACAAGTCTGTTCAAAGAGCTAACTCAGGACAAGTCTGTTCAAAGAGCTAACTCAGGACAAGTCTGTTCAAAGAGCTAACTCAGGACAAGTCTGTTCAAAGAGCTAACTCAGGACAAGTCTGTTCAAAGAGCTAACTCAGGACAAGTCTGTTCAAAGAGCTAACTCAGGACAAGTCTGTTCAAAGAGCTAACTCAGGACAAGTCTGTTCAAAGAGCTAACTCAGGACAAGTCTGTTCAAAGAGCTAACTCAGGACAAGTTTGTTCAAAGAGCTGTCATAAAGTAAATATATTACTTTTGAACATTTTCAGAGCCTGTAATACTGTACCGACCTGGGAGAAGGAAGGCTTGTCAATGAACAACTATTCGTGCTAACAGAACACAGGAACTTTGCAATTATCACCATTACTGCGAAATTGTATTACCTTTCATAGTTACTTGTTTATTAGAGTGAATGACAAATGTTCTTCTAGGAGGATTTACGAGCCGGGAACATTTCAGACGGGTGAGGAAGACGATCATCTTTTAATACGTGCAAGTTCTCGTCTTAGGTCGTGTGTTCCTCCTTGTTCTTGATGGTAGAGTACTTGCAGCGTGCGGGAAGGTCCTCCTCCTCCTCCTGGTGCCAGCAACAGTGCTGATGGTGGGAGACGCTGAGCGACCCACACTCCCACACCGGCACGTCTGGCGCTCTTCTGTTTGGGCTCCCAGCTGACTCCTGGACGACTAGCGACCACCACCAGCGACCAACTTAGGCAACCACCACCAGCGATCAACTTAGGCAACCACCCCCAGCGACCAACTTAGGCGACCATCTCAAGCGACCAACTTAGGCAACCACCACCTGAATAGCCTTCTTACACTTTACAGGAGAAGCTGTAGAGCCTTCTTGCCTTCTACATGAGCTGTACTGTACATCCTTCTTACCCTCTGCATGAGAAGCTGTATAACCTTGTAGCAAGTACAAACATTATACTCACTACAGTCTCTCATTATCTTAATGGCATCACTAATTAGCACTAACTACAAAAGCTATAACCACCTATTTACAGGTAACATTCTTTCCATCCTGGTTGGAGGGAGCTGAGGTGTAGTCACCATATATAAACAAGCGATATGAGAATAGCTCCCACGGGAGACATCTCCCGTCACGCAGGGTGCAGTTGCACCTCCACAGATCTCCAGTATCAGCTCTTGTTACTGGTAATGGCTCAGAAGGGCCACCACTTACGGGCTATTCATGCCCGTGCCACCTCTTGGGTGGCTTAATCTTCATCAATCAATCAATCGAATAGATGACACGGGAGACATCTCCCGTCACGCAGGGTGCAGTTGCACCTCCACAGATCTCCAGTATCAGCTAATGATACTGGTAATGGCTCAAAAGAGTCACCACTTACGGGCTATTCATGCCCGTGCCACCTTTTGGGTGGCTTAATCTTCATTAATCAATCGAAAATAGATGACAGCACCGCTCCTGTGCCAGGTAAGCTACGGGCTCACCATAGACCGTGCTACTTGGAACTTGTTCTGAGTAGCTGAATATGTAACAACAACAGAATAGCAAGAGTTACGGGCTCACCATAGCCCGTGCTACATGGACACTTCGTTCTGAGTAGCTAAATCTGAAACAACAACAAACAGAATAGCAACACCTCCGCAGATCTCCAGTATCAGCTCTTGATACTGGTAATGGTTCAAAAGGTCCACCACTTACGGGCTATTCATGCCCGTGCCACTTCGTGGGTGGCTTAATCATCTTCAATCAATCAATCGAATAGCAACAAGTTTCAGCCCCGCTCCTGTGCCAGGTAAGTCCATCACGGGCTCACCATAGCCCGTGCTACTTGGAACTTTTAAATAAATAATAAATAAATAAATATGTTTATTCAGGTAAGGTACATACATACAAGTGATGTTACATTAATGGATTGATATATAGATAGAGCTAGTACATACAATGCCTAAAGCCACTATTACGCAATGCGTTTCGGGCAAGAAAAACATTAATATCTAGAACTTAATACTAATTGAGCATAAAGAATAAAAAGTGTTGAAAACAAATACAAATAAAGATAAAACTTGTTCTGGGGGAACATGACTGAAAAAGCAGCACAAATACAATAGGTTGACAAACAGTGTTGATTAAAAAAAAAAAAAAATAATAATAAAATAAAATAACAGACATGGGTTGACAATAAAGGAGTGAGGTGGGTTACAGGGAATTTATTAGGTATTGTTTAGTTTTTATCTTAAACTGGTTGAGAGAGGTACAGTCTTTAACATGGTTGGGAAGGTCATTCCACATTCTGGGTCCCTTGATTTGTAGAGCATTTCTAGTTTGATTAAGTCGTACTCTAGGAATATCAAAACTGTATTTATTCCTGGTGTGGTGCTCATGGGTTCTGTTACAACCTTCAATGAAGCTTTTGAGGTCAGGATTGGCATTACAGTTCAGCGTTTTATATATGTATAATACACAAGAGAGAATGTGCAGTGACTTAATATCTAACATATTCAGAGATTTGAGTAAGGGTACCGAGTGATGTCTGGGGCCAGAGTTGGATATTGTCCTAATAGCAGCTTTGTGTTGGGTAATGAGAGGACGTAAATGATTTTGGGTAGTAGAACCCCAAGCACAAATACCATAGTTGAGGTATGGATAGATGAGGGAGTAATAGAGAGTAACCAGGGCAGGGCGGGGTACATAATATCTGATCTTAGAAAGAATGCCAACAGTTTTTGAAACTTTTTTTGATATATTTAGAATGTGACCCTGGAAATTCAGCTTAATTCCCAGTAGCTGAATCTTAAACAACAACAGAATAGCAAACTACAATTTCCACAGTCAAGAATTTAGCACTCGGCGTATGCAGTTCTAATCGTACGTTACAACCTTCTTACCCTCTGCATGGGAAGCTGTATAGCCTTCTTAGGCAACCGCACCGGTGCAACATCTGGTGCACCGGTGCTGACCGTGACCGGTGCAGCATCTGGTGCACTGGTACTGACCATGACCGGTGCAACATCTGGTGCACCGGTACTGACCATGACCAATGCAACATCTGGTGCACTGGTACTGACCATGACCGGTGCAACATCTGATGCAATGGTACTGACCATGCCCGGTGCAACATCTGATGCAATGGTACTGACCATGACCGATGCAACATCTGGTGCACCGGTACTGACCGTGACCGGTACAACATCTGGTGCACCGGTACTGACCATGCCCAATGCAACATCTGGTGCACCGGTACTGACCACGTCCAGCACGGGTGATGTCCTGATCACGCTACACTCTCACCAAGCACAGTACACCGTTGTTGAGAGGCCGGTGTTCATTGTGAGGTGATTGTTCATGGTGATATTTTAAACGCCATCGTAACGAAGCCAAACTGTGATAGTGATCACGGGCTCACTGTAGCCCCGTGCTACATACATGGAAATTAACGTTCCCAGTAGCTGAATCAGAACGTGATAACGACAACGGGTCTGTGGCGACTCCTATTAAGACAAAATTTTAAAAGTCAGGTATGAATACAAAATGTCTTAACAGAACATAATATTATTTATAATAATAATGATTCTTAATCACAATTAGGTACAATCGGATTGTCAGATTACATAAGATTGGTATTTTCTCATTCTTGCAATAGTCGCTCAACATGCATAGCGTTTTGGGCAGGTCATTAATCTAACACATCAGGTAGGATGAAACTGTACATTGTAGCAAAATGTATATCAATATATATAACTACAATATAAACTGAGCGAGGTGATGACACTGGTGAAGATATATGATGGCTGACGCTGGCATCTCTTGATATGCTTGACCTTGATCAATATTGCTTCTTGAACCATTTTGCGAGTGGATCGTTAAGAGAGAATAGAATAAAACATGTTGTAAATACTGTGAATGTGGAATACAAGGGAGTATTACATATAGAAGTAATTATCAAAAGCATTAAATATGTAGAATTCTGACAGGCCGTCCTGGCGCTGGGAGGAGGCTAAACCTCCACACCACCTGACCTTGCCATGATTTCGGGGCTCAACTTCCCCGCGGCCCGGTCCCGACCAGGCCTCCAGGTTGCTGCACTGGTCAACCAAGGCTGTTGGACGCGGTTGCTCGCTGCCTGACGTATGAGTCACAGGCTGTGATTCATACTACGAGCAGCCACGTCCAACAGCCTGGTTGACCAGGACTGATCTGCATTTACTTGTTAGCACTCTTTTTAACGTTGTTCCATCACGTCATTAAACGCTCACGTTAAGCATTCCTAGCTAACTCTAGGAGGCTACATCCCTTAACGTGGGCGATCTATTCTATAATACAAGGTTCATGTATATCTGCCTCACTAGCATCTTCTTGCTTAGGACCATATAACTCACTTATAATTCATATAATCTTCATGATTATTCATGCAATGCATATTTTATTCATCACGTCCTTACACAGTTGTTATCAGTCATCAGGCTTCTTATCAGTGGTCACCAATTACTGTTAACTTCCACAACAAGGCATTTATTCACATTAAATTTTATTTGCCAAGTGGCACTCCATGTACAGTACTTATTTTGTCCAGGTCTTGAAGTGCATGACAATTTAAATTTCTTATCTTCCATATTATCTCAGCAAATATGTTCATATAATCCTGTACTCCATGCTGTACAGATCATTTATGTAGACAATGAACATCACCGGTGCAATAACTGAACCCTGTGGTACTCCACTTGTGACATTTCTCCAGTCCAATACATTGACTCTGATTATTGCCCTCATTTTTCTATCAGAAAATTTTTCATCCATGTTAGCAGCTTACCTGTCACCCCTCCAATATGTTCTAATTTCTAGAACAACCTCTTCTGTGGAACTCTGGCAAAAGCCTTTTTTAGGTCCAGATAGATGCAGTCAACCCAATCATCTCTTTTCTGTAAAATCTTTGTGGCTCGATCATAAAAACTGAATAAATTTGTTACAAAGGATTTTCCAGATCGAAACCCATACTGACCGACTGATATTATTATATAGTTTTTCTCCAGGTGTTCTACCCATTTAGTTTTAATTATTTTTTCCAATATTTTGACTACAGTGTTGCACTTGTCAGTGATACAGGTCTATAATTGAGGGGGGTCTTCACTGGTTCTCACACATATTTTAAGTGTGTGTGTTTACTCACCTAGTGCTTGCGGGGGTTGAGCTTCGGCTCTTTGGTCCCACCTCTCAACTATCAATCAACTGGTGTACAGGTTACTGAGCCTATTGGGCTCTACATATCTACTTTTTAAACTGTGTATGGAGTCAGTCTCCACCACATTGTTGCCTAGTGCATTCCATTTGTTAACTACTCTTGACACTGAAAAAGTTGTTTCTAATGTTTCTGTGGCCCATTTGAGTACTAAGGTTTCCACCTGTGTCACCTTATTCGTGTTCAACCCATGATAAATAGTTTGCCTTTGTTCACTTTATCAATTCCTGTGAGAATTTTGTAGGTGGTAATCATGTCTCCCCTTCTGTCGTCCAGGGACATCACGCTTAATTCCTGTAGCCTTTCCTCATAACTCATGCCTCTCAGCTCTGAGACTAGTCAGATGGCATACCTCTGAATCTTCTCTAACTTTGTCTTGTGTTTAACTAGGTATGGACTCCAGTCTGGAGCTGCATACTCAGGATTGGTCTGAGATGTGTGGTGTGTATACAAGGCTCTTAATGATCACTTACAGAAGTTTCTAAAAGCAGTTGTTATGTTGGCCAATCTAGCATATGCTGATGATGATATCCTTTTGATGTGGGTCTCTGGGGACAGGTTTGTTATGATATCAACCCCCATATCTTTCTCTCTATTTGACTCTTGAAGGATTTCACCTTCCAGATGGTACCTTGTGTTCAGCCTTCTGCTCCCTACACCTAATTTCATTACTTTACACTTATATACTTGATTTTAACTTTAATAGGCATTTCTAGACAATTCCTCCATTTTGTCTAGGTTGTCTTGTCTGTCTATCTTCCTCTGTCTTGACTCTTTTTCATCATCAGCAAACATTTGAGAGGAATGAGTCTATGCCCTCTGGAAGATCATTTACATATATCAGAAGAAAGATAGGTCCAAGTACAGAGCCCAGTGGCACTCTGCTGGTGACCTCTAGCCACTCAGAGGTGTCTCCCCCTCACAGTAACTCACTGTTTTGTTACTTAGATACTCCCTTATCCACTAGAGCACCTTACCTGTTGTGTGTGTGTGTACCCACCTAGATGTGCTTGCAGGGTCGAGCTAAGTTCCTAGTGCCTTTTGAGTGTTCAGAGATTAATGCACCGACTCATTTCTCACTCTTTCATCATATTTACATTTAAAATTTTGAATCAAATTTGCTTTAACGACTTCTGCATCTAACCTATTCCATTTATTGATAGCTCTAACACTGAAAAAGTTCTTCCTGATGTCTCTATGACTCATTTGCATCTCCAATTTTCATCTCTGACCTCTCGTTCTGCTGTTCCTAGCTTTGAACAATGCTGCATTGTCTACTTTGTCAATTTTCCTCAGAAATTCAGTGTGTGTGTGTCTGTAATAACCTAAGTGTAGTTACAGGATGAGAGCTACTTTCGTGGTGTCTCATTTTCCCAGTACTCTTTGGTATATAACACTTTGAAACTACTGTACTGACAGTTTTGGTCTCCTCCACCTTGCAAAATTCTCCACAGAAACAAATTCTAATATTTTTTGACACCTTTGATTCATTACCTTGAAAATTTTTATGTTTTAAAAAATTGTATTGTATGCTAAAAATTTATCTTACATTCTGTAAATCTTACATTACAACAATTACATAAAATCAATGTTTCATTGTACAGATAACATTCAGCAATATATAAATAAACATATTGTACTGTAAAATATTAAAAATAAATGTCAAATTCTACTAAATCTATAGTTCATTATGAGTTGCTAAAAAATATTTTACCAATAATTGTTTTAGCCCCAGAAATTATAATATGGAGTGATTTATATGATAAAAAAATTGTGTGTTTTGTCTTGCTGAAACCTCTTGATCCAGTTTTATGATACATTATGCCTATTACTGTATTTGCAGGCACGATGGGTAACCAGTCAGCTACGACTTCTGGCAGAAAATCAGCATCATCATCATCATCATCATCGCATGTAAACCATAGGAACCAGCCCAGAACAAGTTCAGCTGTTGTGACAGATATAACATCAAATGTTACTGCATACCAGCCACAGCAACACAGCAGAACTATTTCATCGAATGTGACGGCAACATCACTTAGGATAAAAACAGGGGTTCCTGATAAGACACAAAAAACTATTTCTGCATTACCAAACATTACTGCATACCAGCCACAGCATCACAGTAGAACTACTTTGTCTAATGTGACATCAACATCACTTAGGATAAAAACAGGGGTTCTTGATAAGACACAAAAAACTATTTCTGCATTACCAAACATTACTGCATACCAACCACATCATCACAGTAGAACTACTTTGCCTAATGTGACATCAACATCACTTAGGGTAAAAACAGGCATTCCCGATAAGGCACAACAAACAATTAACCACAGAACGAGATCCACTATTGTGACAGATTTATCACCAAATGTTACTGCATACCAGCCACAACATCACAGCAGAACTACTTTGTCTAATGTGACATCAACATCACTTAGGGTAAAAACAGGAGTTCCTGATAAAGCACAACAAACAGTTGAATGCAATATAAATGTTACTGTTTACCAGCCTCAACAACCCAGAACAATTTCACCTAATGTGTCAGCAATATTGTCTAATGTTCATGTACATCAGCCACAGGAACATAGCAAAATTACATCATTTGGTGTGATAGCAACATCACTTAGGAAAAAAACAAAAGTTCCGGATAAAGCACAGCAAACAATTAAATACAATATAAATAACTACATAATTCCTAAGTTACATCAGAGCCAGAGGCAACAGCAACAGCAAATTAATCTTCCATCCCAGATTCCACCAGCCTTGTTTGCATTACGTGTTTGTCCTCAGTACAACTGTAAAAATGGCTGCAATGCACTAATCTGTAGAAGGTTGCACGTATGTCACTATTGGATTATGAAAGACTGCAAAAAGGTTAACTGTGAGAATGCTCATTCACTTACATCAGATCATAATAGCAAGATTTTAAATGTTTTTTCAGATTTTGATTTAAATGCGATTATTGAAACCATACAGAATAATTACAAGCGAATGAGAAAGCTAAATCAAGAACAAGATGACTATATTTGCATACATGGCATCATGAACAAATGCAATAGGAATCCTTGTTCCCAAGTTCATGGTAAAAAAACTTATCAGTGGGAGGTGAGAGATTTTACTGGAAAATGGATACAGTTTTCATACACACAAAGTGATTATTTAGAAGGTTTATTCTGGCATCCATCTCAAGTTACGGCTGAATTGCCTCCACTACCATCACACATGAAAAATCATAAAACACTTCAACAACTCCAATATCTTTTGGCAAAAGGTAAGTCACAGTGGAAAGTTGATATGGAAACAATGAGCCTCTACACAGACATGTTCCATTACAATATACGAAGAGTGTCAACACCTTCAGATATCACAACTAACCTTCACTTGGCTTCTCGTTGGATTTGGTACTGGCAAGACAACAATGAATCATGGCAACCTTACACAGACGGTGTTCAAAAGTATTTTATTGTAGCTCTTAGTGATCAACTTGAATATCATATGCACTTTAATGACGGACCTTTCCGTGTTAAGGTTGGTAGCCATAATTATGTCATTGATACTCAGAATATGACCCAACAAAACAAAGAAACAGGAAAAGTACAACAGATACGGAGAAGGCCAGCCTGTATGGTATTAGAGAATAAGGTAACATTTGATAGAATGTTCTCAACTTTGCATAGCGAGAAGGAATTCATGTTGCATCATGTGTTACCTTCAACTTCAGAATTTACTTTGATAGAGAATATGATAAAGGAATCTCTTCCAAGTGTCAGGTTATCAAGCATAACAAAAGTTCAGAATAATCACCTGTGGAAAGCATACCAAAACAGGAAACATCAGCTTTTAGCTTTTTATAGCAATGATCTATCCCTGTTGAATGAGCAGTATCTTTTCCATGGAATCAAACATTCAGTAATTGATGAAATTTGTTGTAATAATTTTGACTGGAGACTTTTTGGTAGTAACACTAGTAACGTATATGGCCAGGGAGAACATTTTTCTAATAAAGTTAGTATATTAAATACCGTCTGTCAGACTAATAATTCAGGATTAAAAGCACTCTTTGTAGTATATGTGTTGGTGGGCACAATGACAATCGGAAATCCAAATATGGAGTTCCCTCCTGAAAATCCTGAAACGGGGAGATGTTTTGATACTACGTGTAATGATAAGCACAGCTCTGATATATTTGTGAAGTACAACAGAAATGAGTATTATCCAGCTTATATAGTGAAATACCATGCCAACAGTTGTTAAATTGGTTGGCCTTGGTTGTCCCAAGGAAACAAATATTTACAAAGGGAAGATAATTAAGACATAACTGAAACACTAAATGTAACTGAGAAAGAACTCGCCCAAAAGCATAAAGTAACAAAACAACCACAGCTTGAAGAAAATTAGGTACCCACAGGTAACTATACACAAATGATTGTTACCATTGATTAAACAACCTAACCATGATGTTCATGACCAAGTGGAAAAGTGTCGTTGTGACCTACTGAACATTACAACTATTCTTATTCTTACCTACACCACTGCCACAATCAAGAGCCAAGGAGCAGGGCCAACCATCCACTATGGTACCCAAGTTGAAGTGGTACAGCAGCACTGTCTATTAGCCTTTTGTCTACCAATCCCAAAGCATCCTCAGATACCATTACATTAGCCAAGCCACAAGAATCATATACAGTAAATAGACCACTGACCTGGCCAAAAACATCAACCTCGGCCTTGGACCAGCATTAGGACATCACTCCTCACCTCCCGGTCAACACGGGACTCTGCCTACAGCTTTACCACAAAGTGTCCCAACTCGAACAAATTATTTGTTGATGATCAAACCACACATCAGAAGATGGAGAAATGACGACGCTTCGATCCGTTCTGGATCATGTTGTACTGGTATGTCAGTCCCGAATAATGGTCCAGAACGAACTGAAACTCCATCCTTCTGATGTGTGGTTTGATCATCACATCTTCGGCCACGTTATTGTGACTCACCACCTGCGAATTATTTGTTACCACTCAGTACTTTCTTAAGAATAACTATTGCAGATTTTACTGTTTTTTAATGTGTAGTTATACTAAAAAGTTTAGACACCAATTAAAGAACACAAGATAAGCTGCAGTGTGAACTCATTCAAATGAACTATAGAAGTATCCATATGCAGGCGATGAGTCACAATAACGTGGCTAAAGTATGTTGACCAGACCACACACTAGAAGGTGAAGGGACGGACCGAAACGTCGTCGTCCCTTTACCTTCTAGTGTGTGGTCTGGTCAACTTTAGAAGTAAAGAGGACAGTGCCCTTCATATGTAACATGCCCTCCACAACTGTGACCAGGAAAGTACAGGGTCATGTGAGTTGGCACCCAGAGTAGCCTGCCACCTGCTGGTGGTCAGCTGCATCATAGTTTGGGTTTTTACACAGTGCAAATGATTGTTTGCCTCATTACCTTCTGGCACCTAATTTTCTTCAAGCAGTTACTAGTTTTGTTGTAATTGTGTTAATTTTCCTTGGTTTTGGCTCGACCTCTGATCCCAAATCTGCCCTCACCTATACGGAGAGCCAGTCTGGTCCTGACTTCTTGTAGGCAAGATTGTGTTCCAGAGGCCTGGTGCATTTCTCTAAGGCTCAGGTGGACCAGCATTTAGTTCTGGGAGCTACTGAAGGAGTTTCACCCAGAAAATTTTTGTAAATTGGGAATTAGATGCAAGGAAATGATCATTGGTAGGTAAGATCAATGATAAGGTGGTAGGTATTACTTTCTATCACCTTATATGTTCATTTATTTCATCCTCTCAACTAATGTGCCACAATTTGTATGCTATTGTCCTATTTGTATGCTATTCTACACACACACTTACACAAAGAGGTATTATGAAAAGTAGCTGCTAACAAATATCAACATTTTCTATGCGTAGGTTAGTTAGGTGGGTCGTTTGCATTTGTGCATTTTAGTACACCTTATTTTGTATGTTGTGGCAACTCAAGAGAATGGACTGGTTCATTACTCAGTTAAATACAACATGTTTACAACAAAAAGAATTAAATTTTTTCATCACATAAGAATTAAATTTTAAATTTAGTGCACATTTCAATTTCTAAATGTATGCATCCTATTCTTGATGAATTATCTTTTTTTGTGTGTAAAAAGTGGGACTGAGAAAAATATAAGACAGGATTACTGTCTTATAATGAATAAAGAATGGTATGGAGACACAAATTACTTTGTGTCACATTTCAAGGTGCTCATTCATGTTAATTCATGTTTGAAAAGGTAACCATGGCTGCCACGATCACAGAAGTGAGAATTATCATAGTTTGTGGTGTTAATTTAGAGAAAGCAAAGTTATAGAAAAGCTTGCTATTCAGGGCTTGATGATAAGCCAGTGGCATATTTTTCAGTGTTGTGTGACCAGACTGAAAGGTTTGAGGTACAGCTGGTGCAATCTCTAGTTTTAATGAGGGAGCCACCCCAAAAATGCACTCCACTGATTGGTTATGGCATGAGAGAAAGAGCCAGGCAATGTATCCTGTGACTTCAAGAAACCAGTATGATTTAAAGTGAGAAGGAATAACTCATGATTATGACAACTGTGTGAGGGGCCACATACCTATTGTAGTCTACTTAGTGGCAGCATCTTCAATGATGGTCACTTTATTGACTCCGTGTCATGAAGCAATGCACTAATATTAGACGAGCAAGTAGTCAAACTGCATTCGACTCTGTTGAAAAAGTTGACACCACTAATTATAATCGTTGCCTAAATGCTTGCAGGAACCTGTTGCTTTCAGAAATGAGTGAAATAACCAGCATGTGCTCTGATGCTTTGTTCTTTTGTGAAACACTGTTTATAGCCAGTTGTGACTATTAGTCTCCATTAATTGTAATCCTATTGACAAACCATTATTCTGAACTGTTGTGTGCAGTATCATTGACTAACCATTGTTTTGTAATGATTTGTGTGGTCCCATTGACCAACCAATGATTTGTGGTATCATTAATCAACCATTGTTTTGTAGCAATTTGTGTGGTTCCATTGACCAACCAATGATTTGTGGTATCATTAATCAACCATTGTTTTGTAGCGATTTGTGTGGTTCCATTGACCAACCAATGATTTGTGGTACCATTGAGCATCCATTGTTTTTTAGTGATTTAGTGCAGTAGTGTAGTGCAGTCTCCATGGCGCAGTGGTAAGATATTCGCCTGGCGTTTCGCAAGCGCCTTGCCTTGGGTTTGAATCCTGGCCGGGGAGGAGTGACCGGGCGCCAATCCTTAACTGTAGCCTCTGTTCACCCAGCAGTGAATGGGTACCTGGTTGTTAAACGATTCGGCGGGGTCGTATTCTGGGGAAATTAGGGTTAAGGACCTGCCTGAAACGCTACGCGTACTAGTAGCTTTACAAGAATGTAATGTAAATGTAAAACTCTTGTATTTGTTGGTCCCATTGACCAACCATTGTTTTGTAGTGATTTATGTGGTCTTATTGACCAACCATTGATTTCTAGTGCTTTGTGTAATACCATTGACCAACCATTGATTTCTAGTGCTTTGTGTAATACCATTGAGCAACCATTGTTTTTTAGTGATTTAAGTAGCACCATTGATTTATGTGGTATCATTGATGAAACTTTTGTAGTGATTTATGTGGTCCCATTAACCAACCATTGATTTATGTGGTATCATTGACGAACCATTGTTTTGTAGTGATTTGTGTGGTCCCATTGATTATGAATTTTGTGTCCCTATTACTGATGATATACAGTAGTAAGCTTTGCCAGAAGTATGTCAGCCATCTAATTAATGTACAGTGGAACCTCGGTTTATGAATGCCCCCTCTTTACGAATTTTTCAGTAAGTATACTGTACGAGGTCAATTTTCTCGTAAAATTTAACTCGGTGTACGAGGTTTGATTCGGATTACGAGTTTGTTGATACAAGTGTGGGTCGCAGAGCGCATGGGTTCTGCTGGGTGCGGCACGCTCAATTTACTAGTGTCTCCCACCTAGAGACAACTGCGCTTGAATTCTTTGTGAATATTTTCATTGTTTTTTCTGCTTTCTTGGTTTCTGAACATAAAAGTTATTATATATCACACCATGGGTCACAAGAAAGTCAGTGGTAAAGTTCAACCTTAGAAAATAGTTGTGAGTAGAGGCAGTAAAGGATGTCCCTTCCCCATTAAGAAAATGTGTGCAGTATGGGAAAAACTGTAAGTTTTGCTGAAAAAACTCCCCCAGATAAAGCTGTAGCAGGCCGTTGCATTAACCTTTTTAATGACAATATGATGTCTCACTACAGTGTTAAAATGTAGGGAAAAAACAAGTGTCTTTAGACAGATTCTTAGTAAGACAAGCAAGTCCTAGTGGTATACCTGCAAAACGTAAGAGTGAGTACCCCAGAAATGTCATCAGTGCCTGATGTTATAATGCAAGGGGACTCCCCTACCAAACACTAACACCTTCCCTCCTCACCGTCTTCCATACACCAGCAAGAGTCCTTAATAAAGGTAAGGTACCTGTATTGTAAAAAAAAATATGAGTAGATCTCAGTATAAAATGTATTTTCAAGTTAATATTTTTGGGTGTGTGAACAGATTAATTCAATTTACATTATTTCTTTTGGGGAACATTCAGTTCAGTTTACAAATTTTTGGTGTACGAACCGTCTCTTGGAACTAATTAAATTCATAAACCAAAGGTCCACTGTAGTTGAAATTCCTCTTTGTTTTTATGCATGAAATTAAAGTTTTGAATAAATATAAGATGAACATGCAGCTTTCCTTTTTCCTGAAGAAATCTTGCATTGACTGCAGTGATCAGGGAAATCACGACCACCCTAGAACTTTAGAATATTCTGTGACATGAACTGAACTCAATATTGGTATGGTAAAGTAATTATGAGGAGAAAGCACTAAACCTTAGGATCCGAGAATGAGGTGAGCTCTGTGTGTCTTGCAAACCCAGGTGATTTTAGCTTGAGGTAATGGTATATCTCTGCAGAAGGTTTAAGAAGTGCAATTGCTAAAGAATTAGACATTAACCAACCTTTGTTACACAAATTGTCAATGCAGCCTGTGTTGAGTAGCACTTGTATTAAGGTAATTGCAACATTGCAGCAGTAAAATGGAATTTACTAGGATTGATAACTCATAGTCACTTGTGAAAAATAAAATGAGTAGTGTAATTCTCAGTGGGTTGAGTCCAGAAAAGTTTGCAACCTCTTGCAGAATTGTTAAAAGACAAGCATGATAATGAAAACCTAAAAAGTTAAAGTAAAAACACACACAGAGTGAAAAAACACACTACAAACTTAGTACCAAGTTATCAATTAGCAAGGCCCACAAATGAGTTAAGAAGACTGTCAAATCCAGCATTTGGATGGCCAGCATTAAGGAGATTAACCCATTCTCGTGACATGGGGGCAAGGGCTCTCTACAAAAGGCAAAAGTACAATCTGCTCATCAAGTACCTGGCTTAGCTTGGAAAAGATTGAGACTACAACCTTGGGTCTGTGCTTACCAAGTTAAGAGAGGAATGACTCCAGCAGAGATATTTGCAAGCTGCAGGAAGACAATCAGTTGCACAACGAAGTAGCGAGAGAACTGATGGAATGTTGTATTTGTCATGGTTAACAAGGATATTGTGCAAGCCTTTGCCATTTTCTGCATGCCAGCTCAATGACAAGCTCACAGATGTGAGATATTGAACTGTCCACACTGTCTGCAGCATGCATAGTTTTCTAAATATGTATTTATCACCTTAGTAGCAGCAAAATTACAGGTAGAAATTTATAAGCACCCATCTGGAGTGAAGTAAGGGGTAACCCCATGTCTGAAAAGCAGCAACCTCTTCACTGCTGACAACACTGCACATTACCAGGTAACCAGAGGCAGGTCCGCAGGGAGACGGAAGGTGATGACCATGAGGTAAACGTTGATGCTTTGCAATGAATGTAAGGGACTATGAAAATTCCTGTGTGGCCCTAACAGCCAGCAGCAGCTCTTGACCGTTGATGAGCAACTGTAGGATGGTGCTGATGTCACTGACAACTTGCGAATGCAGTCTTGAAGGTCTAGTTGCTTCAGTTACTTTACAGTGTGGTGAAATTTAATGAGCACCAAGCTTTGTTTTGTTTTTTAACCCGATCGATCACGCTAATTAATCAACCTTGGGGCTTGATCCCCACTAGTAGTTTATAACCTCGGAAACTTGAGTGTGGAGTTAATTAGATGGGGATGATGAATTCCGATCCGATGTTAGAATCGGCGCCCAATGCAACTCTGCCTCGTGTGGACCACGTGACCAGGACAAGTTTACACATAACCAAATGGAAACAATAAAATGCAAATTAATAACAAATTTAATTTATTAAGAGAAAACTAAAACAAAATCTAAATGTGTTCACTCCCTATCACTTTAACACTCCCTACTTGACCTGAATGGCAAATGAGAAGACTATCCCTATAATTTACAATAGCAACTATACCTTGGGCGACCAGCTCTGGGTGTTGTGCTGGTCTTGGGGAGAGGTAAGATGTTGACCTCTTATCCCAGCTGCTTCCGTGACCACACTGATCTCTCTCTTGTCTGGTCTACCCCAGACTAGAACATTGTATTGTTCCGCATCGCTTACCCAGTTACTTTAGCAAGGTTAAGTTATAACAATTAAACTCTGTTTGTACTGAATTGATCCAGACTGGTTGAATTATTTTACTGAATTAAATTACAAACATCTAACGGCAGAGCTGTTCCCGATCACAAAATGGTTATTAAACTTTGAGAAATAGTAGACCTGTCAACCCCTGATGACCTATGACCGCCGGTCACTCCGCCTCAAAAGTTAGATCTGATTCGTGACGTCACTGATGGTGACTTAAACTCAATAATTAGAATACTCTTGATATTGTATCCAGTACTATTATACAATACAATTTTAATGCAAAATGAATAAAGGCTAATTTTCTCTAAATTACTGAATACTATAGGATGGTTCATTATACGCAGATATGAACAAAGCGTCGGTTAATTCCCACCGCGAATTCCCCTGGGGGTCAGGTCACCATGCGGCTCAGCTTCCCATTCTCTTTTGTCGATAAACCACTCTGGATAATTCTTACAACAGCCTAGTTTGTTACAATGACATGAGAAACTTCACCAATATTAAAGCGTTCCTCTCTGCGATGCCCTGTACTGATGGATTTTAGAGGGGTGAAATGTACATTTACAGTCAATTTCCTTCCATGAATTCACCACCTTTAGCATAAGAGAGAGTGAGTGTAATGCTGAATATATTATAAAGAGTTGAAGTCAGCAACATGAGTCTGGCATCTTGATGTCACATTTATTTACACACCTTATAATGTGTCAGGTGGCTGGGTCAACAGTTAATGAGTCTAGGCCAGTAAATCACATCATTAAAGACCTGCTAATCTCATAACTGTGGTAGGTCACATGTTTCAATGCTTTGAGGTTCCCAACAATGAGCAGCCACCTTGTTGTTGTTTGATAGTAAGGGACACCCCCCCCCCAGGCTATATCAATAGGCAAAGTTTTTTCCTCCCTAGATCTCAATTAAATTATTGAACCAGTCAGGGGTGAAGGCATTCAAGAAAATTAACATTCAGAGACACAACCAAACTCAGAGAGCTACTGGTAGCCTCCCACACGAGTCTTGGAGTTATGTTGAAGAAGCCAGACTTTGCAAGCAGCCTAGTAAGAATATGTTGGTGAGTTATGGGTATAAAGTAATGTACTGTTGCATACGAGATGTGTATAAATGTCAGGGATAGTTTCAGTGGTGTAACATCTTGGAGTTGTCAGTGACCCGGCTTGTGTTGGTATCTGACTTGGATTTATACATGTAAAGTATGACAAATATGTCGACTATTAATGATGTTATACACTTACCTTATTAGAAAGTAATTTGACGTAATAAGATAACTCCATTTTGTCTATAAAGAATAAAGATGGTGGCAGCTTATTCTTTCCCTTTATCTTCCCTTAACTCCTTTACCCCATTATCTTCTCCTTTCAGTTTCTACCCCCCTTTCTCTTCATCCTTCTTATTCTTTCCCTTTACCATTTACCCTCCTTTGACACCTAGATCTCTTTTTCACCTTGATCCATTCCCTCCCATTCACTATTTTTTCCTCCCATCCCCATTACATTTCTCATTATTTCAAGAGAAGCGAGTAAGATTTTATATACTGTACTATACTTTGCCTCTCTAGCTTCAAATAATAATAAACTTTACCTTTTCTATACAATAATTATTTAACCGGGTATTATTAAACAGCAGTATGCCTACTCCACGAGTACAGTACAGAGAATGCCTCCTTTCATGCCAACCATTTGATACGTCCAGTTTACCCAGATGCTTTATAATCTTGACAAGGATAATCAGACAAGGTTTGAAAAATAAACTTATTTATATATTATTACTCGACATACTGTACATTACCTCATGGCGAATGACTAGGATGGTTTTTTAAGTGTAGAATATACAATCCATGCACTAAGTCCAGTGGATATCAAGGCCCCAGACCTTGTAACAAACAAATAAATAGCATTAATTATAAGTTTTGCAATCTGCTCTGTAATTACACATTTACTACCATTATATAAATGTTATCTCTAAAACATATTTACTATATTTTTCCTATCCTTCAAACTCCACTTGCATCATTCAACTTTTTGCATTCCATTTTAAATAGCTCGCTCCCGACAGTATTCCAGAATTTAAGAGTACAGAATTTTTCATCACAGCTGATTAATGATTTGCGTAACTAAATTAAATTTAGTTCCAACAATATGCGCATTTCAAAAAGGTGATAAAATACTATACTGCACTATGGGGTAATAATAATCCTATGGGCTTATATTATTATTATTATTATTTACAGTCTAGGTGAATGGAACCTATGGGCTTTGTTCTCGACTCACACTCAGGGATCCCAAGTTCAATTCCCAGGCAGAACAAATGGTTGGACACATATCCTTACACCTTATGCCTATGTTCACCAAGCAGTAAAAAGGTTCCCAGGTACCCATGAGTTAGGCTACTGTTGTGGGGTTCATCCTGGGGAGAATCAGTAGTTTGATGTTGGAGGGGGGGGGGGGGAAGGTCCTCATTACCAGCTTAAAGTATATATATATATATACACAGGCTTCCTGTCCTTAACAAAACAAATTAGTGTCATTATTATTCTTGCTTTTTTACCTATCCACGTATGAATTCTGCACCACTTGGATCATGGGGGCTTAGTATATACTAAACTGGTTAGGAACTTGAAATGCTATGAGGCTGCCCTCAGTCTAAGGCTATAATTGCTATGAACTACCACATAGCACTCTGGAACTTTTAAACATGGACACACAAGCCATCTGTAAATCCTGAACCTGGACCTTTATTAAGTCAGCATTTGGTTTTACCTGGGCAATTATCGTCATAATATTTTATCTTTTCTGGACTATTATTAAATCAAAACAGCAGGTTCACAATGTATTTTTAATCAAGTCGTAACATCTTGTCTGCCCTGGACCACTATCAAGCAGTAACACAACACTGATTAAGGATGGCTAAAACATCACCCAATTTCCATCTCCCACGTACAGATATTGTGCACATGTTTCATCCTCTACAATGTGACATTCACTTCAGCTACTCACTAACTTTCAGAAGCATCTGAGAGTCAACAATATTCAGAGAAGTGTAAAGTAACCAGAGATATACATACCAGGCAAGGGTCCTCACAAATGGAGAATGCCGAAGTCTATTGTAGAATTTAACTTTCAAGTGGCTGTCCTTTGCCAGGTTTGTAAAGATGTCTCTTGTGCTGTTGACAAAACTCATAAGTCAAAGAAAACACACACACACACACATACATACACTTCTTTTATATATGTGAAACCATTAAAATATTCTGCCCAAAAAACTAATCTTTAGGAGTTTAGGCTGACCTGCATCAACCTCGTATATCCTTACTTAAGTGAACTTGAACACGACCTCTGCATTTTAACAAAATATTCAGGGGAAAATAATCTCTGCAAAATGCATTGCTATAATTTCTAAACCCTAAGAGTAGTTACCACCTTGACTGTCACAGTATCGGCAGGAGGAAGATGATCTTTACCGTGCAAGGGAGACAATACGAGCATGTAAGGAGTTGAAGGTACTCTTGAGTAAAATGACAGTGTTGAAGGCATGATGTAATAATGCGCAAGTGCCAAAAATTATTTATGTAGCATGTTAGAAATAACAGCTCCTATCTAGTGCCATAAGTAAGTTTTGTGCTGTAAATAATAGCACTATATGCCAGAACTAATATTGCCAGCTATGACAAAACCCTGAATTTTACCAAACTTAGTCTTCATTGAAAGGTGCACCATTAAAACGAAAATAAAATCTTTTGACTATAAGAACATAAGAATCACAGAGCAGTGCAACAGGCCCGAGTGTCCACACTAGGTAGGTCTAATTTAAATCCACTTCCTCTCCCATAGACCTATCCACTCTATTCTTGAAATTTATGAAAGTGTTTGTCTCAATAATAATAGTTTGTAACCTCTACCACCTATTCGCAACTTTATTCCCAAACCAATACTTCCTTATATTTTTCCTACTACAAAATTTCTTGAGCATGTACCAATTTTTACAATTTCTGATCTGTTCTGACTAGTTTCAGAACCCTATTTATATTTCCCCAATTTCTACCCATAACCTACTTGAAACCCTCAATCATATCTCCCCATATCATGTGTTTCTTGTAGGAAAGGTTCCCAATACCAGATATTTGTTTAGTCGCCCTTCTCTGCACAGTAATATCCAAAGATATTTTACCTTCCTCTAAGATTTCCTCCTCCTCACCTCTCTCTCTTGCCTTACTTATGCCTATGCCTTTCTCGTCTTTTCACAAACGACTTGATAATGGTCCAGGACGGACCGAAATGTCGTCGTCTTTTTATCTTCTAGTGTGTGGTTTGGTCAACATATTCTAAGAGTTGATGTCTGTTCTGAAGTGCAACGACCAGAGCTGCAAAATGTAGTCCAAGTGAGGCTTCATCAGTGCTAGATATAGCTGAAATATGCTATTCATACTTCTTTTACTGACTCTTCATTTGATAAATCTCGGGGCACTGCCAACTTTATTTTGTACATTGATCCGTTGTTATCTTGAACTCTAGGTTGCTACTAACTGTCACTTTTACGTTTCTCACAATTTTATCCCAGGTCGAAAGTCTATATGACCAAAGAAGTAAGAAAAGATATATATGTGTTGTAAAGCCTAACATATACAATGTAAAGTCTAATACACACAATATAAGCATAATTTAATATACAGTACATACACTACTGTTGAGTCTGATATACACACTATAAAGCCTAATATACACACTATAAAGCCTAATATACCCTATAAAGCTTAATATGCAAACTATAATGCCTAATACACAACCACAAAGCCTAATAGTCAGATACATTCACTCAAAAGCACCTCACCCAAATAATGACACGAACAGATAATGTAGATAATAACTAAATGTGTACTGTAACTGGTTTCTCTCGATGCTTACCACGACCATGAAGACGTAGCAACCAGGACAGAGTTGGCGTTACGAGGTACAACATCAAGATGTCCGTACTGTGCCAGTGCTATCGACACACTGCCAGGAGTCACCAATGCCGACCTGGTGCGGCCCTCCACTAGTAACCAGGGAGGTCGCTTAGATTTCGGATCTTGGCCAGCCAACTCCTAGGGTATATAAAAAACTTATATTGTTTATAATTTAAATCAAATGTCTTAAAGCATAACTGAACAACGCATGTGTATTGGTGATCGTTGTAATATCATTTACCATAACTTTGTGTCTAATATACAACATAGCACTAACAACAAAATTAGCAACATTTTAAGTGGCACACTGAGAGGCAAGTTTGAACAGAATGACCTCCCAATTGTGAGCTGTCACAAACCTGAGGGTAACACTGATGGAGCCCACTAAGGGAAATGTAGGAGACAACAGGGGGATGACCATCAAAATACTATGTATGGCACCCCTTTCAAGCAGCTTTACTAGTCCCAATAGTGGGTCATAATGCCCAATACTCCAGATACAAAGCTAAGGTTAAAATACTAAGTCAGGTCACGAGGTCCTCTGCCATTAACTAAAATGTGAGAGATGCCCAAAAGCCAATTTGAGTGTTCAGTGATATCTAACTTATTACAACACCCAGTTAAGAAAGTCAAGCAATACCTGTGACAATGTATCTATGGCTGAAAAGAGAATGTCTGTCTGTCCGAGCCTGGAGATGAGACAGTTGTGGTTAGCCTCACGTAACTTTCCAAGGTGAATTATGATTATATGGAGGAGGGAAGGGAACTATCAGGAGAAAGTGTCAAGCCAATATAACTATATAGCCTCCCAAGGGGGGTTATATCCTGGAGGGGGTTTCAAGATAAGGATTTGGGATGGGACGGGTTGGGGGGGGGGGGAAATGGTGCCCAACCATTTGGACGGTCGGGGATTGAGCGCCTACCTGCATGAAGCGAGACCATTGCTCTACCATCCAGATTATATGGGGGAGTGTTGTAAGAGGGGTCGAGGTCGACTCTTCATGCTTCTTCTTCAAATAAGATTGGCTCCTATTGTGACACCCAATGACTCCTATCAAATCTGATATATGGGTTTTGCTATATTGTGTTTTCAATCCAATTTTCAGCTCTTCACGACACACAATGTAAACACAATGTTCTTACGACTTTGCATCAAAATATCAAAAGTAAAAATAACGTTGTGATTAAGTTTTGTGTTTGGTGGGTGCTTAAATTGAATGTTCTGAGAGAGAGAATGGGACGGATCAATAGAGATAGAATATAAGCAAGGGAGGGAGGATGGAAAATGGAAGAATGAATGGGAGGAAGGACAGAAGGAATGGAAAATGAAAGGATGGGAGAATGGGAGGGAGGAATACTGGAAGAGTGGAAAAGAGGGAGTATGGGTAGGAGGGAGAGAAATGAGCGGAGTCAGAAAAGGCCATTTGAAAATAAATAGCCACAACTACTTTGCCAAAGTGTGACCTGTTGGGTACACAAGGTGAGATAAAGGCCTAATGGACAATGAGCACAACAACAAGTAAAATTACCGATCAAAGTTCTGGATGACTTTCAATGACATAAGGGATCACAGAGCTAAGCAACTGCTATGTACCACTAGCACTGAACTGAGAAAATGGCCCAGAAAAATATCAAGGAAATTTGGTCTTGTAAAAGTGCACACACAAAGCACTAAATGTATATATAAGTATGATCCACACAAAGCGAGGTGACCAGGCAGGTGAAATGATATTTTAAGGGTACGAGAGAGGCTTGGAGGCGTTTACGAATTGATCTCTGGCAGTTATCCTGGGCTGAACTGGATATTCATCAGTGCCTTCCTAGCCTTTATAATAATGATGGAGGGATCATTCAAGTAGTTCCCCTGTAGTGCCAGTGTCAGTAATCCAGTCCGACAGTAGCATGATCCAGCCCAAGGACACAGGAGGATCTTACCATATTGAGCAATGAAATTCTTAATTTGCTAAAGAAATTCACAAATTGGTAAAACCTACATACCAGTACAGCATTGTTTCCCAAGGCCCTACAGAGGACTTGGTATATTTGTGCATTTACAGTGATATAATCTTTGTCCATGTCAGGATAAACAAAACAGGCCAACAGATATTGAGAGAGACCTAAGCCTCCACAACACTTTCTGAACCAGGTAGCATCACAGAAAACTTGTCCTGTGCAAGTAAACAACAATTTTAAATTGCTCAGACAGCCAACCAATTTTAGTAGTTTCAAAAACAAGTGTTTCACTGGACTGTAGTGAATCCAGAGCAATAAAAAGACTGACTCGTAAATGTCTCCGGTCTTTAAACTGTGAATGGGCAACTTGCCTGCACTCTATACATCTATGTAAATACACATCTTCAAAAAATATATGCTGTATACACACTGTGAAGCTAAATACAGTGTACACACTGCATAGCCTAATACAGTATATGCACTGTAGATTCTAATATACACATTAACATGACTAATATACACACTGTAGAAATTATTATATAGACTATAAAGCCTATTAGTGAATATACACTGTAAAGCCTGTTATTCACTGTAGAACCTATTATATAGTGTAGAATGTATTATATACTGGTGGTGGTGATGATGATGATGATGATAGCGATAAAGGAAACATGAAGAATATCCATACCATATAAGGAATTGCTGCCCTTTGAATCTGCACACAATTTGCTAAGCTCTTAAGAGCGTAAACATGTTCTCGTGGGCTCATGGGGCGTTGCTGTGACAACCTGCGGGAAGAGTGCACAGCTGACGCAATTACTAATATTTATAAAAGATGATATTAAACAATTCTAGCTAAAGCTATAATATACTGTATAAATACTGGATTATTAAGCATAACACCATTTGGGAACAGTATTCTTGGAATATTTTAGGGTCAATCGTTACCCATAATAAAAGTTTTCCCACGGATTTGATCGGCAGTTATCATTGTTTGGACACTATGGTTACATGATGTTAAATTCATGCCGTGGATCCCAGGACGTATCCAGTCACACAGCATCTCTGTCAGTGGAGGATACAGGTGCAGAAAACTTGGGAGAGTGCAGAGAGTAATAATTCCCTGGTTGTAACTGGTATTCACCGTCACAGGTTAAGTCACTTGAGCATCACAGCTTGTATTCAGTGCCACAGTTAACAGTCACTCACGCATCACAGCTTGTATTCAGTGCCACAGTTAACAGTCACTTGAGCATCACAGCTTATATTCAGTGTAACAATTAACAGTCACTTGAGCATCACAGCTTGTATTCAGTGCCACAGTTAACAGTCACTCAAGCATCACAGCTTGTATTCAGTGCCACAGTTAACAGTCACTCAAGCATCACAGCTTGTATTCAGTGCCACAGTTAACAGTCACTCAAGTATCACAGCTTGTATTCAGTGCCACAATTAACAGTCACTCAAGTATCACAGCTTGTATTCAGTGCCACATTTAACAGTCACTCAAGCACCACAGCTTGTATTCAGTGTCACAGTTAACAGTCACTCAAGTACCACAGCTTGTGTTCAGTGCAACAGTTAAAAGTCCTTCTGGCTACATTAATACATTCCTGGGGCGAGATTTACAAAGCAGTTACACAAGCACTGACGAACCTGTACATCTTTTCTCAATCTTTGGCAGCTTTGTTTACAATTATTAAACAGTTAATGAGCTCCAAAGCACCAGGAGGCTGTTTATAACAATAACAACAGTTGATTGGGAAGTTTTCATGCTTGTAAACTGTTTAATAAAGTAACCAAAGCCGTCAAAGATTGAGGAAAGATGTACATGTTCGAAAGTTATTGCGTAACTGCTTCGTAAATCTGGCCCCTGGACCTCAGCAGCTCAATATATATACTATACTATCTGTTCTTCCTACCATAAATTACACTCAAAATTCTTACTCACTGAATTCTGCCTGTTATGCTACTCAGAGAGAAGGGTATCATGAAGCCCAGGTGATGATGTGATTACACTACCACTCATCATGAAATCCTCTTTCCCAATCAACTGTTTATCACATGTGTATCAAACTACCTTAATAAAATTGTTATTTATGTATTCTGTATTATACAATATTCCTAAGATTCTTGGGTAAACTGAACATCTTTAGCTCTATTCTAAATCATGTAAAATCTCTTAATAGCAACAATATTACAAAACATTTATATGGATCTCACACTCAATTTCAGTGTAATTTATTAATAAACAACTTGATATCTAGATATCACATTATGATTATATTTTAACCCTTAGACATTGGCTATGAAGGTCATACTCACCTATGCACAAAGAAATCAACAAATAAAAATATTCACAATTACTATTTTTCATCAACAAAGAATGACGAGGAAGACTGGTATATTTACGATGACATTTGGAGCATGGCATGAACGTGGGCCATAGTGAGAAAACACCCACCGGTGAGGAAAGCATCATAGCCTGCTTCGTGGGGCAGTGTCTCGTTTCCACCTACAAATATACAATTATATTAGTGTTGGACAGGTTGTTGCAGTATAGGCAACCAACAGAAAGCTGAACACGTTCACGGTTTTCTTAACCACTGTGTTCTAATTTTGTTCCCTGCAATATTTTTATGGTTATCTTATTTTATCCCATCTTTCTTGCTCCCCATCTATCCCTAGCTTTTAAAATATCAAGTTAGTATTACTATTTGTTTACTTTTTTGTTTACATCAAACTAATAAAAAGCAAACCTTACACACAGCCTCTATTCATGTAGCAGCAAATAAGAACCTGGGTGTTAGTTGGCTGTTACCCCGGTGGACACAGTACCCAAGAACAATGGCAATTCAACATTTAATCAATATCATCAATGTTGATTCTATAGTGGCTTAACATTGTCAACTATGATTCAAAATCTCTTCCAAATTGTGCCACCTCACTAATTCCTCTCGGTTGCCTGCTGGTAATTTTGGATATTTTGTATTAAACTATACCAACTCAATGCGTGATTTCTTAGTGCCATATATTAATATGTTAGACATTTTGAACTGTTACACTCCAAAATTTGTGACTTCCTGAATAACTATTAAGATATGTCTGCAAACCAATGCATCCATTATCAACTATCACAACAAACTTCCTGCATGTTTCTGCAATTTTTCCATGCTGCCATATTAATAATTATTATTGTTATCCTGTTTCCCACTTTCATAGCCCAGTATGCAGTCTTAACATTAAAAGTGAAGAATGGCATAACACACAGACATATGAAATGTAATATTAACATAACATTACAAATAAATAATATTAACAATATTATTTATTAATATTAACAATAACATTACAGTCATAACATTACAAATAAAGCATACTAACTATACTTGTTGTCAGGCGGGCAGTGTTTGAGTGAGGGTTGGTATAAAACTGGCATCTCCCTCTTCAGAGATGAATGTAGCTCAACCAGCCCCGTATTATTAATCAAGTTCCTCACTGAAATATAAACAAATAATAACGAGTCACTAAAACTAAATGATTCCAAGATATGTATACTCATATACTATGATAATATATGTAATTTTGGGTGAATATAATTCACTCAGTGAATGCGTGTATGTATGCAAGCATGCATATATATGGCAAGAGTGTGTGTGTGTGTGTGTGCATGTTGAGAAACACACACACACACACACACACACCAGAGCGAGCTTCTGGGAACACCCAACGCATAGGTTCAAACCCTCATCACGGCTCATGTGGATATGTTCACTACTAATACTCATAAAATCACAATAATAATAATAATAATAATAATAAAAATAATAATAATAATAATAATAATGGTATAAAAAGTACCTTTTTCATCCTTTTCTCTATACAAAATTTTCAGCTCTGAAGCGATGAACTTTGTGTCATAGATGATAGGAAACATCTCGTGCAAGTTGGACTTAAACATGTCATATGATGTTGGTAGGTTTTGATGTAACTGAAAGATGTATTTTAGAAGAATTAGAACAAATAGTTTCTTTGCAGAGTTATTAATATTATTATTATTACTGTATTATTGTTATATATTATCATTTACCATAACTACTATTTTATTATTATTACAGTACTGTATTATTATTATTATTTTTATACAGTATTATTATATATTATTATTACACTAGAAGCCCAAAGAAACAGAACATGATTCTTCAGACAGCCAGTTACAATAAAACAGACAATTTCTAAGGGACAACCTGGCTGATCTCGTATGCACTGAAAATTATCGTTAAAGTACTGGCCAAACAGGCAGATGTACACTAAAACAATTTTATCAAATTACAGAATAGCCAAATGCTGTACATTACTCTGAAACTATTTCTTATACCCCTATTCAGTATGAGGAAATATATTTTAAAAAATAATAAAAACCAGCATTGAATGTAATGAAACGCCATTTTCTGGGCGAATCCCGCACACTCCCCAGAGCTATACCAGACTGATATGCTAGAGGAGGGCCACCAAAATATCTTAGGGGGACTAATAGTCAAACCAGGCAGACCTTCTCCAAACAAAAACAAAAGGAAAAGAAAAATCACACAAAGGCACAACCACAACAGGAACAGGGAACACGGCCACAGTGTTGGTAGGTGTGCTGAGCAGCACTTGCGCCCCAAACTAGCAAAAATACCACTTCCTACCCAAGGCCAAACAAAGGCCGCTTCAGCCACGAAGTGAGGTGTGAGGGGCCAGTGTGTGGGTCCGGGGCTTCCCCTCCCCCTCCTGGGCAGGGGAGGGCTGCGCAGACAAGCTGTGCGGTGGCGGTGAATAACAATTGAGCGTTTGTTGGTTTCCTTAGTTTTCTTTTGGGGAGTTCTTTTTCTCTGTTCGGTCTTGGGTTTTTACAATTTCTACCATGTGCGGTTTGTTTTGAGTAGCCTACCTTTCTGGGTGCCTAACCCTGGTCAATGATAGACAAGGAATACCCCCAAATACAAGGGGTCTGATTAAGCCATTGCTCCCTGTGCCTCTCTGGTGAGGGGGGGGAGGGCAGGTTCCGGCTCTGGTCCCCGGTAGGCAAGACTCCATTGACTGAAGCCTCAGACTAATGTAGCATATATCAGTCCTATAGCTCCAGGGAGCCGAAGAGGCTCCCCACAGAAACCCCTATGGAAATGGCATCCCGAACGCACCAGGGACGAGAACCCTAGCATGCAGCCCCAGAACACTGGTTACACCTGGCCACTGCGCCTCAACACTGCAGAGAACACCATCAAGACAAAACACTGCTTGGAAATTGCAGCCAGAGTCTACGACCGCCATAGATCGCAATAGCCAACGAACTGGGGTTGCTGGGTAGCTGTCGCAGAGGGTCCAGGGCTCCCCCTTCCCCTCCTTGGGGGGGAGCTGCGTGACAGAGGTGTGTTACGTTTACTTGCTTGATTGTTTCCTTGGGAACTGGAGGAGTTACTGTCTCTCTGTTCGGTTTTTGGTTGTAATTTTCTTACCATGTGGGGTCTATATTGTTATAGCTATCTTTCTGGGTGCCTAACCCCAGTCGATGGCAGATTAGGAATGCCCGAAACCACTGGGGTGTTTTCCAGGGGCAATTGCTCCCTGTGCCTTTCTGAGGGGATCAGGTTCTGGCTCATGGCCCCCAATAGGCTGAATTCCATTGACTAGTGTCTTAGTCTAATATATCGCATATTAGCCCGATAGCTCTAGTGAGCCGAAGGGGCTCCCCCCTAGAAAAACCATTGTGAAAGTTGAAGGCTGGATGTATATCCACTGTGAACTTCTTACCATAAATTATCACTAGGAGAAAATCAGTCATGTTTAAGAATTAAGAAAAGGTAAGGCATTTCCTTAGCAGGAGTACCCAATACTGAGGCTGAGCCACAAACCTGCTTGTATATCAGCATAAGATCTAAAAGGCAGTTGTGAAGGACGAGGGGCTTCTGGTGATCTGCTAAACAGCGGAACACACTCGTAAAGCCCAACATACTTCTTACAACAGTTTCTACAAACTCTTTGCCTTCAGGATCCTGCGCCTCAAGTCTTGCACGCTCCAAAGCCGACACTTTCTGAATGATAACCTGCAGAAGTAAAAAATACAGCCTAGTTTAGATTCTACAGCCTAACGTGATAAACCAATACTTTAATTAATACTTTCACTGCCGAATGCCGCATATTCCGTCACGGAACCAAAATACGGAGTATGCGTGATGATGCAAACGGCGTCATTATTTTTTTTTTTTTAGAAATTCCATTTATTGTCCAAATACTACGGGACTTGTTTTAAAATGAGCCCCAACTTCTGCCCATTTCCTGTATACCCCACCCACACTGGAGGCTCACTGTTCTCCTGATCCTGTGACAGCTGCAGCCTTTCTTGGAGTCAAAAAGTTTCCCCATTCCGGTTATTTTATCTCATCTTGGGTAGTTGTTGTTACCGGCTTTATAAACACTGCAAATTGACTTTCAGATGGATACTGATCAAGACCAGAGCCAATCCATGACGAAAGCATTGAAAGAAACATATATGAGGGAAAACTTATTGAGTTTTAATTGAGAGTACAGAAAAGTGAGACTTATATGTTCTTATATGCAAATATCCTTTTACAGCATTCTATTCATATCAAATATTTAATATCAAATTGAACGATGTAGCACAAAAATTGAGGTCAGAAAGCTAAAAAGAGTATAAACATTTTTATGTGGTGGTGAGCTCTCTGCCTAGCTTGCGGTGCACGGTGGATCTAAAGTATAGGACAGTAAGACACATATGTTCTTATATGCAAATATTCCTTTACAGCATTCTATTGCAAACAATTTGATACCAAACTGAATAATGTAACATAAAAATAAAATTTGAGGCCAGAAAGCTATAAAAAAAAAAAAAAAAAAAAAAAAAAAAAAAAAAAGTATAAGAGTATAAACATTTGTGGGTGGTGGTGGGTTCACTTGCACTGCTCGAACGACCTTGAGGTGCACGGCAAGTCGCCCGCCTGGGCAGCGAAAGTGTTAAGATATGCTTGATATTTCATATTAGTTACTAATTTTCAAGAAAAAACCCTCAGCTAAGGTAATACAAAAATAATTTAAGAAAGTTAAAGCTCCTAAATAGAGCATAGCAATATTTCACAAACATGCATTACCTATATTACAGCAGCCTTTCTTGAGTATAGCGTACATGTGGTTAGCTGGTAGCACTTCTCACATGGCAAACTTATCAACAGCCATTCTTTTCATACAATGGCAAATACAACTGGCAGAGGTTGTGTCATTAATCCTTTCAAACTCAAACTTTTCCTTCCAGAGTCTGAGTATCAGCTATGGTGTGACACTTTTAAGAATCACATACTGCTAGACATCTTAGTGTGACACTTTTAAGAATCACACACTACTGGACATCTTAGTGTGACATCTTTAAGAATTACACAACTTTAACAATCATTCATTACCAGAGCAGTTTTTTTTGTGTGATGAATTTATCAGTGAGATGAAAGGAAGAAAAATCTAATAAAAATTGTGATAAAAAATTATATTCACAAATTCTTTAATATACTGTACTCACACAATGCAGAAAAGATACAGTACAGAAAAATATGTCTGATAAAAATAAAAGGAATAAAAGAAGCATTATCTTACCATTCCTGATTAATGTCTATATATTCACAAAATTTTATGAATTTTCAAGATAAAAATGCATTAATTTCACCCATCAAGCCCAGGAGGGAACAAGAGATACTGTAATTCCCATGGTCAAGGACAGGAAGCTGTCCTTAGGCTTATCCAGGTCCCCCCCCCCCTAGGTCTATCTACTGACCTCCAATCCCTCCAACCATCTCTGTTCGGCTCAGGGATTGAACCTGGGATCCTCAACCATGAGCGGAGATCACGAAGATGAATGGAAAGATTACCTACAATACAGGGTTTATTAGAACCATTCTTCTTCATTATCAGTTTAACTCAGATCTCATGTAATATCCACTGCAGCCCATACACCAGCCTTACCTGTCCATCATCCACCGCAACCCTACCTACAATACAGGGTTTATTAGAACCATTCTTCTTCATTATCATTGTAACTCAGATCTCAAACTTTCTCATGTAATATCCACTGCAGCCCATACACCAGCCTTACCTGTCCATCATCCACCGCAACCCAGAGACCAGAATTACCTGTCTATTGTCCAATGCAGCCCAGAGATCTGGAAACCTGCTTCGTATGCTGACCACAAGTATCACCTGGGAGGTAACATCAATGTCATCAGAGGGGATAGTCGTCTCCCCCTCATTAGCTTTTGCTCCCCACTCTCCTATAATGCTTAGCTGGTCCTGCACCTGAAACAAAAGCACTGCATGAGCACAAATATGAGCCATGATGTCGAGGCATAAAAACAAGTACCCAGAGATAGAAGATGGAGCCCAAGAGCCAGATCTTGATTTATTTAGGCAATCATAGTTAAGCAAATGATTAATGAAATTAGTTTTAATTGGACAGGATACTATTTTTTCTTAAAAATTGAGTACCAATAAAATCTAATAGGATGAAATAGGGTTACCATGATTAGGAAACATACTCTCAGATATGGCCTTAAATTGCACTAACTAGGTCATTGAACAAGCACACTTTTGTAAATTATGAACATTAAATTAATCAGGTTTTGAGTTGCATGAAAAATGCATTTCTTAGAAGATTTTTCAGTTGCTCCCTAAATTAAGATCCATCATTTCTCAAGGACTGAATCATGTGCAGAGGCAGGACAGCATACTAGCACCAGCACTTTGGGGAACCTTCCAAACCTTCTACTCAGGGTCATAATAGGGCTAGCATGTCACCAGGCTTTCCACACCAAAGTCACCACACATACTTCACCACACAAAAGAAAAACAGATGCTGAACACAGGGAAAGAGAAGCAGCAATGGTGGGAGTGAGAGAGGCCAAACGTACCTTGCAGAAATGGGCTTTTCTCATACAGTGACTCAACAAAATCTGATTTCTAAATTATTACATTTGGTTGCTCTGAAAGTTGGTAATTGTGATGATGATGACTGGAAGAAAGATTAAGTAAAGAGAAGTCTTGCAGGTGCCTCAGAGATGTTTGACGTATGCTGTAGGGCAAAAAGTACATTATGAGGCATGAGATTTCGGTATTCACAAAGCAGAGCTGCTGTCAGCACCCCATGAGGAATGACTCAACCAAATGAGAACTCATTCTAAGCCACATACTGCAGTCCCAGGTAGGGTACTTTGCTATGATAATTTTTCTGCAAATGTGCAAAACATACTCTAGAAACCAAGTAACTAAATCTCCAAACATAACATGGCTGAGAAGTTTTGTACAGAACGCAGCAAATTTTCTCAAAAGATGAACTTGAATTATGTATAGTTCTATCAAAGGTTTGTAAAACAAAAATAGGTTTCATGAAATCTCCCTCAGGATCAACAAGGGAGGATGGCCCAAGCTGTGAACTACTTAATCCGAACAAAGATGATTCAATCTTTGTTTTTCTTCTTGGTTTGGTGACAGACGTTAAGGCTGGATTCATCATTGGAACTCTTAAGTCAAAGATGGAATCCATGCAATGGAAGTACACAAATTCTGAGACCATGCCCTCTCCTTTCCCCATAAGTTGTCAAGAAGTCAACTCTCTGCCACCCATTCATCCAGGAGACAACAGGGACCAACAGTTGTATTTGTGCTTCTTTTGAGCAGTTCCCCTATCTACCTTAGAGCCCAGATTTAGCTCCAACTATTATTCATTTAAAACTGAAGTAACACCACTGACGGAGTCACATTCAGGATAAGAAGCTGTAGAATGCTACCGAGGTAAGATCCGAAGAACAGTCATATGACTTATGCAAGATTGGCATAGCACATCAGTAGTGTAGCACAGTAGATGATGTGTTCCACACTTGGTCAGTCATGTTAATGATTGACCACTGTGTGAAGCACAGTGGTCTATGCCCACAGTTCAGGTTCTATGTGTACAGTTCAGGCTCTATGTGTACAGTTCAGGTTCTATGCCCATAAGGTCAGGAATCTGTACACCGGTTGATTGACAGTTAAAAGGTGGAACCAAAGAGGCGAAGCTCAACCCCCACACACACAACTAAGCGAGTACAGTTCAAATCGAGGATTCCGAATTCATTTTTGGATGGGATAAAGACGGTTGTGCAGGTTTCTTTTCACCTAATGCCTCTGCTTGATGGGGGTTCTGGGAGTTCTTCTACTCCCCAAGCCCAGCCTGAGGCCAGGCTTGACTTATGAGAGTTTGGTCCACTAGGCTGTTGCTTGGAGTGGCGCGCAGGCTCACATACCCACCACAGCCCAGTTGGTCCAGCATTCCTTGAAGAAAACTATCTAGTTTTCTCTTGAAGATGTCCACGGTTGTTCTGGCAATATTTCTTATGCTTGCCCACCCAGCTGCGCCTGACAGCTGGGTGGACAGCGCTTCAGATTCGTAGTCCTGAGGTTCCAGGTTCGATCCCCAGTGGAGGCAGAGACAAATGGGCAAAATGTTTCTTTCACCCTAATGCCCCTGTTACCTAGCAGTAAATAGGTACCTGGGAGTTAGACAGCTGCTACGGGCTGCTTCCTGGGGGCGGAGGCCTGGTTGAGGACCAGGCCGTGGGGACATTAAAGCCCCAAAATCTTCTCAAGATAACCTCGCTGGGAGGATGTTGAACAACCGTGGACCTCTGATATTTATACGGTTCTCTCTGATTGTGCTTATAGCACCCCTGCTCTTCACTGGTTCTATTCTGCATTTTCTTCCATATCGTTCACTCCAGTTTTTTATTTTACTGTGTAGATTTGGGACCTGTCCCAAATATTTATTTCTGTCCCAAAGTATTTCCCACGCGTATATTATTTGCTATCTCTCCCGTCATCTTTCTTTCTCTCATTTGGAGAACTTTGAGACGATCCCAATAATTTATGTTCCTCTGTTCAGCTAAGATTGAAATAGGTCCTCAGAACTTAGGCAACTGTTTTGAGTTGCATCCTTGAGAAGGTTACCAGAAGTTGGTTTGGGGGGGGGGAGGGGGGCAAAGCCATAGCTGGAAAAATTAACCACAGGAGCAATAAAATAATAATAATTGATTATAAAGATAATAATAATTATGATGATGAATACTGGCAATTATGAAGATACATATAGTGATGACTGTTAGAAATTGTTGACCAAACCACACACTAGAAAGTGAAGGGACGATGACGTTTTGGTCCATCCTGGACCATTCTCAAATCGATTGTGATGAGGGAAGGCATTAAAGGCAATAAATAAGCAATAAATAAATTTTGCGACTCCTTCTCTGCACTGTTGGTAATTGTAATGATGATGTTAGTAATTGTGATGATGATAGTAATTGTGATGATGATAGTAATTGTGATGATGATGTTAGTAATTGTGATGATGATAGTAATTGTGATGATGATGATAGTAATTGTGATGATGATAGTAATTGTGATGATGATAGTAATTGTGATGATGATAGTAATTGTGATGATGATGATAGTAATTGTGATGATGATAGTAATTGTGATGATGATAGTAATTGTGATGATGATAGTAATTGTGATGATGATAGTAATTGTGATGATGACTGTTGGTAATTGTGATGATGATGACTGTTGGTAATTATGAAGATGATGACTGGTGGTAATTGTGGTGATGATGATGACTGTTGGTAACTGTGATGATGATGACTGTTGGTAATTATGAAGATGATGACTGGTGGTAATTGTGGTGATGATGATGACTGTTGGTAATTGTGATGTTGACTGTTGATAATTGTGATGATGATGATGATGACTGTTGGTAATGGTGATGATAATGTTGGTAATTATGATGATGACGATGATGGCAGAAGATTACCAAAGGCAGCAATGGTAATGAAGACTTTAAGACAAGGATGATACCCACATCCTGCCCAGTCTTCAGTTGCTCACATAGAGCAACACAACACTCACCAAATAGGGAATCCTGAAGGCTTGACTTCCTCTCACGAGGGAGAATAATTCACTTCGAAGTTGCTCCATTTCATCCGAGTTCATGCACCCAATGCCAGAATACAGCCACTGAGGAGGTGGAGACGTTCAAATATAGTACACCTATCTTATGATAGCTTTTATGCTATATTGTGCACTTCTTCATCAAGTCTTCATTCAGTTCATTGTCTGCCACGACATGGATATTTTTTTTTTTTTTACTTAACAATGGAACACATATACCAAATAAACAGGCAAGTAATACAGTATAGTATTACTATACTGAAAGAAAGCTATATACCTGTACTGTATTACTATACTGAAAGAAAGCTAAATACTGTACAATAAACACTAAAATATCACTCGTTTATTCATTATATCAATCCCACTATATACCACCACCACCACCACTACCACACTCCAGCAATCATCCACAGCAACACTTCACCACTTCATAAATTCAGGTGTACCACATTTTTTCCCAAAATAACACATTTAGTACAAATATGAACGGGGTGAGAATAGCTTGAGCTACCTCATCCCTTTGTGTGTATTTATACCTCAATAAACTTCAATTTCAATTTCAAATATATTCACTTCAATCTTACATAAATCAAGTCCACCCAGCCTTGTTTCTGGGAACATCACATGTGTAGTTCACACTCACTCCCCTTGTGCGCCAACCTTCTTACAGGGAGTATCATCATCTCCTATCTTCAAACTCACTCAAATACACCCTCTCACCATCCACCATCATTTATGTCTTCAACATGACAACTATTTCCGTACATTTTCTTCACTCTTGCTATTTATTAACTTTAAAAATTTACATCTCTCTATGACATACCTCTAAAATACTCTTCTGGCATAATTGCACAGTAATTCTACTCATGCAATATTATCATCATCATTACCCCACGTCGCCACCCCATGGAAGTGGAAATTGGGAAATGAGGATAATGATACACAGGGAGAGTAGAATTACACCTAACCCAGAGGAGTACCAAGTGTAAAATGGATCTGCTATATGCAAAGGTCACTGATTTAGAGAACAAAGACATAACCATATTTTCTTGAACAGAATGATAATGATCTTCTAAGACCAAGTAACTTAATTTACACAAAAGTCAAGAAATCATAATGTAGCACAAAAAGGGTAATTTCTCAGTAAAACAGGGTCAGAATACCTTATTGAAATCAAACTTGTATTTCTGTAGAAATTCTATACTTGATGTCTGGCACAAAAATGTGGGATCAAAAGAGATGCAAGAATGCGGTCGAAGGTAAAAGTTATAGCTTGTCACGGTGTATGCATTGGCATCAGGAACACCCTGTAAAAATCAAACAATAAAACATTTGTTCTTTCCTGCAAAAGAAATTCAGCTTGTAATTTCATATTTTACCCCACACCTGGTAAAGTACAAGAAAAGAAAATTTAAAAGGTTCAAAAGTTTGCTGTAGCACAGGCACTAGAAATAAGAAAATTGAGCTATGAGGAGAGGCTAGAACTAACACTAACAACATCAGTAGAAAGGATGACCTAAGGTGACATGATCACAACATGCAAGATACTGAGGGGAATAGACAAAGTAGATAGAAATGGTTTTATCCAGGTGAGGGACAAATCGACAAGGTGGATAAAGTGGACAAGATAGCTGGAGTTGGAAACACAGATGAACCAGAAGAATGCAAGGAAATACAAATGCAGTGAGAGTAGTAAATAAGTGGAATGATCTTGAACTAGAGGAAGTGGAAGCAGCCACCATTCACAGCTGAGAAAGTATGACAAGTGCTGTATTGGAGTGTCATTAAGTATTAATCAGGTATAATAACTAGGTCTCTTAAGAGCTAGTTTTTGCGCATCATACACACACCAAAATGATTATTATACACATATTATACACAAATTTCACATAGATATACATCATATGAAACATGTACTAAAACCAAATATACATTACAGTACTTTGCAATGTAATAAATTTTGTAACATTGTACTGTAATTTCAAATGTATCAATAGTCCTTCTGGTTGTCCAATATTGCCCAACAATGAAACTGACCATATTGGTTTTATTATAATTACATGTTAACATGATTCAGTAATATTCTCCACATTTAATCAAATAAATATATTTTACAAAGTAATCATAAACAAATACCTTAAAGATTGCCAAACCAAGCTGGCATATTGTAAACCTTCGAATGTTGGATACCAGCTTCTGGTATCTCTTCGGCCCATCATCAAACAAACTGTTGACAGAGTATAAATATCAATGTTCATCCTGATACCAAAGTCTACAGCTTATATTACCAAAGGCACAACCTGATACCAAAGTATGCAGCTTATATTACCAGAGGCACAACCTGATACCAAAGTATGCGGCTTATATTACCAGAGGCACAACCTGATACCAAAGTATGCGGCTTATATTACCAGAGGCACAACCTGATACCAAAGTATGCAGCTTATATTACCAGAGGCACAACCTGATACCAAAGTATGCGGCTTATATTACCAGAGGCACAACCTGATACCAAAGTATGCGGCTTATATTACCAGAGGCACAACCTGATACCAAAGTATGCAGCTTATATTACCAGAGGCACAACCTGATACCAAAGTATGCAGCTTAAATTATCAGAGGAACAACCTGATACCAAAGTATCAGATTGTACCTCCCCTGTGCCTCTCTGAGGGGGTCAGGTTTCGACTCAGGTCACCGGTAGGCAGGACTCCATTGACTGAAGCCTCAGACTAATATAGCACATATCAGTCCTATAGCTCCAGGGAGCCAAAGGGGCTCCCACAGAAAAGCAACAGGTTTTCAAAACATAACAATTTGCAAATTAAATAATTTTCCAGTCTTGTTTCCACATGTACACACTTCAATCTCATCTTTTATCTAAGGTACATACGTTCCTTATAAACAATGTACAAAAACTGACACGCAAACATTCAAGGAAGACTGGAGAACAAAGAACACTGATGGTTGTTCTCTCTTTGAAAAATTGAAAGAATGAAACAAATATGGTCTAACCCACTCATTCTTAAAAATACATGCACTGTCAATACATTATAGAATACACAATTTTCAGATTATGCTAGGTGCTGAAGTTATAATACAATACATGGATTATTAGGGACTATCTAATATTACCAAGATGCAGAGGCTTATGTGACAAATAGCAAAATTAAATTTTCAAAATTATAAGCCTTGTAACAATTTACTTTATATATTCACCCCAAACACTTTTGATTTTTATTACTGCAGTCATAATTTCTTCTTAACAAATGATTTACAAAAAATACTAAAAGAATGTTCTTAACATTCATCAAGAACAAACTGAACCTCTTTTAAAGATAACATCTGACTTAATATTCACACATGGGTTCATTAAGTTGGAACAGAACGTCCCTAAAGAACAGCATCTACAGTACAGTACTACATGTTCTTAACAACATTCAGGTGGGTACTGACCTTCCCTTGAAGGCAGCATCTGCAAGAAGTCCCGTAAACTCTGTATCTAGTGCAACAAATGAAGACGACTTTATGTCAGACAAAATGCCAGGAAGAAGTTGGTTAAAGTTGTTTGTTGTTACTTCTACCATTGTGGGGAAGTCGAGGTCAAAATCTTGCTACAACTGTAAATAAACAAGATAAAGTAATAGAGTAATTAATATAACGGCTAAACAGACTCTGGAACCTATACATAAGTCAACTAAGGGTCAGGAGGCAGTACCCAAGAGCTGTAGTTCACCTCAACCCTACCCCCCCCCACCCCTGCCAGAAGTATAGCTGAGTATGCTTAAGATTTTATTACTATTTTCTATGAATATAGTCGAGGATATTAGCATAAGTAAGGTACAATTAATTAAAACATGAATGATGGGTTTACATATCTTAGATTTTACAGCAGTGTTATTAAGTGTTGGTTATACAGTATTATAAGCATTGTTACAGTAGTATGTTTAGAGCATTTTAATGCTAATAATAACAGCTAACACAATTGGCTAAATTACAATGATGATTTATACAACTTGGTCTAGTATACACAGTACTGTATATAAAAGAATACATTATGTTAATTAGGTATCGTACTTCTTTCTTTGCAAATAGTTAAAGGAAGTAGAGCATTTTATTGCATATGAAAGTTTACTTTGGTCATGGACTATGTTCAAAACTAAAGTACACTTGGTTATGGGGGTCATCTTGAGGTTATCTTGAGATGATTTCGGAGCTTAGCGTCCCTGTCGCCCGGTAATCAACCAGGCCTCCTTTTTGTTACACATCCTCAGGAAGCAGCCTGCAGCAGCTGTGTAACTCCCATGTACCTATTTACTGCTAGGTGAATAGGTACATCAGGGTGAAAGAAAGTCTGCAAATTTGTTTCCGCCTCCATCGGGGACCGAACCCGTAACCTAAGGACTACAAATCTCGAGCGCTGTCCACTCAGCTGTCAGGGGTGTGGTCAAATCATACATAGATGTTTTGCAGTCAGTTCTGAACACAAATAACTTCATTCACAGTAGATTTTGTATACAGGAACCTTTTTGGGAATGTATGTACACTGTATTTGTATGTATTATGTGCAATTTTGTACACAGGAGCCCTTTTGTGTGTAAGAATATAATATATATATATATATATATATATATATATATATATATATATATATATATATATATATATATATATATATATATATATATATATATATATACCTAATATATATATATATATATATATATATATATATATATATATATATATATATATATATATATATATATATATATATATATATATATATATATATATATATATATATATATATATATATATATATATATATATATATATATATATATATATATATATATATATATATATATATATATATATATATATATATATATATATATATATATATATATATATATATATATATATATATATATATATATATATATATATATATATATAATATATATATATATATATATATATATATATATATATATATATATATATATATATATATATATATATATATATATATATATATATATATATATATATATATATATATATATATATATATATATATATATATATATATATATATATATATATATATATATATATATATATATATATATATATATATATATATATATATATATATATATATATATATATATATATATTATTAAATATGAAATATTAAATATGACATATATATAATATGACATATTATATATATATATGATTAAATATATATAAATATTAAATATGACATATTTTTCATATTAAATATGAATATGAAATATAAATATAAATATTTATATTTCATAAATATATTTATGAAATATAAATATGAATATTATTAAATATGAAATATTATAAATATTTATAAATATAAATATTTATAATATTATAATAATTATAATATTATAAATATTATAATTAAATATATATATATATATATTATTAAATATGATAAATATGATATATATATTATTAAATATGACTTTCAGGACCCTTTCTTCCGTTTTATAAAACGGAGGAAAGGGTCCTGAAAGATATTGTTAATAGAAACATTATCCCTACAGACAAAAATCAGAGGATACAACTGACGATTTACTATAAAACCAGAAAAACGGCCAGCCTACTCATGAGAAACTCTCCAGACACAAAACAGAACGCTTTTTAAAGAGACTAATGTCGTCTATGCCTTCAAATGCCCACTTGGGGACTGTAAGCTCCAAAAAACCCAGTATATAGGCAAGACAACAACATCTCTTTCTAGGCGTTTAACGATGCATAAGCAACAGGGCTCCATTAAGGAACATATAATCTCTTCCCATAACCAAACCATCGCCAGAGAAATCCTAGTAAACAACACAGAAATCATCGATAGATACAGCGATAGCAGGCGGCTTGACGTTTGCGAGGCACTACACATCAAGAAGTCAACACCAGCAATCAACAGCCAATTATTGCACAACTATATTCTACCCACCTCAAGACTCCGCTCTAATATAGAAGCATCAAGAAATATGGACCAATAGGCTTTCTACAAACACTTCTATTCAATACCCATTGTTTCTGTTCTGTCTTGTGTTGATACTTTTAATACCTATTAATATCCCCTCCTGTTCTGTCTTGTGTTAATGCCACATCACCCTTCCCACCTCACTCAAATGTAGATATAAAATCAGAGATATGTTCTAATCAGTTGTGTATTTGTGAAGTCTTTGAAAATGTAATAAGTTTACGAAACGCGCCCGTGTCGCGTCAGACTAGAAATAAAAATGAATTTTGGAGAAGTGATTTTTGATTTACCTCCAACAGTGAAGCGTATTGTACGAAAGATTGAGAAAATTCGTGTTAGAATTATTAATCTTACTTTTTCGGTCATATTTAATAATATATGTCTACAGGAAAGACTGCTACCAAAATATATATATATATATATATATATATATATATATATATATATATATATATATATATATATATATATATATATATATATATATATATATATATATATATATATATATTTTTTTTTTTTTTTTTTTTTTAATATGGAAGGGAGTACCACCTCTAGCTGGAAGAAGGGGGACCCATAGCCTCGGAGGAAACCACGCATAACGCATTAGAGGGAATGTTTAGATCCCCTCCAATACAGTTTCTGTGTGCTTTTCTCCTACCACCCCCTCCCTTTTTTATTTATTGTGCTTTATTATGCATTTGATGGTTACAAGATATACATGGGTTGATACAAAAATAATAATGCAAAAAGGTGATTAAAGGTTATGGATCTCTTGAAAAACACAACACATATATATATTATATATTTGTGTTTTTTAATTACCTGGAAGTACAATCGGATTAGCTCTCGACTCACAATCGAGAATTCCGGGTTCAAATCCCGGGCGAGACAAATAGATGGGCGCATTTCCTATCACCTAATTCACCTGTTCACCTAACAGTAAGTGGGTACTCAAAGAGATAGTCAGCTTGTTGAGGGGTTGCATCCTGGGTGGGGTCAGTAATTCAACCTGGGTGGGGGAAGGGGGGCTCGATATAAGCCTAACATATATAAATTACACACTGGCTTCCAGTCTCCCGACACAATGAATGATTGGGGGCGCATGTGATCTCTTAATCGATTGATTGATTGATAAAGATTAAGCCACCTAAGAGGTGGCACGGGCATCAATAGCCCCTAAGTGGTGGCCCTTTTAAGCCATTACCAGTATCAATAGATGATACTGGAGATCTGTGGAGGTGCGACTGCACCCTACGTGATGGGGGATGTCTCCCGTGTGTGCCCTTAATCACCACCGCCCCTCTATATATATGCCCCAGACAAAACTATTAATTAATATACTTACTGGGCATAACATCCTACACATGGTACTCATGGGACATGACCCTCCATCACTTGCCTTGGATATTAAGACTTCCAGTCAGCACCTGTCGATGCTGGATGGATGTGACGTTTCTCAAGACTTCTCAAAGTCTTATTTTTGTAATGATTAAAGTAGCATATGAAGGTTGGTGTTGGTGTATGAGACAGTGTTGTGTACAGCCGGGAGTGTTGGTCGCTTCTGCTGCTGTTCTCAGCGTCACGTTCTCTACGAGTCATACCCATGGAAGGTATAACAATAATATTTGATTTGTAATAATTATTTAAATTCAACCATTCAAAATTTTCAAATGTTTATTCAGGTAAAAGTACATACATAGAAGAAGAGTTACAAACATAATGTTGGATTTAAAGGTAGAGCTAGTACATACAATTCCTAAAGCCACTAATACGCACAGCGTTTCGGGCAAAGTTTTTTTGGAGCTTGGAGCAGAGCAGAGCAGTGTGTGGCCGGAGTCGTAAAGTTCCATGTGGGAGAGCGTTGTAGCTCGATGTGGTCCTAGTCTGCTGTCCTGTTCTGTGTCGAAGCTGTAGTGTCTTGGAGACGATTATAACTGCCTACGCCGAGTACTACATTCTTGACTGGAGATTGTACTGTCCGCTATTCCGATTAGATTAGATGAAGATTAAGCCACCTAAGAGGTGGCACGGGCATTAATAGCCCGTAAGTGGTGGCCCTTTTGAGCCATTACCAGTATCAAGAGCTGATACTGGAGATCTGTGGAGGTGCGACTGCACCCTACGTGACGGGAGATGTCTCCCGTCTGCTATTCCGATTGATTGATTGATAAAGATTAAGCCACCTAAAAGGTGGCACGGACATGAATAGCCCGTAAGTGGTGGCCCTTTTAAGCCAATACCAGTATCAAGAGCTGATACTGGAGATCTATGGAGGTGCGACTGCACCCTGCGTGACGGGAGATGTCTCCCGTCCTGCTATTCCTCATATCGCTTACTTATAAGGTGACTACACCTCAGCTCCCTCCAAGATGAGAAGAGTATTATCTGTAATTGGGGAAAGGATTGTAGGTTCTGTAATTAGTGCTAATTAGTTATGCTATTATGATAATGAGATAATGGAGCGAGTATAAGATTTACTCGCTAAAGTAGATACGATAAGAGCCCAATAGGTTCAGGAATCAGTACACCAGTTGATTGACAGTTGAGAGGCAGAACTAAAGAGCTAAAGTTCAACCCCCCACAAACACAACTAGGTGTGTACAGTGTAAAATTAATATTAACAGTGACTGAAAACAGGAGATGCTTTTCCACCCACAGAGTTATAAACCCATGGAACTGCCTACCTGCCAAAATCATAAATGCTAAAACTCTGTTTAGCTTTAAAATCCATCTGGAAAAAATCACCAGATCAAATGATGACCTTTCACAAGCCTGCTCTTGTCAAGGCCACAAGAGTGTTAGTGGCCCTCAGGCAAATTCAGAAAAATTCTTTCTGCCTTTTTTGAAAATAGGGGTCATATTTGCATACTTCTAATCTGTGAGAACTATTCCTTGGTTCAGAGATTTTCTGAAATGCATTTCATCAGTATGCATAGTTCCTATGCTAGTTTCTTTATGACTTTCGATAGAACTCTGTCCACTCCTGGGGTTTTTGAGTCTTTTTTAGTTTATCAGTGCTCCTCCTGATTACGTTGCATGTTATGGGTATACTGTACTGTATTCCTTAATTTTTCCCCACCTCCTTCATACATTTGTGTGGGCGATGGGGATGTCATTTAATCTTTCTACCCACTTGTGCTACCCACTTTCCCAATATTAGTACTTAAGAAATATATCTTCACCAGTGTAATCACCTGTCAATTTATATTGTAGTTATATGTGATATAAAATTTTGCTTCAATGTACCTTTTCATCTTACCTGATATGTTAGATTAAGGACCTGCTGGAAACACTATGAGTGTTAGTGGCTTTGCAAGAATGTAAAAATACCAATCTTATGTAATCTCACAATCCAATTTTACCTTCTTGTGAATAAAAATTATTATTATTGTAATATTATTTTTATTATTCTAGTATGACCACTGATGTAAAGTGAATAAATCCACAAGGGCCATGATGAGGATTCGAACATACGTCCAGGATGATCACGCTATTGTGATTTCTGTGTGTACTGAGGTAAGGTATTCATCTATATTCATATATATATTCTTATGTAAAATATTCATCACCTGCAGTACCATCACAGAGCAGCCATAAGCAACACCACCTCTGTCCTGCATTAGCCGACCTGTCTCACCAGACAGGCGTAGCTGCCAGTTGTGACTTGACTGTGCTGCCTGACATAGCTGCCACCTGCACTCTACAGCCGCATCTTGCAGCTTAATAACCTGTCATGGCTCAGTCATGCCATACATCTACCACTGTAACCATTACAGCACATAATGGTTATAGAAAATATAGAATATTGTATATATACTGTTAACCCAAATTTTGCATTTAATCCTTCTAGTAGGGTACCTAAAAAATGAGTTCAAATAACCTCAGTCTGTAATCAAATCATCTAACTCTATAACACAGATCAATTATTCTAGCACGAATATTCTCTATATCATATGTTCTGCTAAAAGATGTTTTTCATTGAACTAGTCAACATTTTCAAAGAATACAAGCCAGTTGGAGCAAAAGAATATATGACCAAGAAGGATGAGGTTATTTTGAGATGATTGTGGGGCTTAGCATCCCTGCGGCCTGGTCCTCGACCAGGTGAAGTGAAGTGTTACCCAGTTGATGATGGCTAGGACAGAGTGACCTGGATATTCTGCCATGGTCTATTTAAAAATTCATTCTATAAAAATATACAGATGAAGATTGGTAAAGAAATAAAAAATGTATAATATCAAGTTTTATTAAAAAATATTCTTTGGATATGTTAGGTGATATACAGCTATTTAAATATAATTTTTTATATAAATTCTGTGAAATACTGTACATGGTTCATTTAGAAATATTAACTTTTTGATAAGTTGTAAAATTAACCTGAGAATATTAGTGGGACTTAACTGTTATCACATCTAATAAAACTCAATAACAAAATAATCAGAACATGAGCAGCCCAAAAACATTCTAGTAATTTTGTTCTTAAAAGATACTAGAACTATATACTTTAACAGATTAAGCATGAATAAAAATATCTACAAAAGGAAGTTCAGCAAAGCCATATCTTTGGTGTTGTGTACTGTACAAGTGCGTGGATGACTAAGCAGTGCACGAGTCTCTCATGTGTTGGTGGTGCTGTGCACATTTTACACATTATATATCCAAGTCATTTGATTCGTTACGTATTTCATGATTAGCTGTACATCACTTCTAAAACAGTGCGGAAATGCTTTTATTTTGTAGCATTGATAAAGTTTTTGATTAGCTAATATAGTAATGCATAATTTAAAACTGGTTTCCCTGAATGAGTTTTTCAGAACTTCAATTGGACAAGCACCTTTCTGTAGTAAGAGCAATGTGTGTTACAAAGGATTGAGGGCAGCTAAATGAGGCTTTTGAAGTTTTTCTTCTGATCAGAGGATAGGATACAGACTAAGTACATTTCTGTCATTTAGATGCAGACCCAGTGGTCTTAGGTTACAGAGCTTTATCCATTCTGGTTTTACTTCCTATTTAGTGAACCTACTTTAAAGGCAAGATGAATACTGTTGTTATGCAGTCTCAATGGCCTAGTTATGGCACTAGAAAAATTATGTATCAGTCAGTCAAACTTGTACACGTGTGTTCTTTAAATTTTGTATTTTAAAGTGTATGTACTGTATTAAAAAAGGTACAGCACAAGATATTAATTGTTTTTAAGTGCACACCAATTACTATATTATGTGTAGAAGTGCAGCTTCTCTTTCCTCAAAACTCTCTTCAGATATACAGTAGAATGCAACAACTGGATGTTCCCTGTTTGGAGTTACTTGTCTCTGACAAGTAAGAGGATTTTTCACTCATGAATAACAATATGTTGCCTCTGACAGGTAACAGGATGTTATGCTCCTCTACGAAACGTGTAGTTCATTCTTCATCAGGAACAAGATTACAAATCAAGCCTTTGGTTTCTATAGCTCAGAATAAACCCGCTTTCCTCAGATGATAGTACCAGAAGGATTGATCAGTGCCCCCCCCCCCCTTCCTAGAAGAATACCTTCTGATGGCAAGAGATTTCATTGTGCTAGTAACAATGGACAGATTATGCTGCCCAGGACACAGAGCCAGCATAATCTGGCCGTCACCCCACCCATCTTGCATACAAAGCTGAACTGGCCTACCAGGCAAAATCCCACTAAGCTACTCTGACCTATGTATAAGAAGATTGTGGCAATTTTTTATAATGTTCTGTTTGGCTTAGTGTTGACTTCTGCACTCAGCCCATTTATAAATTAGTGTTGGCTCACTTGGGAGTTAAATATATGCATACATCTGAGTGAATTTGTGGAATCCTGGCTGTTGAGGAAGCAAAGAGGGGAGGATGCTTAGGACACGAATACAATATGAACAGCACTCAATACCACCCTTCCACTTCTTTAACAAATAATTAGCTTTTGAAGAAATAAAAAACACAACTGTGTGAAATTTGTATTCACTCTACGGACCTATGGAAGATCTCTGATCACTAAAGAATTTTGAAAATTTTGTATTAATGGACATATAAATGTATAAATATACTACAACATGTCTTGATTTTATACCATTTCCTGAAGTGTTAAGTATAGTAATCAAAATTATATTTTAATTATCACCCATGTTGGACTATTAGCCAGAAGCATATAAATGACAAGACTCATCGGAAACTGGCAGAGCTGACTATATTCAGGTTGGTTCTTTATTACGAGACCAAACTTGTTACTGAATATGTAAATATGTTAATATAAGTACAGTACCAGTTTACAGTAGGTCCTGCCAGACCATAATTATATACAATATATTTATATACAGAAATAAACAAAAATACATTACTAGTATATAGAAAATCTGGCCCCAAACAACAAAATATAATACAGAATTATTATAGCAGACAGGTTGGAAGCTCATAGAATTCCAGCCACAAATCAGAGGACAATTGATGCAGACAATTTAGGCATTTCAAGAAACATAGATGGTCAGTAACCAAAGGGGGTCTTCCTGCTGTACATCTTGATTTTAAATAATAAAACCATTCAATACTGGCAATGTTATTGAGAAAAACACTGTGCATGAACAAGAATTTTTTATGGATTTGAGAAAGCTCTTGTGAGTAAAATCATTTCCACAAGAAAGTTCCTGCTTAAACATTGTTTTCTTGATAATACAGTATGAGCATACCTGAAAATACACACTAAGCCGTTTCCAATAGGAGTTTACCAAGTGTAGTGTATGTGTGCACTATCAAAGCATAATTCCTTTAATCATGTTACAATAATGAGCCTGGTAACACTTTCTACAACAAAAGTGAGGTATCAGTCCAGTGAATGAATTGGGATGGCAGTGATCAGGTTGACAGAATGGCTCTGCTTACTTTCATAACGCAATTATGAAAATGAGGGCCAATTCTTGATATTTTGAGCCATAGTATATAGTATGATACACTAAGAGGCAAATAGAAAATGCTCCAACTAATTTAACTGGGATGGAATAAAATAATAGAACACACCACAAACTAAATATGGTAAAACTCATAGATGAAGCATACATGTACTGTACCTATATTGTTCTGTATAATTTGCAGCATCAACTGATCTCTGATTTGTAATTGATGATTCTCCCCATAAAGCACCCATGAAAATTGAAATACAGTATGTAAAACTTTAATAAGTGACTCAGCATGCAACTTTGTTCATTATTTAATTGTAGATTCAATAGGCTTAAAGGTCGTAGTTAATTCTTGTGTCATGACTTTCAGATCCAGCTTATGGCCGGCAGCATGAATTATCTTTACACACTCGGGGACTACACCGATGGCATTTTTGGCATTTTTAGTAAGAACCTCCAGACTCTGAGGCCTGATGACATGAAACTGAGATTTGTAGTCTGTCTCCATTGCAGTTTCTTCATTATTTTCTACACTGATTGTATTAGCCATGTGTATTACTGGCTTAATTTTGGATACTTTGCGAAGACATCCATTATGATTTTTGATTATGGGTTTCTTAGGTTTCTCATCTTGTTCAATTATATTACCATCATGATCCATTAACTCATCCTCACTAGACCCATGTGAATCATCATCACTTCCCCTCCGGCCAGTATCTTCCATTTCTCTCAATAATCCTATTTTACCCTCTGGTTTACTTATCACTGTCTGGTTTCTGTTACCATTCATCCTCCCTGCTGTAAATTTTGAAATTTTATTGTTATTATTTTGACTTGCTGTAATCACCACCTGACTTCCATTAGTACAGTTGCCTCTTACACCTGCTGAAACACTGAGCAGGCTGCTGGTGGCAATTGTGTTGCTTCTTGCTCGTTGAAGCGATGTAGCTGGATGAGTGTCGTTACTAATATTGATATAGATGGGTTGTGTGTCATCTTTCTTATTTTGAGCATCACTTATATTGGGTGCAATGTCCTGGGTGTTGCTGCAGGTCTTATTATTTCTTTGAGTTGTAAGCATGGTCGGGCTCGCTCTTTGCACGCCGTTCATGGTCTGCTCTGTTTCCTGAATTCCTCCCATGGTTTGGCCTGTTCCCTGTATTCCTCCTGCTGCTTGGCTTGTTTCCTGCATTCCACCCATAACAATTGGTACTTGAGGCACAGCATACACAGATTCAGACTTATGATTCTGTAAAGAAAATTAAAAAGCATATGAATACCGTAATTAGAAAGAGGCTAACTGGCAGCTTATGTATAAAACTTTATGTAGAGAAGGAACGCAGATATAATTATGGTGTAATAGTAACAATATCATTAAATGAGTTTAACCCTTAAAGGTCAGCCATCATCGCCATATGTTGATCTAGGCCACTCTGTTTATCATCATTTGCAGGTTTTAGTTATAATTACCTGGTTTTATACAAAGGATGTAAATATGGTTAATACATCTATATGGATGAAATGAAGTTAACCTAGAACTATGACCTAATTCTGCTACCATTTTTAATAGAGTTACAGTGCTTAATTTAGAGACTATTTGTGGTCAGTCTCGAGCCCATTGTTGATGTGCATTGGATTTTGTAACTAGCTCATCAAAACTGTAACTTGCTTGGCTAAATGAATATTGGGGGTTCAGTCCTGAGCCCATTATGTGCTTCTGTAACCCTTTTCACTACCACCCACAAGATGGGTATGGGGTACATAATAAATGAACTAAACTAGAAGCTCCCCTTAAGTCTCTTTAAGGGAACCAGATTCTGGTCCTGGTCTCTGGTAGGCGCTTGTAAGGTGTTAAGAGGTCTGGTGTGATGCCTAAGGCTTAGATGATTCTCAAAGATTAACAGAACCAAAGCATAAAATATTTCTAATGGGAATGTCTAATTAGTGCTTTTAATAAAACAGTTTCTGAAGTATTCATAATTTTGTATTTCATTCAATATATTTTGCTAACAGTACAGTACAGTACTGGTATTTTTAATGCAATATACAGTACCTGCTGTCTAGCAGAGAGTGGAGCATAGGGGTGATGCGGAGAAATTGCTCTCCCGACTGGTAGGGTTCCTTCCTGCTGACTAATATCAGAGGCTGGGATTCTGTTGAAATATAAGTGGTTGCATATTAACGTTCATTTTACTAGCCAAGTCGTAAGTAAATCTCTTCAATAATTTCTCCAACAATAATTTAAGTATTTTAAAGCTTACTTCTTCATAGTAAGATTGTGTTTTACTTTTTAATGTACATAGTTTTCATAAAAATTCAACCGATTCATAAATATTCAGACAAATGATGGAGATATACCTTCCTATCTCATTTAATCTCTAACAGTGACCCCACATCCAAAAAGGGTTGACTCACAACAATTATATAGGTCCATGAAATTAGAGTGTACAACCCACCTATACTCCTCCTATGGATCTTACAACAGAAATGCACCAGATGTGCACTTACCTGGTAAGTTGGTCAGGGCCACAAGCAGCAGTATTAGCCCAGGGATAGGTTGCAAGCACCCAATCTAAAGGGTCAGTCCATGTGTCAAGCAGGCCAGAGTTTGGAGAGATTGATGAGCCAACAGTTGAGACAATACAGGGAACCAAGCGGGTGTTCCAGACATCTGTGAACCATGCTTGTGTTTCCTCTTGACCCAAGGGACAATCCATCAACAAGCCTGGTCCAATGCCAACTTCATGCGACCCACAGTGTCCAGATAACACTGTGTTGAGATGCAGCCAAAGACGTGTCAGCCATTCAGCGAGGTGATGGGCATCCGGGAGTCTGGTGTTAACAGCTACTTCAGCAGAAACGACCCGGCGGCGCAGAACCCTACCCAATAAGCCTCTGACTGGTTCCTGCTGGGTGCTCAGTGTAGCCCATCTGATAAAAAACCCAACAGTAATAATTTTCTTAAACTAAAACAAACATGTTTATAGTCCCGAACTGTGCCAATATACAGAACAATACAGGTATTATGAAATACTGTACCGTAATTTAAAAAATCTAAACTTGACACTTGGGTATTGCAACAGATATTCACGAAAAAGATATGTGGAAAAAACAGTGAGATGGGAAAGGAACTAAAATGTTTTCGACTGTTCAAGTCTTCATCTGTGGGTAAACTGAACTGAAAGAGCAGAAAAATGGAATCAGCCACATACGTGAGGGCCCTTGACCAAGAATGCAGTGAAATCCCCAGGGAAAACAGGTCACCAGAATAACACGACAGAGGGTAGTGTTGGATTGAATAAGAATAATCCAGAAACAAGAGATAAGAACAAGTATAATTTTATAATGAAAGAAAGACTAAACCAAAAAGCCTCAAAAATACGTAATATGCCAACTTCATGCGACCCACAGTGTGTGACTTGTTATATTGGTTTATATTGAACAATAGTTCACATGTCTTAAATAATATATCGAGATTGTTTTCGTTCACTTTCAATTACTCGTATGCCCTGCTCCACCCATTAGATTTATATTATGGATTTTTGAGACTTTCTGGGCTAGTTCTTCTTTCATTATAAATTTAAACTTGTTCCTCTCTTTTGTTACTGGATTATTCTCATTCTAAGACCACTTCCTGTTGCATTGTTCTGGTGACCAGTTTCCTTTGGGAAGTTGGCCACCTGGGTGGTCAGGAGACCACCTGACAGCACCTGTGTGCTCTCCTCCGAGGCTATGGGTCCTCTTCCAGCCAGAGGTGGCAATCCCCCTGCATATATATGCATGTATATATACATGTATGCATATATATCTACAGCTGTTATTTCCCAATTCATTGGGAATACATATGTTATTAATGATTCTAATCATTAATTATTAATGTACATCATAATACATATGAATGAGTTATGTTATTAAAGCCACTAAAATGTATTGCATTTTGTGCAATTCTTAAAGCTAACAAAGAGGTTGAGGTTTCCATTGTAAATTTACCTGTAAAAGACCTATATTTTTCCTATCAGCACCCCTATCATTTTATTAGGTAAAAGAACAAGACAGAGAGTCTCAGTATAGTCAAGTAACATATCTATTGTACTGCAATACTGTAGAATGAAAATTAGCAAGTGAATTTTCTTAGTGCTGCACAGTAATGAATAAACCGCTAATCTAACCAAATATTCCAATGACATTGTCTATACACTATTGATTAAAGACTGTCTCAAATATGTAAGGCAGATGCATACATACCTAAAGTTGCAATGAATGTGCAAGCGTGTAGAAAGCGTTGCAGTGGGGCAGCAGGTGGCAATGATGGCAGGACCAGTGTGAATACCCGCTGGAAGACACCTCTGCAAAGTCTCGACCACGCCAGCTGTCATACACAACAAAATAAATCATTTTGACATGGTATGGCCATGAGGAAGGAATACCAGAGAAGAGAATGGGAGTGTCTTCTGAATATATTTGACCTCTTTCTATAAAACATTTCGCTAATCTTCTCCCGGCAAATGCCTCTGCATTCCATCTAAATGGGTAATGCAGTAATGATGATGATATTAAGTAAAGGTATAAGGAACAGACTACAACAGGAATGATTACAGGAAATTAAAGGACCTGTAGCCCACTCCAAGCAACATCTTTTTGAACCAAATTGTCACAAATCAAGCCAGGCCTCAGGTCGGGCTTCGGTAGAAGCACAACTCTCAGAATCCACTCCAGGTATACTCTAGTATACCCACATCAAAAGAAACAGTGTCACTAAATACAAACAACCAAACTGCTGATTTTCCACTCACCTGCTGTATGAAGATCATCAAGAATAATAACAGCTGGGAGAGTGTGGTTACTCTCTGTGCTTGACGTAGTTGAGGTGATGGAGGAAGCCGAGATGTTTGTAGAAATGGTGGAGAGGGAGGAGACTGATCGGCTGGAGGTAAGACCACGTGGCCACATGCTAGACAACATTTGGCACAGCTCCAGTGTGTTACTACCTGTTACTCTGAAAAGTAGAAACAGCATTGCTAACTCACTATTATGTTCTTAAACATACAAAGTCATGTTGTTTATTTGGCTTAATAGTAATATAACATTTGAGGAACGTATTTAACTGGTAAACATACAACACGTTTAACTTGAATAGTGAAGACTGTAAACAAGACAATATTTTACTTAATGATACTTAATTCATATGTGAGCTTTATCAAGACAACAGCTCACATATGAATGAAAAATCATCTAGTAAAGCTTACCTTGCTTAGTGACAACTAATGTGTTTGCTGTTTGCCTACCAAATAATAAGTTTAACTGTACATTCAGCATGTCCTATCATCTAAATAATATGCACAATTTTGTTCAGCCCTCATTTTGTGTGGAGTTTTGTTTCTGTAAAAATTTGTGTAAAGCAAAAACTTAACAAATTAAACTTTAAAGCACATTATACAGAAACAATATGATTATAAACATTTCAGGAATGCTATAGCCCTTACATAAATAATTGCTGCTGCTACTAAACACTCTACATATAAAGATGAGATGTTTACTTTAAATATATAGTACTTCACTCCTTTAACAATACTTATTTTCCATATGAAAGTGTCAATTCTCTGCCTCTTTATATTGAATACATTATTTATTGTATACAATACTATATTAATTATTTGCTGTATACAATACTATTGATTTACTGAATATACATTTATAAGCATGTATTCATATCTATTGTATTTATATCATGTAAATAACAAATTGTTTATACATTTAGAGACTCACTTGAATGTTTTGATAGCATCATCATTCAGTTCTCTTCCTGAATTGACAACAAAGAAGCGTGCCAGGGCATGAGCAAGGGAGGTCTTGCCTGTCGCAGGAGGCCCAGCAAGCACCAAACGCCGGTGTTCCACTAAGAGGCCAGCCAGTTGCTTGAGAGATGTAGCTGGAGTAACACTGGTGAAGGATGCTGCCGACACACTGCCGATCATCTCTCCATCCTTCCTTTGATTTCCACCCTAAGGAATAACATGAGAAATCAATCATCCTCCGTATACCAATTTCTTGCTTTCATGGGATAGGGAAGCACTTGATGTTAGCTGTTTGTACCATAGAAAAATTTAACGTCTATGATTAAATTTTTTACTTTTGTACAGAATTGTCCAAGATATGAAGAAACCCATCGTATATAAACAAGACTTTATTTTATTAAATGAGCTTTTTCAATGCTCATACAGAGCATTGAGCATAACATATTTTACAATAAATCCTGGTCCTTACCTTCAACCACACGTGGAGAGCATCAACGTCACCAACACAGTAACCATAAGGCAATAGTTCTGGACGAGGCAAGTTGGGGGCGCTGACAACATTTTCAACACGATAGCAGAGAACAGAGTCGGCATCCAGTCCGAGAGCCGAAACTGGGTCGACTCGATTCGCGTATTCCTTGTCACCAGAAGCGAGATCAAGTCAGTAATACTGTACTTTAGTTAACATACTCTCTGATTTATTTAAGGAATCTGTATTATATAGTTTACTGTATAACTCCAAAGCTCAGTTTCATGTTTGACTTTCTTTGCTTAGCCTCATGTCCCTTTCCATGATGCATATGCTAGTGACATATGCTTTCCATGATGCATTTTGTCAAACATATGCAGCAAAGAAAATGTGTAATATGTATGACAAAACCTTTTAAAGTACATACTAAACATGTATGTACAGAATGTACATATGTTTAGTATGTACAGAATGTACATATGTTTAGTATGTACATTCTGTACATACTAAACAATTATTTAAACATAGGGAATCTTATAGCAGTTTTTAATACATACTGTATAGGCTTATTTTACAAGTTGTAAATTTTCTCAACATAGCCTATGAACAACCCATAGGTTCTGGCATTTGGTGCCAAACGTCATGTACAATTATTCTGAGATATTAGCATAAACTCCAGTATCAACAGTTTGTAAAGTGGCATCTGAAACATGTGCTGAAGAGTTTTACCTGCTAGTCTATCACCCTAGTTGTTATCCCTTCATAAAGTTTACATTGGAGTGAAAAGTTCTCCGATGAAGGCTTGCCTTTCACACTGACTTTGCCTTAACATTGTTTAACATTATTAAGTGATAGACTATAGTTATGAGCACTTTTCCCAAAGTGCTCATAACTCCTGCTAAGGTGCTCATACCCAGCTCATAATTACTCATCCCAAGGTTATAATTACTCCTCCCAAGGTTCTAATTACTCCTCCCAAGGTTCTAATTACTCTTCCCAAGGTTCTAATTACTCCTCCCAAGTGTTCATTACTCCTCCTCAGGTGATCATTACTCCTTTCAAGGTACTCATTACTCCTCCCAAGTAGCTCATTACTCTTACCAAGGTGATCATTATGCCTCCCAAAGTGCAAAATGATCCTCTCAAGGTATTGTATTCCATGACACCAGAATCATCCCATCAACTATGTGAATACTACTGCATTATAAGTGACAAAAATGTAATAATTTGTCTGCTTAAGAAACATAGGGTAGTACAAGGGTGGCACAGTCGGGTTCATTCTCGACTCATAATTGGAAATTCTGGGTTTGAATCCTGGGTGAGATCGATATGGTTGGACGTGTTTCCTATCACCTAATGCCTCTGTTCACCTAGCAGTAAATAGGTACCCAGGAGATAGTCAGTTTGTTGTAGGGATGCATACTGGAGAGGGTCAATAATTTGACCTTGGGGGGAACCTCGATATAAGCCTAACACTGGCTGCCAGTCCCCGAAACAATGAATTATTATTAAATCCCTAATGGTATTACCTATCTACCTTGTATCTATCTTGTGTAGCTTCCGGGGGATCAACGGCCCCGGAAGAGTCAGTTTATTATCTGACTCGGAGACAATCTTAAGTTTACTAATAGATCTTTATGTATTTAAACCAAATGTTTTACCTTAAGTGAGTTGCTAATCATCGTATCGAGTTCTTGCCAGGTTGTTTTGGACTCGACACTAATGTTACCAATGTGAGTTAAGTGGTTAGGATCAAGAGTGACTGAGGCTGCATTATGAACAGACATTAACTCGGGCTGATCGACCACCATTACTTTTACGTGCCGACCATCTTCTCGAGGCGATATGTTTCCTCCTGCAAAAATATGTACAGTATAAATATTTTGTTATTTCTCAACTTAGATAGTGTCAACTATTTACAGTACTCTAACTCAGTACAATTCTTTTATCACATGCAGCCAAAATGTACAGTAATAGTGCAGTACGTTAAAAAAGAGTCTACATAAAGTCCAATACTGTAGGTTTTAAATGCAATAATATACAAAACTGAAAAGTACTGTATAAAGCACTTCATAAAATAGCCACAGCTTACCAGAACCACCAGTATGACTAAGGGTGAGGGCTGTAAGCGTGTGTGTCAGAGGAGTCAGAAGAGCATCTGCCGCAGGTCCATATTGTCCTCGAACTAAAGACACCAGTCGCCCATTTTCCTCCTTCAGACCAACCACCTCTGCCTATAAAACATATATACTATTACAAATTACGTTTTTATTTTGATCAAAATATGACTTTCTGATATGCTAATTCTACCATTCACAAATGTACATATACTGTATATCCTATGATTTTGGAAGGCTGGAAATTGGTAAATTATAAGTCTATTGATGTTTAAGTTCTATGTATTGTTTGCTTTTGAGTTCCTAGACTACAATGTCAGTGTATTTACACATAGATTGCAATTCCCCTGGTAAGCTGTGAATGTTGGAGTCCTAGAGGCACTTATTTGGCATTTTCATCTACTTCCTACCCTGTAGTTTTGGATACCATAGTCTGTTGCTCAGGGGTTTCTCAATTATTAGTTTTCTCTGGAACATGACCCACCAATTGGTTTACAATCAGGTCCTCAGTAACTGCTGGGTGAATAGGGAGGAACAGTTAAAGAATATACTATCAACCCTCACAACCCATGGCTTGAACCTGGATGAAATCATTCACAAGGTTGAGACTCACTGTCACTGCACCAAAACAAAGCTGCCGAAGAAATATAAGAAAATTCACTTTCGCAAACAGAGTAGTATATGGTTGGAACAAGTTAGGTGAGAAGGTGGAGGAGGTCAGTAGTTTCAAAGTGTTATATTACAAAGAGTAATGGGAAGATGGTCGAGCGAGCATGATGAGCATAGCTCTCATCCTGTAACTACACTTAGGTAATTACAGGTATTGTTCTATAAATTATATGTAATGGAATAAGGTTGGGAAAATAAAATAAAATTAGATTTACCTACAATAAAAATATTAAACAAGTAGATTTATTACACTACCAAGTAACCTGTACCATTTTGTAACAGGAATGGTTTTTGATGTTAACATGACTTTACATTCCCTACTAATAGCATATGATGTTCAAAGAAGACAAGGTTTAATAAAGGAATCTGTAACATTGCACTAATTCATGATTTGTTTTTTATTGAACAACAATTATTGTGTACCAAAAACTTACCTGAAGCGTAGCAATGGTGTCTGCCTGGGTATGTAATTGATGCTGAGCCGACAGCACCTCCAGCTGGCAGTCTGTCAGCACTCGCTCTCTTTCTCTGGCTTCTAGCTTCAGCTGTGCCACCAGGTCACTCTCCTTACAAATGTTCCTGTAACATAAATAATACATTTTACAACTGACACCAGGTAATGCAAGAGGTAATATCCTCTATAACTAAGTGTAGGAGATTGACCAATAGTGGTACTGTATATTGAGTGTTTTGACATCACTGTAGGGGTAAGCCACATTTGTGTACTATACCTATGATTGCTCAGTGTGCATATATGTGCACTGTGCCCATGATTGCTCAGTGTGTATATATACTGTATTCACCTAGTTGTGTTTGCGGGAGTTGAGCTTTGCTCTTTCGGCCCGCCTCTCAACTGCCAATCAACTGTTTACTAACTACTTTTTTTTTTCCCCACACCACACACACACACACCCCAGGAAGCAGCCCATGACAGCTGACTAACTCCCAGGTACATATTTACTGCTAGGTATCAGGGGCATTCAGGGTGAAAGAAACTTTGCCCATTTGTTTCTGCCTCGTGCGGGAATCGAACCCGCGCCACAGAATTACGAGTCCTGCGCGCTATCCACCAGGCTACGAGGCCCCCATGTGTGTCTGTTGATGGTAATTGAAAAATCAATTCTCCAAATTTCATTTTTCTTTCTAGTCTAACGCGATGCTTGAATGCATTTCGTAATAACTTACTACATTTTCTAAGACTTTAGTTTACACACACACAACTGTAACCTGAAAACACTAAACAGAGTTTTACTTATACAGTACTAACACTAAACAGCTTATCCATCTTACATATACTCACACTTATGTGAGGTGATATGGTACAACAGTTTTGGATGAGGTGAACAAATTTGTGACAAATGGAAGACAGAACACGAAACAATGGGTATTAGTTGGATATGAGAGCATAAGAATGGAAGTAACTGCAGAGGGCCTATTGGACCATACTTCCTCTTGATGCTTCTATATTGGTTTGGAGTCTTGAAGTGGGTAGAATATAGTTGTGCATTTATTGGCTGTTGATTGCTGGTGTTGACTTTTTGATGTGTAGTGCCTCGCAGATGTCGAGCTGCCTGCTATCGCTGTACCTATCAGCGATTTCTGTGTTGTCTGTTAAGACTTCTCTGATGATGGTCTGGTTGTGAGAGGAGATTGTGTTCCTTTATGGAGCCCTGTTGCTTATGCATTGTTATTAATTGCCTGGAAAGAGACGTTGTTGTCTTGCCTATATACTGAGTTCTTTGGGGCTTACAGTCTCCAAGTGGGCATTTGAAGACATAGACTACGTTGGAAAACAGGAGATGCTTTTTCACGCAAAGCTTTATAAACTCATGGAACCACCTACCTGCTGAAGCCATGCATGTCAAAACTCTGTTAAGCTTTAAAATCCAGCTTGAAAAAATCATCAGGACAAATGAGGGACCTTTGACAAGCCGCCGGCTTTCTGTCCTTGTCGAGGCCACTATTGTGTTAGTGGCCCTCAGGTAAACTCAGGTAAACTTAGGTATGACTGGATTGTTTTTTTTTCACATTGTCAGGGACAGGATGCTTGTTAGGCTTTCTGAGGTCTTCCTAGGTCAATAGCTGACCTTCCCCAAGATCCAAACCACAACAGTTGCCTAATTTCCAGGTATATATTTACATCTAGGAGAACAGTAAATCAAGTAAAATGAAATGAGCCCAAACATTTCTACCTTGCTGCAGAAATCAAACCCAGAACCTTTTGGTTGTGACCCGACTACATTCACCACTGTGCGAGGTAAGAGAAGAGAAGGGCACCGGAACAAACAGAAAACAGATGAGTCAAAGGGACATAAGAGAGTATTCCTTCAGCGTATTTGAAGTGAACAAGAGGAGCAAGCTGGACCAGGAAGTAATGTAGGCTGGCTCCACACACGGTTTCAAATGCAGATATGGCAAAGCCCAAGAGCCCCAGAGAATACATCCAATGGCTAAAAGACAACCCAATAGCTGGAACCTAACCTCCATCAACATAATTAGATAATAATAATAATAATAACACACTAAGATAAGAACATGATTTGTGCTCTACTGATTAACGTACTGTTGCTTTTGCTGTTTCTGTTTCTTGTGGAGTGATGCCACTTGTTGGTGTTGGTGCAACATCATAGAATGTGATGAGGGAGGAGGTGGAGGAGGTAAGTGTCTAACAGCAGAATTGACTGTGTGATGCAGTGGCAACTCCTGCGGAATGTCAGTGGGGGTTCCTTCGCCCGACTGTTTGCTTCGTTTCCTTCCATGTCTACCAAATGCTCGTCGAAGAGAACTCCGCAGCTGAAAGTTACAATACTTTGTTTGTCAACATCATATGAAGTTTCAGGGCTTTATATCAAATATCTTCATGCAGACCATAAAATTTTCACCACATAATTTTGAAGTCAAGAATTTGTTAGTACAGTATTAAGTAATTTACAAATTTATTTTTATAGTACATACAGAAGCTCTTAAGATTTGTACAATTAAAGCTTATCATGAAAGTTAATAACATTTTGAAGCTTGAAGCTCCTTACCCAGCTTCGTTTTTTAAGCTTAGCTTGATTGGGAGGGTTAAGACTATCCGACTGTGTGTGACTAAGGTTATGGGAATTGCAGTGTGGCATGTGTGTAGCACTAAGCGACCGAGACCCTAGAGATGCATAAGACGACATGGAAGCTCCACTGACTGTAGAGGTAACACTTGACACGCTGTCGCAGGACAACTGACGCTCCATGCTGAGGTATCCTGTCAGGAAAATTTTTATTACAATCCCTTTAGTATTATAATATTCTGAAAATAATCAAGGTAATGGCCATGACTGAAGTACAATACTATTAGAGAACAAATAAAACATTCTTTTCCATAACTTCAGTCACAATGCAAATTTGGTAATCTTACATTTTTCAACAAATATACATACTGAAATCTTAATATAGATAAATAAAGTTCTCCTCAGAGTAAAACATCATCCATGGATATGGTATAGTTTATGGTATTTAACTAATTTGGTGTTTCAACTAAACACTGTAGTCAGATCTTGCTGTTTTCACCATACTATCTGCTATCATAATTTCTCAGCTGCTAACCTGCCACTCCCAGAAGTATATATCCTGCATGTCTTAGAAGCTTGTAGCCCACAGTCAAGCAATAAGACAAAATGACAATCATACACTGTCTCAACCATGATGAATTCTTCCAAGTCTCTTCTCGTGTTGCATTAGAGCTTGGCCATAGCTCATATATTAATTTTAGGGGGTTTATTTCTTGTAGCAGTTCACATTCAGGTGTGCAGAATGCTTTGGCCAATAGGCAATCCAGTCTGCATCTGACTTGCATGGTATGGACTTTGGACACAGCACCATTGTGGTGAATATATGATAGTTTCGGGACTCTGCAAGTGGACCTACTCACATGGAACCATAAACTACTTGTGTATGTGGTTCCATTCCCGGAGTGCAGTACCATATGCACTGTGGGTAGAATGTAACAAGTGAAGATTACTCTTATCTCTTTTCTTCAGTATGTGTGCTTTTAATGGCTTTGAAAAGGCTAGAGACTTATGTGAGCCATTCTATCCATATGGCTCCGGGTATACCAGCTGTGGTTCCTCTATTATTGCCGAGATGTCCAGCTCCAGTCAGGTTACCTGCACAGAAGATATGGATGGTCATCAGTTCTAATCATTTAAGGCTCTATTTACTCATGTGTATTGAGTTTTAGGGCACATTTACTAAAACATACAGTGGGCTGAATTTTATGGCATGGTTGACCAATACCACAGGGTTTCATTGTCATAGCAGTGCAGGTGGTTTGATCTAATTAGTTTTACAATATAAATGTCTCTTCTTTCAATGTCTTGATTATGCGGAAAATATCAATGTGTACATCGCTCCAGTTTTGGTATATAGTACCCTAGTAGTAGTATGGACCTAAACACTAATCAGTCCCTAGACTTTAATGACAATGTATTTATCTACATACATCTGTGTCTGGGTTTAATACCAATTTCATATACATAAAATGACTTTCATGTTTTACCGGCTCATTGATAATTCCAGTTTCCACCCATCTCCTCTTGTCCTATTTTCTTCAATTTGGAAAGACTATTCTAATGCACCATGTTTTTTCCCCTTAATATTTATTATGTGGTAATAATACTCCCTTTTGTCCTTATCTCTTCTAGTTGTTAGATTTAGATTCCATAACCTGTCATTGTACCTTAGATCTCTCAGCTTGAACACTAGCCTTGTTGTACATCTTTTGATTTGTTCAACCTTTGCTTTGTTCTTCACTAGATGCAGACTCCATGCAGTGCTGCATATTCTAGGACTGGTCCTAGTCCATAACCAACATATAACCAACATAGGTTATATGTTGTCTTTAAAAAGTAATTGTTTATGTTCTTAAATTCTTCAATGACATTATAATGTTTGGCAATTTCTAATATGTTGCTGATGTTATAGTATTTTAATGTGCTTCTGGTGTTAATACTTATGTCTTCTCACAAATTTTTCTTTCATTCTCATACCTGTAGTTGCCTATGTCTTATAAGGCAGCTTCCTTCCACAACCCATCTTAATAGAATGTCGCATTTTGACGTACTGTATACTCTACCTGAGGCCAAAAAATGTCATACATACTAGAAAATGGCAGCGGCTCGCGAAATTGACATACTGTCCCGTTTTCTGTTTGGGTCCTCTGATAGGTTATAGGATAACAGCACTTTAGTACAACAGTTTCTTGATGTTAGAAAACCTAAGAAGGACGGGCTGCCTTCCACCCTCCCATTCCCCCCCCTGAGTAAAGTGTCTTCATTACTTTACTCTTGCTGGAATTTAACACTTACAGCAATTGGTCAGCCCATTCCTACATTTGGGAAGGGCTCCCTGTAACACTCTAAGAGTCCTCCTCAATTTGTACCTTCTTACTAATTTTTGCATCTGCAACCTTCAGAAAAAGGTTGCTAACATGGAATAGTAAAAGAAATGGGTTCAGGATCAAGCCTTTAGGGATTCTGCTTGCTACACACTCCAGTTTGACATCTCATCTCAAACTGTGACCCTATAGCTCTTTCCTGTGTGTTGGTTTTGTTCTTATCAAGTTTAGTAGTGATGAGGTGGTGCAATCTTGTTTGTAATTAGCAGATTAGATTTTATTCTAAGGTTCCCAATGACAGCAACAAGTGTGACATGATGATGAGAGTTCCGGAAAACTTGTGCTCGTAAACATTCTCGGCATCAGTCTATTCTCGCTGAATAATACTGTTTCCAGTAGCTTCCAAGTATATTTCATGGGTCCTATAGCACAGTGGTCTAAATTCTTGACTCACAATCAAGAGACCTGGGCTCAATCCCTGGTCAGGAAAGAAATGGTTGGCACATCTCCTTTCAAATGATGCCTCTCTTCACCTAGCAGAAATTCAAATTAAAATTTTTAGTCAAAAGAATTTATGTACAGTACAAAGAACATAAGAGTAATATACAATTATGGGGACAGGAGTTACACAAACTAATGAAGCCACTAAATAAGGAGTGGCTCAAGTAAGTAAAAGACGTAAAATAGGTATCTGGGAATTAGACAAATGTTGCGGGTTACATCCTGAGGAAGGTCAGTTGTTGACCTAGAGGAACCTTAATAGGCTTAAGGCTTCCTGTTCCCAACAATTGGAATTATATTATATGACCCCACAGAGGGGGCAGGAACGCTAGTGCCCATGATGCTGCTGCTGTGTGTTGCTTATCTGACTGCAAGATTCAAGCTTTTGCAGTGAGCAAGATATATACCTATGGGAGCAGAAGAATAATTTCCTCACAAATGTGCTTTTTTACCAAGGAAATTTTTTTTATTTCTCTAGTTTTCACTACAGAACCATATTGCATTTCCTTTTATTCTTTTATAAATATCAAATAATAAAGCATGTATATACTGTATATGTTGTGTATTTTGGGTCATTCTGCAAGTTCAGATATCAGATACTGGCAAATACTTTGTACCATACACAAGCTTTTTGACATCCTTGTTACAACGTTACATGATTAAGGGGCAACAACTGCAAAATAGCAGCCATAAATTACAGCATTTAGTGCTTGGAAAACATTTCCCATGTTATGTTAAAGGAGAACAAGTTAGATCCAAGTTAGATTAGGCTAGCTTGCTAAGTTAGCACTCATGCCAAGTAATTATTATGCACATAAAGTTTAACCCTTTACGGACGATAACTTTGAGCTCCCTCACGCGAATGATTTTTTAAGTGTTTTGAAAAATCTGCATGATTTATAGACATGCAAAAGTGAATAATAAAAAATAAATTTAAAATGAATACTAATAGTGTGTTTATATCATTTTTGTTTTGTACTGTACTACTGTAATATTAAAACTAAAAAAAATCAAATCTCTGTAAAAATTGAGTAAATACAATAATTAATATATTCCTTAGCATTTTTAATGAATGTTTATTATTGGAATACAGAAATAACAAAACAATTTAATACTGTAAATATTAACCAAAAAAAAATCCATTCATGCTGTCATGTGAGAATTTCACCAGAGAATTTTGCAACATAATTTTTTCAAAAATATTATATTGTTCATATACTATATTTAAATGTTATGTTTTGGGCCAAAAATTATTAAATTCAATTACATTTTTTGTGGGAAATAACTATTACATATTTGCACGGTAGTCAGCCCTGATATACCGGCAATGTAGTCGTGTGCGTACAGGTAAGTGAAAGTGTGCACAGGTAAATAAAAGTGTGTACAGGTAAATGAAAGTGTGTACAGGTAAATGAAAGTGTGTACAGGTAAGTGAAAGTGTGCACAGGTAAATGAAAGTGTGTAAAGGTAAATGAAAGTGTGTACAGGTAAATGAAAGTGTGTACAGGTAAGTGAAAGTGTGCACAGGTAAATGAAAGTGTGTACAGGTAAATGAAAGTGTGTACAGGTAAATGAAAGTGTGTACAGGTAAATGAAAGTGTGTACAGGTAAATGAAAGTGTGTACAGGTAAATGAAAGTGTGTACAGGTAAATGAAAGTGTGTACAGGTAAATGAAAGTGTGTACAGGTAAATGAAAGTGTGTACAGGTAAATGAAAGTGTGTACAGGTAAATGAAAGTGTGTACAGGTAAATGAAAGTGTGTACAGGTAAATGAAAGTGTGTACAGGTAAATGAAAGTGTGTACAGGTAAATGAAAGTGTGTACAGGTAAATGAAAGTGTATACAGGAAAATGAAAGTGTGTACAGGTAAATGAAAGTGTGTACAGGTAAATGAAAGTGTATACAGGTAAATGAAAGTGTGTACAGGTAAATGAAAGTGTGTACAGGTAAATGAAAGTGTGTACAGGTAAATGAAAGTGTGTACAGGTAAATGAAAGTGTGTACAGGTAAACGAAAGTGCATACAGGTAAACAAAACGTCCGCAAAGGGTTAAGTACCTGATGGCTACCATGCGTACTACACAACTTACATCTCGATAGAAGCAAAACTGTAATTAAAGCATTCTTCGGCTATCATGCTTAAAATCCACAACATGTAAGTATACATAAAAACAAATACCTTTTACACAAGGACAACATGAAAATAATATAAAAGTGAGAGTTACTCTAAATGGCCAATATAACGTGTTACTCTACATACAAGTAGATGATGGTTTACATACAAAGGTTTGTTTAAGATATACAATATATCGATGGTTGAACTTTAGGTGAGATACATGAGGGATAAGACTCAAGAACTTTATGCAAGATATAAGAGATAAGACTCACAAAGACATAAGGGATAAGACTCATAAGGACATTAGGGTAAAACTCAGGATATAAGGGATAAGACTCAGGAGAACATATAAAACTAACAAGGATATAAGGGATAAGACTCACGAGGACTTAAGGGATAACTCATAAGGACCTAAGGGATACGACTCACAAGGACATAAGGAATAAGACTCAGGAGGACATAAGGGGTAAGACTCACAAGGACATAAGGGATAAGACTCAGGAGGACACATAAAACTAACAAGGATATAAGGGATAAAACTTACGAGGGCTTAAGGGATAAGACTCGTGAGAACTTAAAGGATAACTCACAAGGACATAAGGAATAAGACTCGGGAGGACATAAGGAATAAGACTCAGGAGGACATAAGGGGTTAAGACTCAGAAGGACATAAGGGATATAAGGGATAAGACTCAAGAGGATATAAGGAATATAAGGGATAAGACTCAGGAGGACATAAGGGATAAGACTCAGGAGGACATAAGGGATAAGACTCAGGAGGACATAAGGGACATGGTACAGGCTAGAGGGTGTACCAAGAGGGATGTGTGAATGCTGATGGTGTCACCATCCACTCAAGGATGGTGACACTGCACAGCTGTGCTTCTTTGAACACAATATATAAAGATCATATACATAGACAGACAAAACCAAAATAATGATAATATTTTCCCAAAAATATGAACTGGGAATAGCAATTTATTTTAAAACTATTTGATAAACTGTTCTGCAGTTCATCAATTGTACTAAATTATTAGAATATTAGCGACTATTTTCTCCTAGAATTAAGACAGTTATCATCATAATTCCCATTGTCGGGGACAGGTTAGGTGAAATGTGCCCAACCATTTCTGTCATGCTGGGGAGGACTGAACCTGTGTCCCCCAACTTTGAGTTGAAAATGTTGATGTCTGTGCTATGAGACCCTGTTAGATTCTACTTGTGACCAGAGTTTCAGATACAACATGACTATAGAGACGATCTCATCCACAGTAAATTCAAGATTCTCATTTGTCTGGAAATCACAAAAATAATTGTCTCAAGAACAGTCCCTTCAACAGAGCTTGAGCACATGATTTGTGTTCATGACAGAGAAGAACTTAGTGGTACAGTTCAGTAACACACTCAGTTAGTTCCTCTCATTACAGTATAGTTCAGTAACACTCTCAGTTAGTTCCTCTCATTACAGTATAGTTCAGTAACACTCTCAGTTAGTTCCTCTCATTACTGTACAGTCATAATGGCTTGGCACATTCTCCTGATAGTTCCCTTCCCTTCCTCTCATTACAGTTGAAGTCAAATTTAAATCATCAAAATGAATCATAACATGGCATCCAATGAATGAATGACAGTTTTCAATTAATTATTTATAGGAACATCAGCAAAGGAAATGCGAGGCCCGGCCTGAGGCCAAAGGAAATGGCCTCAGGCCGGGCTCAGGGAGTAGAAGAACTCCCAAGACCCTCTCCAGGTATGCTCCAGGTATGCCTTTATTTAAAATGAATATTCATTTTAAATAAAGGCATTCCATTCCATTCCTGCTCCATTCGAAACACCATCTGCATTTAAGGCTTATCCATGCCTGGTAGTGGTGTTTTCGTCGGGATCCCATCTTACGATAGTTGACAGACTGACACACATCTCACATGAGCTGAAAGATTGACACACCTTTCATGAGCTGACAGACTGATATACGCTTACCTGAGCTGACAGACTAATACACGCTTACCTGAGCTGACAGACTAATACACGCTTACCTGAGCTGACAGACTAATACACGCTTACCTGAGCTGACAGACTGACACACTGCAGAGCTTTGTTGTCGCAGAACTGCTGCCGTTTTCCTCAACTCTGCAGCCTCTGTCTCCTGTGTGGTTGTGAAATGCATAAATTTTTCAGCTGTCCTTATCCATCAATTCACACATGTGCTCACTAAACACACACACACACCTGCTCCTTAATCACTGCACCTGCCTCTTAAGTGACACACCAATCCACTCATTTTTTAATTAGCTGTAAAATATTACAAACTATGAGCATTGTAAAGATTATTGTAATTTTCTACACCTCACACCCATATATGTATTATTTCTTCAACTAAATTATGGTACAATATATGTACATGTATATTTATATGCATGCTGGTGTAAATACACATGCATGCATATATGTACAATAAAGCATTAAAAAGGTGAGTAGTGGTATAAGACAACATACAAACACACATGCGGGCTCCCCTTGAATGTCTTATTCTCTTCTCCAAGGCTTCTTAAATGTCTTCTTTTCTTTAATGATCCCTCCTTCCAGCCAACTCCAAAATGGGCCATCCTTCCATTCTCACATACACTTAACAGGTGCTTATCCATTTATACATACAGCTAATAGGTTCAATCCCTGACTGTCCAAGTGTTTGGGCACTATTCTAATTCTCTGCCCTATCCTAAATCCTCATCCCTTGTAAGTGCTTTATAGCCGTAATGGCTAAGTACTTTCTCCTATTAATTAACTTAACTTCCCTAACATACCCTAATGAGATCCCCTTCCCATCTCTCACACACACACCTAATGGGTCACCCTTCCCTTCCATTATACTGTATACTTAATGGGTCTCCTTTCCTTCTTACCTACTGTATATCTAATGGGTGCCTTTCCTTTCCCATATACATTTAATGGGTCTCCTTTCTTTTTCACATACAACTAATGCATTTCCTTCCCTTCCATTGTACACAAAGTGTATGATGGAAGGGATGGAGGCCTTACAACATACACCTAAAAGTTGGTTTATTACTCTAAAGCAAGATGTAATTATTTTGTAAATAAAGAAATGTGCCTCTCATCTGAATCACCATCTGTGTTTTATTGGTCACTTTCAAGTGCCAGTGAGCCCTTAAAGACATGTGAGCTGAACTTATTTACCTAAAGGACACCATCTCTAGTGGCTTCGACAGGGCCAGGAAGCCAGCGGGTTGTGGAAGGTACACTGCCATTAGTCATGAGGATTTTTTCCAACTATATTTTACAACAAAGTGCTGTCAAAGTATTTACAGCTACGGAGGGTAGGTGACTCCATGGGTTTATTGCACTTTGGCGGAAAAAGAATTTCCTGCAGTACCCAAATTATAGACAAAATGAAGTTAGAAAAATTGAGTGTTTACTGTACATATAGTGAAGGAGGCAAGAGTAGACAGAGTAACATTCCAAATGTAGTGATAGAGAGTACATGTTGGAATTGTGTAAAAACCCCAGTTTGTGTCTCGGAGAGACTGAGGGATCCGTGTGAGAGCAGTAGCAATCCCGGTCGCAGTTCTTATACCATGTAATAGCACAGTCGATTAAGGCGCGTCTGAGATCATCCTGGACATAAGTTTGAACCCTCATCACACCCCCTTGTGGATTTATTCATGTGTATAGAGACATTTTCCTTGCTGATGATATATATACTGTATTATCGAAAGTGGAGAATAAGATTTGGACTGTGAAATATAGGGGAATTAACAGAGAAGTGGTGATGAAAGAAAGATGATGGGTTTCAAAGGCATTCAGCAAACTCACGACAGAAGCCATAATTGCTATTTCTTGCCACGACTCCTAATTAATACATTCTTAGTTAACATTGTATTTAATTCTTGTATTCTTATAACTGATTATTTACACTGCTGGTCTCTTTCTACCTGTAGCCTTGTTAATGAGGTGTGGAGAGTCAAATGAGCCAAGGCCACAGATATGAGGTGTGACTGAGCCAAGACCATACTCATGAAGTGTTTAAGGGTAAGCCACGACCATACTCATGAGGTGTGAGATAGTAGAGTGAGCCAAGATCATACTCATGAGGTGTGAGATAGTAGAGTGAGCCAAGACCATACTCATGAGGTGTGAGGTAGTAGAGTGAGCCAAGACCATACTCATGAGGTGTGAGGTAGTAGAGTGAGCCAAGACTATACTCATGAGGTGTGAGGTAGTAGAGTGAGCCAAGACCATACTCATGAGGTGTGAGGTAGTAGAGTGAATCAAGATAAATTCTTTGTAGCAGTTGGACATGCATAGAGGCAGTGATGAAGGATAATAATGCAAGAACAAGCAAGAGAGAGAAGCAAACACTTTTTTTTATACATATACAAGAGTTGTTACATTCTTGTACAGCTACTAGTATGCGTAGCATTTTGGGCAAGTCTTTAGTCCAATGTTCCCCGGAATACGACCCCCGCCAAATCGTTTAACAACTAGCTGCCCATTTTATTGTTGGGTTAAACAGAGGCTACAGTTAAGTATTTATTCCCAGTTATTCCTCCCTGGCCAGGATACGAATCCAGGGCAAAGCGCTCGCAAAACACTAGGCGAGCATCTTACCACTATGCCACAGGGATTCACCATAGGCTAGAGTGCTGAGAAAGTCAATAACATTATCAAAAGATACAGCAAAGACATACACAGATATACACAGACGTACATCCAATTTGAAACTTTCATGTTGCGATTGCCGTTCTAATAATAGATGGGATCATTACTGTATATCTTACCTTAAGATCTGGAGAAGATGCAAGACGCTCCAATTTGTCCGTCACACTACTCATCGTCTGCTCGAGGGCGGTCACCATACTGGCCTTCAGGAAAATCACAGACAGAATCAGACAAATATAATGAACTACAGTATTGTCCAGTCAATCCTCAGAATGCATAGATTTGTATAACATAAAGTTCAGAAAAAGTGGTGACTGGCAAATCTTTAAACATCAGATTTTTAGTTTGGAAGCGGCAGGTGTACTTAGAAATTCTGTAATGGTATACAGTATTTTCTTTTAGAAAGGAGTGCAAAAATGGCCGGCTTTGGGAGGTCTCTGGAACACAAATGTACCCATTTTGTCTACTACTGTACAATATTAAAATAATATGCAAGAATCCATTATGTTATACAGTAGTTTTATTTATTTTAAAAACCTTTGTAATATTTTCATTTATAAATGAATGAAATCGGAGCATCTTTATTAAGCAAATATGAAAGCTTCATCTTAAGCTGTCTATGCACTAAATTAAGTGACTCACAGGTTATGGATAGCTCACCTGTATTCTATTTAGCAACGCACCTGAGAAAAAGCTGGGCAAGATCGATATCTTGATCGTCTTGTGGCCACTTCCCACCAAGGCAGTTGTGAGCGATCTCTTCTGGCTATTGGCATCTCCCCGGATGTTTCCCCTCCTCCTCGTTCCTCCCACAGTGGCTCCATGGCCCAGGCCCGACCCCCAGGGTTGCAGCACCCATGGTGGCAGGATGGGGCCCGTGTTTCAGTCGTAACTGCAGGTGAGCTGAGAGCACGTCCTCTTTTGCCAGTACCAGAACGTATAGTGGCAAACCCATCATGTACAGCTCTCCCACCTGTAATGCATCAATACAAAACACATTAACAATCCAACAAAGTACAGTATGAATTAAATAGTATCATCTTGGTCCTGAAAAAGTAAAAGAATATATGAAATTATCAATAAATATTTTGTCTGCCAATTTTATGCTAGCAAGAATTGAGAACTAGTTTATCAACACTGGAACAAGTATCTGCCTTTAACTATCTCTCTCTACCCCCTGATGCAATGCTTCCTCTGGCAACTTTCTAGTCTTGAGATTGTAGTTATATCTGAACTATTTCTTAAACATTGCAAAAAGGGTATGGTAGAAAAAATGGCAAATTTACACTAAATTCTAACACAAAAAAATCTAAACTATCAAGGTAACTGAAAAATACAAAATATCTTATTTGCTATTCCTTAGACCTTTCTTGCAGGAGAAAGGCAAGTTGCTGCACGTCTTGTTAACATGTGTGACATTATTATGTATTATTATTATTTACAATATTATTATTATTATTACTATAATTATTATTATTATTGTGCACATTATTATTATTATTGTGCACATTATTATTATTATTACTATTACTTCTAGCTCGGAGAGGTGTGTATTTGTCCTGTGCTCAGGAAAAATAATTAAATTGTTCATGTGCACAATTATTGGCTTGTGCACAATTGTTGGATCATCTATGTGCATAATTGTAGGTTTGTTCTTATGCACAACTGTAGGCTTGTTAGTGTGCACAACTGTAGGCTTGTTAGTGTGTACAACTGTAGGCTTGTTAGTGTGCACAACTGTAGGCTTGTTAGTGTGCACAACTGTAGGCTTGTTAGTGTGTACAACTGTAGGCTTGTTAGTGTGCACAACTGGACTCACCTAGTTGTACTCACCTAGTTGTGTTTGCGGGGGTTGAGCTCTGGCTCTTTGGTCCCGCCTCTCAAGGCTTGTTAGTGTACACAACTGTAGGCTTGTTAGTGTGCACAACTGTAGGCTTGTTAGTGTGCACAACTGTAGGCTTGTTAGTGTGTACAACTGTAGGCTTGTTAGTGTGCACAACTGTAGGCTTGTTAGTGTGCACAACTGTAGGCTTGTTAGTGTGTACAACTGTAGGCTTGTTAGTGTGCACAACTGTAGGCTTGTTAGTGTGCACAACTGTTGGCTTGTTAGTGTGTACAACTGTAGGCTTGTTAGTGTGCACAACTGTTGGCTTGTTAGTGTGTACAACTGTAGGCTTGTGAGTGTGCACAAGGCTTGTTAGTGTGTACAACTGTAGGCTTGTTAGTGTGCACAACTGTAGGCTTGTTAGTGTGCACAACTGTTGGCTTGTTAGTGTGTGCTTGTTAGTGTGCACAACTGTAGGCTTGTTAGTGTGCACAACTGTTGGCTTGTTAGTGTGCACAAGGCTTGTTAGTGTGCACAACTGTTGGCTTGTTAGTGTGCACAACTGTTGGCTTGTTAGTGTGTACAACTGTAGGCTTGTTAGTGTGCACAACTGTAGGCTTGTTAGTGTGCACAACTGTAGGCTTGTTAGTGTGCACAACTGTAGGCTTGTTAGTGTGTACAACTGTTAGCTTGTTAGTGTGTACAACTGTAGGCTTGTGAGTGTGCACAACTGTTGGCTTGTTAGTGTGTACAACTGTAGGCTTGTGAGTGTGCACAACTGTTGGCTTGTTAGTGTGTACAACTGTAGGCTTGTTAGTGTGCACAACTGTTGGCTTGTTAGTGTGCACAACTGTTGGCTTGTTAGTGTGTACAACTGTAGGTTTGTTAGTGTGCACAACTGTAGGCTTGTTAGTGTGCACAACTGTAGGCTTGTTAGTGTGCACAACTGTAGGCTTGTTAGTGTGTACAACTGTTGGCTTGTTAGTGTGTACAACTGTAGGCTTGTTAGTGTGCACAACTGTAGGCTTGTTAGTGTGCACAACTGTAGGCTAGTTAGTGTGCACAACTGTAGGCTTGTTAGTGTGCACAACTGTTGGCTTGTTAGTGTGTACAACTGTAGGCTTGTGAGTGTGCACAACTGTTGGCTTGTTAGTGTGTACAACTGTAGGCTTGTTAGTGTGCACAACTGTTGGCTTGTTAGTGTGCACAACTGTTGGCTTGTTAGTGTGTACAACTGTAGGCTTGTTAGTGTGCACAACTGTAGGCTTGTTAGTGTGCACAACTGTAGGCTTGTTAGTGTGCACAACTGTAGGCTTGTTAGTGTGCAGAACTGTTGGCTTGTTAGTGTGCACAACTGTAGGCTTGTTAGTGTGCACAACTGTAGGCTTGTTAGTGTGCACAACTGTAATTACCAAAGCGTAGTTACAGGATGGGTGCTACGTTTGTGGTGTCCCATCTTCCCAGCACTCTGTTATATACTGTAATACTTTGAAACTACTGACGGTCTTGGCCTCCACCACCTTCTCACCTAACTTGTTCCAACCGTCTACCACTGTTTGCGAAAGTGAATTTTCTTATATTTCTTCGGCAGCTTTGTTTAGCTAGTTTAAATCTATGTTCTTGAAGTTCCAGGACTTAGGTTTTCTTTTATATCAATTTTATCGATTCCAGTTACTATTTTGTACATAGTGATCATATCGCCTTTTTTCTATATTCTAGTTTTGGCATATTTAATGCCTCTAACCTCTCCTCGTAACTCTTGCCCTTCAGTTCTCGGAGCCATTTAGTTGTATGTCTTTGCACCTTTTCCAGTTTGTTGATGTGCTTTTTAAGATATGGGCACCACACAACCGCTGCATATCCCTGCTTTGGTGTAACAAAATTCGTTAACAATTTCTTTAGTATTTCTCCACTCATGTATTTAAAAACAATTCTAAGTTAGAAAGCGTAGCATAGGCTCCTCGCACAACGTTCTTTATGTGGTCCTCAGGTGATAGTTTTCTATCTAGAACCACCTCTACATCTCTTTCTTTATCAGAATTCCTTAAAGATTTCTAACATAATTTATAGGTTGTGTGGGGTCTATGTTCTCCTATTCCACATTCCATAACATGGCATTTATTCATATTAAATTCCATTTGCCAAATGGTGTTCCATACACTCATTTTGTCCAGGTCTTCTTGAAGGGCATGACAATCCTCTAAGTTTCTTATCTTCCCTAGTTCCTTAGCATCATAAACAAACATGTTCATATAATTCTGTATTCCATCTGGCAGATCGTTAATGTTGGTTTGTTCATGTGTATATGTTCTTCATCATCACTATCACCATATATTAATCGTATCATACATCATTAGTATTAATATAAAAAAATTAGTATTAATATTAAAAGTAATACATCATTAGAATATGTCCTCGGCTTCCCGACAAGCCGCCGGCTTTCTGTCCTCATCGAGGCCACTAGAGATTTAGTGGTCCTCAGGTAAATTAATGTAAATATATTATCATCATCATCATGAACCATCACCATCATATTAACATCATACAACACTGTTATCATATATCATAATTATGTGTCATCATATATTATCACCATCGTCTTGGATCATCACCATCACCCTAAATTGATATCTAAGTATGATTAATATCATCATGCATCACTATACATTATGAAATTATCATACATCACTATATATTATCATATCATGCATCACCATATATTATCATGTCACCATACATCACCTATATTATCATTATGAATCATCACCATCATCATGCATCATCACCATCCTCATGGATCATCAACATCACCATATATCAGCGGCGCAGATAACACCCCTAGATCCTAGACTAAACAACCAATCACCATTAGTTTCTCCCATTCACCATCAATGTGAATCACTAACCTGCACAACCATTTGCCCTCACGCAGCCATTGACCCCAAGGGAGGGGGAGGCGATGGTAGGCGCCTGACCATTGGCCAGCTGGCCGTTGGTGTGCTGGAGGCCTTTGCTCTGGTTATTGTTGAGGTGGGGGCCATTGGTGAGGTGGAGGCCGTTGGTGTGGTGGAGGCCATTGGTGTAGGTGAGGCCGTTGGTGTGGTGGAGGCCGTTGGTGTGGTGGAGGCCATTGGTGTGGTGGAGGCCATTGGTGTGGTTGAAGCCGCTGGTGGTAGTTTTATTCTTGTGGAGGGCAGTGAGGGAGGTGGCGAGGCGCAGGCCACGGGGTAAGGTCACATATCCCAGTTCAGTCATGCCCTCATCTGACCTGACCTGCCGGAACAAAACGCCAGTTACAACATAGTTCACTGTTAAATATGATCAAAATAAGTAACCTATGATGGAAGGTGCACATGAATAATATAATAATTATGTGCATTCTCTAGATAAAATTGATATTACTGTATTGAAAAATATATATTAATTATTAATATATATGAATGAAAAATGGTGAGTGCCGCAAGGGATCCATATTGATGCGAAACCTCATCATAAAATTTGCAGATGCCACAAAGGACTATTGTAAAGTGGGAAGCGAAAACGATATAGAAGCATTGGAAAATGATTTACATAAATTCCATAAATGGTCAGAATATTGGGAAAAGCTTTTTAGTATTGAAAAATACATGTTGGGCATAACAATACACAACATAACTATCATATCAACAACACGACCATGCAACATATTGATAAAGAAAAGGACATGGTCTTACTAGTCATTAAAAGTTGCTCAACAAGTTGGAGCTGCTGGTAAAAGATGCTAACACACTTTTAGAATAATTAAGCAAATCTTTGACTTCATGGATAAGAGTTATGCAACTGTACAAGCCTCTGGTGAGCTCCCATCTGGACTACTGTATATGGAGACTTCGCCACCAAAAGAACACATCGGCATTGGAGAAAGTTCAACACTGTGTGAAAAAAGGTAACTTTCGTACCAGGAACTGTTTAGGGCCTCAGGATACCCAATACTACAAAACCAGACATGACAGGGCTGATCTAATTGATGCCGATAACATATAAATTGGAAGATATTAAAAGGTCCAATAACACGCATACGTACATTGGCATCTGCAAATATGATGTTTCGTATTTTCTCATCCATGTCGTTGATTATTACAAAATGGGTTGGACCAATATGGACCCCTGGGCCACGCTATTCTATATATATATATATATATATATTTTTCATTCAGATTAATTTCCATTTAGGACAAACCATAGTTTTATCCGTTCCAGTATTTTTCCGTCTATTTCATGTGCTTGTAGAATTTATGCGGTATCCTATCAAAAGTTTTAGCGAAATCTATCCACTGGAGGTTATTTTTATGTGTACTTTGTTATCGTTTTATAAAATTTGAGCAGGTAAGTTAGGCAGGATTTATTGGTAACAAAACTATGTTATGTTACTGTTACAAGATTGTTCATGATTCCCTCTTATGAGTCTCTCCACGAACTTGTGACATGTGAGGTTAGGCTGTTTGGTCGGTAATTTTTTATATTTTTTGAAGCCACGGGTAATATTTGCATATTTCCAATCTATGAGATTTTATCTTAGTCTAAGGATTTTTTGAAAGTTTCAGTAGTAGACACAACTCATCGGCGACTTCCTTAAAGATTTTGGATTGAATTCTATTTACACCTATCTTGGGGTCTCTCATCCATGTCGTTGATTATTATAAAATGGGTTGGCTCAATATGGACCCCTGCGCCACGCAATTCTATATTCATTCACTGTATTCACCTGGATGGAATTCAGTCATTCATCTCTCTTTCTCTCTCTCTCTCTCTCTCACACACACACACACACGACACTCACACAAAAGACAACGTGAGAAAGATATGGGGTTGATCACACCGAACCAGTCCCCAGAAGCCTTCATCAAAAGGATATCATCAGCGGCATATGCAAGATTGGCCAATATAGGAACTGCCTTTAGAAACTTATGTAAGGAATCGTTCAAGACCCTGTATACCACTTATGTCAGACCAATCCTGGAGTATGCAGCTCCACCCTGGAGTCCATACCTAGTTAAACACAAGACAATGTTAGAAAAGATTTAGAGGTATGCCACCAGACTAGTCCCAAAACTGTGAGGTCTGAGCTACGAGAAAAGGCTAAGGAGGCTAAACCTCACGTCCCTGGAAGACAGAAGAGTAATGGGAGACATGATAACCACCTACAAAATTCTCAGGGAAATTGACAGGGTGGAAACGACAAACTATTTAGCACGGGTGGAACACGAACAAGGGGACAAAGGTGGAAACTTAGTACCCAAATGAGCCACAGAGACATTAGAAAGAATTTTTTCAGTGTCAGAGTAGTTAACAAATGGAATGCATTAAGTAGTGATGTGGTGGAGGCTGACTCCATACACAGTTTCAAATGTAGATATGATAGAGCCCAGTAGACGCAGGAACCTGTACACCAGTTGATTAACAATTGAGAGGGGGGACCAGAGAGTCAAAGCTCAACCCCCGCAAGCACAACTAGGTGAGTACACACACACACTATGAGTGACCACCATGGTGGTGAACGCGAGGTTCTAAACCCTTGACCGACCACGAACCCACACCAAAACAGATCAGTTTGCCACCACAGCCGGAAATAGTAACGTCATTAGTGTGAAGCCAGACACATATTGTGCTCACTCACCGGGTCACTGACATATACACCAACAATCACGCGCTGTTGATAAACTAGTAAATGATTACTATGTCAAATATACCAAAATATAACCTGTTAAGGGGTTATCAATGTTCAATCAAGTGATGTACGTTGACCGTTCGTGTTGTCCAAATTGTCGTTAAATCTTAAATAAACAAAAATCCTCATTCTCCAGGATTACTCGCTAATCCACATCACAATCCTGAATCACCACCACGTAGTTAAACAAACAAATAATAAAATGCACGTGACTGTAGAGGATAATGCACGCTTGAAGTCACCCTTTGCCCGTAGGTCTACCCCGTCTATAAACGGGCAAATGGATTTCACAAGGAACATCCAACTGTTTGGTGGCCCTTCTTGGCGTTAGAGGGATTTAATGTGTATTTTATGAGCTCTTTATTTCACATCTGTATAGATTCCATGTGTCAGCCTCTATATAGTTGGTTCCACTGCGTCTCTAGATCCCTCTCAGCCCCTCCTGTTCTATTGATATTCACTGGGAATATTGACCTTTTCTTCACTGTGTCAGTCCCCCCTAATATGTCCATCGTGACTCCGTTTCTCTCTCTCTCTCTCTCTCTCTCTCTCTCTCTCTCTCTCTCTCTCTCTCTCTCTCTCTCTCTCTCTCTCTCTCTCTCTCTCTCTCTCTCTGTACATTTTCCCTGAACTATGGCAGCTTTGTTTACATTTATTAAACTGTTTACGAGCTTGGAAACTTTACAACTTAAGGTTATTACCGTTATAAAGAACCTCGTAGTGCACGGTTCAATAAATGTAAACACAATCGCCATAATTCGGGAAAGATGTACAGGTTCCACAGGTGGACGAGAAAATGCGTGACGAGTCCTGGTCTTTTGTTCATGCACCATCTTACGACATTGTGGGACACGCCTGTATATGTGTGTGTATAACCTGGTTGATACCTTCTTGATGGGGTTCTGGGAGTTGTTCTACTGCCCAAGCCCGGCCCGAGGCCAGGCTCGACTTGTGAGAGTTTGGTCCACCAGGCTGTTGCTTGGAGCGGCCCGCAGGCCCAGATACCCACCACAGCCCGGCTGATCCGGAACTTCTCTTAGAAAACAGTCCAATTTTCTCTTGAAGATGTCCACGGTTATTCCGGCAATATTTCTTATAGTCGCTGGGAGGACGTTGAACAACCGGGGACCTCTGATGTTTATACAGTGTTCTCTGATTGTGCCTATGGCACCTCTGCTCTTCACTGTTTCAATCTTGCATTTTCTTCCATATCGTTCACTCCAGTATGTTGTTATTTTACTGTGTAGAATTGGGACCTGGCCCTCCAGTATTTTCCATGTGTATATTATTTGGTATCTCTCTCGTCTCCTTTCTAGTGAGTACATTTGGAGAGCTTTGAGACGATCCCAATAATTTAGGTGTTTTATCTCGTCTATGCGTGCCGTATATGTTCTCTGTATTCCCTCTATTTCAGCAATCTCTCCTGCTCTGAAGGGGGAAGTGAGTACTGAGCAGTACTCAAAACGGGACAACACAAGTGATTTGAAGAGTATAACCATTGTGATGGGATCCCTGGATTTGAAAGTTCTCGTAATCCATCCGATCATTTTTCTGGCTGTCGCGATATTTGCTTGGTTATGCTCCCTAAACGTTAGATCGTCGGACATCATTATTCCCAAATCCTTGACATGGTGTTTTTCTACTATGGGAAGATTCGATTGTGTTTTGTACCCTGTATTATGTTTCAGATCCTCATTTTTGCCGTACCTGAGTACCTGAAATTTATCACTGTTAAGCATCATGTTATTTTCTGCTGCCCAATCGAAAACTTTGTTGACATCTGCTTGTAATTTTTCCATGTCTTCAGCAGAGGTAATTCTCATGCTGATTTTTGTGTCATCTGCAAAGGACGACACGAAGCTGTGACTTGTATTTTTGTCTATATCTGATATGAGAATAAGGAACAGCAGTGGTGGAAGGACTGTACCTTGAGGTACAGAGCTTTTAACTTTGCTTGGACTCAATTTTATTTGATTGACTGTTGTGTTCTGTTCGACAGGAAATTGAGTATCCAGCGTCCTACTTTACCAGTTATTCCCATTGACCTCATTTTGTGAGCTATCACCCCATGGTCACATTTGACGAACGCCTTTGCAAAGTCTGTGTATACAACATCTGCATTTTACTTTTCTTCTAGGGCTTCTGTGATTTTGTAATAAGGTTGAGTAACTGTGACAGACAGGATCTTCCCGCTCTAAATCCATGTTGTCCTGGGTTGTGCAACTCATTATTTTCCATAAAACTAGAAATTTGATTCCTAATCACTCTTTCAAACACTTATTATGTGTGATGTTAGTGCAACTGGCCTATAATTTGTTTCCAAGGCTTTACTCCCCCCTTGTGCAACGGAGCTATATCTGCAGATTTAAGTCCATTTGGCCCTGATGATTTTGTCGAGCAAGATTCTGAAATTGAATAGTTTTGGTATTTACGTCTTCGGCGGGTAGGGGGTTCCATGGGTTTATAACTCCGTGAGTGAAAAAGCATCTCTTATTGTGTGTCGTGCAAGGACCCTGCGCTCTCTCCAGGAGACGGCTCAATACCCTCTACATAGTACTGAGACACA